GTTGTTGCAAGTGTTGAAAGCATGGAAGACAAATTCGAACAGTCCATCAATAACACTGCGACTGAAATGTTCGAAACTGCTCTTGGTGAACAAGGTGAAAGCATTGCCGAACATGTTGATGAAGCCGTGAAAGAAATCATTAAAGATACAAAAGAGGTTATAGATGATTCTATAGGAAGTGATATGCTTGCAGAATCCACTATCCAGGAGATTGAAATACCACAGAAGCCGTCTCTTAAGGATGCCGTTCTCAAATTTGTCAAACCAACAGTGGATCCATTCAGTGATACCACTACCAATACCACTTCTGGAAGCAGCACCAATTCGACCCCCTTGAAGAATTCCAAGACAATAGCTCATGTGCCAATCCAACCTTCAGGCTTGAGACAGACTTTCAGTGCTGGCCAACTTGATAGTTCCAATACTGGTGAAGAGTCCACAAGCGTACTGAGTGAGTCCACAAGCGTTCAACAAGCAGGTGATGTCACCAGCTATGATTACAACAATGAGGGTGAAAATACATTGGATTATCCTATCTCTGATGAAGCTTCTGATAATCAAACCCTGGACAACAATCAACATCAACATGTGACTGATGAGGAGGAACAGACGCCAAAGAAACGTATGAGAGAAGAAGACCCTGTTGCAAAGGAAACAAAAACTCCATACAAAAGAACAAAAAACTCTGAAACAGGCGATTCATCAGGATCTAAACTAGGACAAGTACCTGATTTCAAGGATCATATTATTATAAAAACTAGAACTGGACGCATTCTTGATGCCCATACTAGTGAGGAGATCACCGAAGCTAAAATGATTGACGAACGAGAGGAACGCATTATCGAAGATATCGCTCATGGTGAACTAAAGGCTTCAAGCGTTGTTAGTGATATTGCTGAGGTTGCTGACTACGTTGAGAACCATAACTCTCCTCAGCACAGCCATCATGTGGAGCGTAAATATGATGATGTCCCGGTAGGGACAAATGCTCTAGAGGAGAAGCAAAATGTTCTTACAGGAGCTGGAGACGCTGTTCCAAGATCTTTTGACAATGATTCTACGGAAGATGAAAGCTCACTCTCTAACCTTGACCCAAGAGTTGAGGATACTTCGGTTTCTCATGATGAGCAAACAACTCTTGAAACGAATGATGGTTTTGCTGACATCACTGATACTCACTCTGTTGCTGCTGATGACAAAGATGCAACAACCTCTCTCGATGTTGATGATATTCTGAAAGTTGATGTTGGCACTCGTCCACGTACGAGGCACAGCATTAAACTTGCTGCTGGACTTGAACCCCAAGTTACATCAACTACCTCCACCAGAGGTGGTGGTCGTGGACGTGCGTCTTCAAGAGGTCATACAGCAGCCAGAGCACGAGGCTCAACAAGAGCAGCAACCGTTAGAGGCCGTATTACTAAGCCGAAAAGCAAACGGGGTACTCGTCGGAGTAAGACAGGATGATTGTTTCACTAATACCCCCTTATGGCACTTGATGTACCCACCTAGTACACTTGATGCATACGACAAGCAAAAACCTCCCTTGTATAATTACCCTTATGATGGTGACGATTCACTTTATATGCAATGAAATAAAAAATGGTTATTATATATGATTATCATGAGCATTATTGGTATAGTGGTTTCCGAATATTTCTTGCTAAGTTATGTGTTTCATGAAGTATTCGAATGCAGTAAAGAACACTGTACTCGTGATTACCGATCTCATAACACTCACACTCAAACCTCTATACATCGAACGGTTTGGAAGCCTTAGAGATCTCATCATGATTGGTTTAGGCTGTTTCAGTGCCAAACCTCTGATTATATTTGATACTATATCCTTCTGAGTCAGTGATTTCACGGTATCGATAGGGAACACCAGTATCCATGAGAAGACACCAGATAGAGCACCTGATATTGTAATTGAAATGGCACCCATTGGGATATTTGTTCCAGCAATTGTCCCTTGTGGAGTACTGAATCCTTCTAGTAGAATCTTTGCGGTTTCATAAACTGAAAAGTACAATGCTGAGCCTAGAGAATCTCTCATGAGGTGAAACCGGTAACCAGAGTACAAACCTAGGATTCCCTCGTGACGACGAATCTGCTTGACGACTTGCCATGTGGTATTTGGCATACGACGAGGGCTCAGGTTCAGGTCTGCTTGCATCAAGACGTAAATCTGCTGAAACAGCTTCGTGAATTCAAAAGGCGACGCAAATGCCGAGCAGGCACATCCTGACATTGCACCAGCCAGGAACGATACCGGTGCATTATTCACAGCCAGGATCATTGCCTTCAGCTTCTTTGAAGAGTCATCGGGCACCGTAATCGGTTTCAGCGTGTGTAGTTGCAACAATGCAGCATATGGCTTAACGGTGGTGTACACCGTGACTCCAATGGCCTTTGTAAAAGATGTTGAGAGGAGAGGTGCCGTGAGACCACGGAATAGACCTCGTACACCTTCATCTCTCACTGTTTTTGTGAAGCAGTGCAAGATTCCATCAAATCTATACGTTTGCATTCTTGTCTTTATAGAGTCCAACGGGTATCCCACAATGGTTGACAACAGAGAGGCGGAATATGACAGCACGCCCGCCCTCCATGGCATCAAGAACTGTGGAAGTATATGAATCGCATTCGAGGTGTCCAGTTCACCAGTGATCGCAGTTAGAACAGTCTTTTGCTGTTGCTGCTGCTGACCGTGATGCTTGATCGGTTCCTGTTGATCAGTCATGGCCGAGAGAATGGATGACTCAGCTCTCGAGAACGCTTTTGATATGTACAGCGAAGGGGTTGTTTCCGAAGAAAGTAGCGAGCAGAGGAGGCAAGTTCAGGAGGGTATGAACCAATTGGAGTGTTCAGCGGACAGAACTGTTTGCAGTGTGAAGAACCGTAGCGATTGTTGATTGGAATCTCGAGACATAATTTCCGGCATCATCGATGATGCTTTGAGATCGCCGAGTTTCAGCCGATGAGCTCTTTTCATTCCAGGATTATATTATTATAATTATTTATATTATTATAATTATTTATATTATATTATGGATTACATTATGAATTATATCATAAATGGCCTTATGTTACACTACACGCAATACTTAGTTCTTCTTTGACGTTGACTTCACAGTGGTCTTCTTGGCCTTCACACCGGTGGACTTGGCCGTCTCCTGGATCTTCTCCTCCTCTGCCTTGGCCTCCTCTGCCAACTCCTTGTTGAAGATCTCCAGTCTCTGCTGATAATCCACCTGGGCCCAGTACAAACCCAACTGAAGCACAACAATGAAGCCCAAGAGGAACACGATAAGAGTCTCCGTGGCAGCAATCACGTTGATACCGGTGTTCTGGTCAACATCGCCCCATTCTCCATGCACTGCGCTCTGAGCACCGATCTTCAAGTTTGTCAAATACGTGCACACAGCAATCACGTACAGCACCAAGGAGCCGTATTCAAAGTACTTTATCTCGTCATCAGGCTTGTAGATCTTGATCAACATACCGACGAAACCAATCCCGACGAAGAAGTGGAGGATATGGAGGGCCACGGTAGGAATCTCGGCCCATGTCTGATAGTGTCTCAGAGAGTTGTCAAAATCAGCCTGAGTAGCTCCTGGGGAGTAAAGCGTCTTGAAATCATACGGCAAATTACCGAGGATAACTCCCATGAAGAAGAAACTACCTGCAATTGTTAGAGCAGTTCCCAAGGGAACGAGGTCTTTGTATCTGATGGCAGCCATTTTGTTCTGTACTGTGCTAGTGAGGGCGAAGTAACAGGTGGAAGGAGAAATTCAGTCCCCTTTTTTTATAACGTCGATGCAGACGTTTTTTCTTGCCTTGATGTGTGGCATTTCCCACTCTCATTGGACAAGCAGGCACACGGCCCTTTTGCTTATCTGTGAATACAAAATGCTACAAAGAATGAAGTTTTCTAGAAGTAAAACAAAAAACCCACCGTTTGATAAAAGATTCCCAAAGATTATATTAATGAAAAGAAAGTACTAAATCTCTTAAGCATCAACTGGGGCAGCTTGAGTCTCAGCAGGAGCGATCTCGACTGGTTGAGCAATGTAAGACTTGACAGTTGGCTCTGGAACAACGTCGTCCTCCTTTGGCTCGATAACCTTAACGTAGTCTGGAAGAGACTTTGGACCGACACGAGAAGAAGCTGGGTCTCTCATGATCTTGACCTTAACACCGAGAACACCTTGTCTCAACAAGACGTGTCTGGTAGCAACGTCAATGAAGTCGTTGACTGGTTGACCAGAGTGGATCAAGAAACCGTCTTGGAACTTCATGGCCTTGGCACGAGCAGCTCTCAACTTACCAGAGATAACAACCTCGACACCCTTAGCACCGGACTCCATGACGTATCTGACGACACCGTAGGCGGCTCTTCTGATGGCCAAACCGTTCAAAAGCTTGAACTTCAAGGACTCAGCTTGAGCAACAGCGGACAAACCACGGTCTTGAACACGCTCGGCGTACAAAACAATGGAACCTGGAGCGAATCTGAATCTCTTTTGGACAAGGGAGGTCAACTCGAAGATTCTTCTACCGTTCTCACCCAAGACAGCGTTGGTTTGGGTGGCTCTGACGATAACCTCGGTCTTGGTTGGGGTGACTCTGACCTCACAACCAGCATAACCTTGTTCAGCAAGTTCTCTGGTGAAGAACTCGTTCAATTCGGCGTAGAAGACACCGTCAGCGACCAATTTTCTCTTCTTGGAGATGATGTTAACCATTTTGTATACTGTGTAGGGTGATGACCTTCTCTATAACTCGGGAGTTGGGGATGTGTTGAATAAGTTTTTGACGATTTTTCACTGTGCGAGGATGCGCTGGTGTGCGTCGCTCGAAAAGTTTTCTGGTGTACGGATGTATGGTAGGAGCACCTCCCAATAACATCCAAACACCTGTGACTGTGAATTTTGCGATCGTAACCTACATCCGGACACCACAGAGATGCTTGTAAGTGCCGCTAGCGCTGATCAACCATCACATCATGCCTCTGATTAACGTGCACATACAACATATGTAACTAAAAGGGTGTGCATTTCTGACCGTAGACCAAGCTTTTTGGCAGCTGTGTAGCTTGAATTGTAGGCCCAACCATCTAGTCCGTTGTTCTTGCTTTGGCGTACTTTCAATCCTACGCTTATGGCTACTGGAAACAATAGTTATAATTCCCCCCATACACGACACTACATATAGGCACATAGAAGGTTGCCATATGTTCCAGGGTTCATGCATGGCTCTTCTCCATGCCATGAAGTATTGTTGATGGTACAAAGACTACTGGAGGTGTTACTTGTGCTTGTGAGAGATAAATGGTGACCACAGTGGATCCTGCACTCTCGCTGTAACCCGTGTTTCAAGGGGTTGACTGCCATAGGCTAGAAGTGGAAGTGTAAACAAAAGCATGTTTGTTTGTTTTTTGTTGTTTTCGGCCACTTGATCCCACCAATTTCAAATGGAGCTCAAGCTTATAGATTGGGTAAGTCTAGAACAAGAGTGTACGAGGAGAGAAGGACAGACGTGATGGGATGTGTGAAACAAGCCTCTTCTGGACGTGCATTGGCTGTTACGAGAAGTGTCTCTGCTGGGCCAGTATGACCGTGGCTTACCAACAAGCACGCCTTGTATTTGTTTTGACCAGATTTCAAAGAAGTTCTAGCCCTGCGGAAAAGTAGGCTGACTCACCAAACTTTCAGTGAGGATGCAACCAAGCAAACAAACAGTGCTAGCTTTGCTTCTGATGTTTGACCTCCACGGTGCCTATTCATCATTAAGCACTTTCATGTGAGATTCATCGAAGGACTAGTCGACACAACATTTGTGGGAGAGGCCTTCCAGTAACTATTGTACACGTTTAATGACATACAGTAGTTCAATCTGGACAGGAGCCAAGAAGCTAAACTGATATACCTGGAAGTTCTACGTTACTGAGCAGCTCACACGGACTGCATGGTTGGTGAAGCAGCTGAGCGTCTTCCAGAGATGCCTCAAAACTCTGAATCACGCTGCCTGAGATTGGACTAAAAAAAATCAACCTAGAAAACAGACTTTTACGTGGTGGAGCCATTGGCTTCTGCATCCTCAGAACTTTATGGAACAGCGATTGTTAAAGGACAGCCTTGTTGCAATGCAGCAGGCTGCAGTAGTTCTTGATCGTTTTCCTCTTTGGGACTGCATCCCCATAGAAGTGGACAATGGAAATGCACGAAACTTCCCTATTGGGACAGAAGGCTTGTAGGATCTGGCCCATCTCATTGAGATCTGGTCACTTCTCTATGTGTGTTTCTACGTGCAACGACATGGACCTAAACCTGCTCTGTTGATGGTGTCGGTATAGAAGCATCAGGTTGCAAGTTTCAAGTTCCGCCGTTTTGTAAGTAGTACCCACTCCTGAATATTTAGGTCTCCCGTGGTTGCTCTGCACTATATAAACTTGGGCTTCTCTTCAGTTTTCTTTCTTGTGCAGTGTCTGTTAATCTTGCCTTTTCTTTTAGCTTTCTCAGTTCATCACCAACCAGATTCACTCACTGTTATACAATGCAATTCCAAATCCTTTCTCTTCTCTCCCTCGCTGCCTACGTCATCGCTGAAGACGTTACCGTTGTCGAGACCACCGACGTTGACACCCCAGTGTCCACTGTCACCTCTTTGACCACCGAGTGTGACGAGACCGTCACTGACTGTCCATACAGATCCCAGGAGACCACCGTCGCCGAGGAGGAGGCCACCACCGCTGTCGAGGAGACCAACTCTACCACCACTGAGGGTAACATCACTTACTCCCTCACCAGCTGGGAGGGTGCTGCTGCCGGCACTTACGCCAAGGCCGGTGTTGCTGTCGCTGCCGGTGTTGCTGCTCTCTTGTTGTAAGCCGCTGACTAAGGATTGCCTCAATTTTTTGAGTTTGACCTTTTGAGGGATTGCAATTTTGATATAATTTTCAGCATTCTATACCAATATAGGCACAATAGTTCACGCTATTCTGTGTGAATGTGCCTATTATTTTTAGTTCAATAACACACAACTACTACCGTTGTGTCTTTTTTTCCCATTATACCAACTGGATTTGTAGACTTGGACTTCTCTCTCCCCTTCCCACCGGCACTCATCCCTCAACAGATCAGACCCGTGGAAGTCTTTACACAGTGATGAACTGGGTTGGGCCAACACACCGAGGAGACAATGGGAATCTCGGCCATTTTGATCAGCCCATAATTTTTTCTCTCTCTTCCTCATTGTTGGTTTTCCCTTCGCGTATAAACCCTGGACAGGAATGCGGTACACGCACGCACAGAGACTCCACTGTGGTATTTGACGAGGTCCCCACGCAGTTACAGTGGAGCACAAAACATTCTCCTTGGAGACTTTTCAAACGGTGCGTAGCCTAAAAAGCAGGAAAAAAAAACACAAGACAAAATTCCACCGATCATATCAAACGATCAAACAGAGTCAATCGAAGTTTCCAGTAACTCATGAGATCGTTCAAAGTAGTTGTTGTTGGTGACGGGTAAGTTCTCAAGCCTCACCATCAAATCCACTGGCCTGTTTCCTCCTATTTCGGACGTGCGTGTGTGCGTCTGTGTGTTTCACTGATGTTGCTCTTGTTTGGTTTTGAAACTATCTCCACGGTGATGGAAGGCCATATCTCACCAGAGCTGATTTTGAGGGCATGCAACGAGACATAAACAACACCACGAAGAGGGCGGCGGCAGCCACGGGGAACAGGGCGGCTGGTATTTGCTTCACGATGTGCCAGAGTTACTAACTTGCCTTGTCGATAGAGCCGTCGGTAAGACGTGTCTGTTAATCTCGTACACGTCGAACTCGTTCCCTCAGGATTACATCCCTACGGTGTTTGATAACTGTAAGTACGGTGCCTATGTTCTGTTCTGTTCACCGGTGTGTGTGCGATATACTGACAGTTGCCATTAGATACAAAGAATACCCTGTACGAAGGTGCGCACTACAAGCTGGAGCTATGGGATACCGCTGGGCAGGAGGACTATGACCGTCTGAGACCGCTGAGTTACCCACAAACCGATATCTTCCTGGTGTGCTTCTCGATAGTGGAGCCGGCATCGTTCAAGAACGTGAAGAACAAGTGGATCCCAGAGATCCGCCACCACTCCTCAGATGAGATTCGCATCATCTTGGTGGGCACGAAGTCGGACTTGAAAGACGATCCTCACACCTTGGATCGACTGGAAGAGAGTGGTAATGAGCCAGTATCACAGGCTGAGGCCAAGAAGCTCGTCAAGGAATTGGGGCTCCAAGGATACGTCGAGTGTTCGGCTGCTACCCAGGCAGGCATTGAAGACGTGTTTGAGACTGCAATCAAGTCTGTACTCGATGCTGAAAGGGAGATCGTCAACGAACAATACACTGCTGGAGCTTCAACACCACAGGCCAAAGAGAGTAAGCCACAAGCTGCTGCTAGCAGTGCTGTGAAGAAGAACAGCCCACCTTCAAAGCAGCAACAGCAGGTTCAGGAACCTTCTCGTATAAAGAGAAGAAAGAAGATGAAATGTACTATTCTGTGATGCCTTTTCCCCTGTTGTGTGCTTGTAACGATATTCCACTCTACTTCTTCTTCTACTACTTCTTTGACACCACTTCCTTCCCAGATACATGAGAATATAGATCTGTTTGTCTACCCTTATGTTCGTTTATTACAGGGATTGTTCCTTTGTTTATGTCTAATAAAAATTCTTGTATTGTACAGAGTTGATCCAATGTATGGTGACTACTCACCCATCATCGCAGCTGCTCGCAATGGATGTACGTTACCCAAATCCTTTGGCGCGTCGCCCTCTTTGAGCTTCTTGTTTCTCTCTGCTCTTTCCTTCTTGGCCCTATCTCTTCTCTCGTCGTCCAGCTTGACGTTCTTCTCCTTGATCTTCTCTAGCCTGTTTTGAGAGTTACCACCACCACCAACGGTCAGCTCAACATTGATCTTTCTATTTCTCAGGTTACTGTGGTGTAGTCTCAGTGCAACATCCATTCTATGTTGAATATCACCGTGCTGACCGTCAAACTCCAGAAACGCAATACCCTTCTCAGTTCTGATCCTTATTCTATCAGGCTTGGAGGCACTGAAATGCGCCAGCAGTTCAGTCTGCGAAACGTCATAGGGTAAGTTACCCACAAACAGGAGGAATCTTGGACCGTTGGAGCCGTTTCCCTTACCTTTCTTGCCTCTTCTGGTCTTTCTCTTCTTCTTTGGCTCCTCGCCGGGTTCCCCAGTGCCTTTCTCAACCGTCGCACCTTCAGCTTGCTCATCTCTCTTTCTCTTCTTGCTATCCTCACCTTCAACCCCAACAGCCTTCCCCTTTGACTTGTTCTTGAAGTCAAGTGCCTTTCTTTGTTTCTTTGTGAGTTTCTCTGTAGATTCAGCCATTGTTCCACCACCAAAGTACTATGATTGCTATGCCTTCTGGTTGCTGTTGTAGCCTCTTATCCTTCGTGCTGTGTTCTTGCAATGTGCTCTCTGTGGTAGTAAAATTTTCTTTGTGTCAGCGAAATTTTCCGGGCCTGGAAGGGCGATGAGATGCGATGAGGGAGTGAATGAATGGCGACGACAGAGCAGCGCTAGAGCGAACAGAAGGAACAGAAAGGACAGCAATGGCGGCTGACAGAAGAGAGAGAAGTCCTTCGAGTGGCACGGGTAAGAAGGAAAACGACGGCGAGAAGGAGAGCTACAGAGAACGGGATGAGAAGCCGAGAGGAAGATCCCCAATAAGGCACACAGCAGATGTAAACAACGACGCGATGATGCTCCAGATGATGGGATTTGGATCATTTGAGTCTACAAAAGGCAGGAAGGTCGAAGGCACTGATCATAGTGGGGTAAAGAAGAAGAAGAAGGCCAAGTTCAGGCAGTACATGAATAGGGAAAAGGGGTTCAATAGGCCACTATCACCGGACAGGAGTAAACCAAAGAGAAAACCAGACAAAGGTACAAATGGTGGGAAACAAGCTATGTAAACGGTTGAATTGATGTTGATTATTATACATTAGGGGGGCTCATCCACGCAGTTTCGAGTTCTCCTCGTAAAGATCTTCGTACATGGCTCTGAGATCCTTATATGCGCTCTTCATCTTGAGAACCTCACTCTCCAGCTCTTTGATCCTAGAGTCCTTAGCACCATCAGAGTAGCTGACGATGACTTCGGAGTCCACGGTCGTGAGGTTTTGGAAGACAAGCGATTCCTTGCCGACTCTTTCCAGATACGAGTCGATATCAAACAGTTTGGTGTCTTCAGGTTCACTGATTTGGAAAAGCACGTCGTGCTCCTTGGACTCACCCGATGCAATGACTCTTTTGAGCTGCGGTACTGCTCTCGAGTTCTTCTCGACAGTCGAGTTGTCGAAGGTCTGATAGCTGTTCAGCACAGCCAGGTTCGTTATGGCTCCATGGACCTGCTTCAGCTCGTGGACAACTTGCTTCGACACCAAATCTACAACGACAACACGTCCCTTGGAATCACCACTGATCAGCTGTGAGCCGTCCAATGTCAACGCAAGCTGTGTTACTGAGCTCCCAGAGTGGTATGTGATGGTGTTTTTCAGCTCAGCGTCAGGCTGTAGAGTGATTGTCTTACCATAACCACCAATCGCTTCCAAGACGTTTGTAGCCCTGTTTGGTTCGTAGAGGTTGATAAGGCGAATGTTACCATCTTCCAATCCAACATAGAGGGCACGGTCAGCATCGTCAACGGCTATGGAGTCGATTTGTCCGTTGATGACAAACGTCGTGAGTAATTGGAAAGTTGCAAACGAGTAGACCCTGATGGTGGAATCTTTAGAAACGGTGTACAGCTTGCAATCTGCGTGGATGTTGTTGTTCAAAGCCAGCCCTGTAACTTCCAAAGTGTGGTCTGAGATGACATGGACCGGCTTGACGACAAAGTCCTCATCGTTCTTGTGCAATTGAACCAAATCTGCAATTCTCCAGACCAGCACACGGGCATCCTTACCGGCTGTAACCAGATGACAACCATCACTGGAAACCTTCATAACCGTGGGCATTTGGTAATGCGCCTCCTTAACATTCAGCAGCAGACCTGAGTTGAGTTCCCACACGTACAGTCTACCACTTATACCACCACCAATGAGTAAAAAGGGTAATCTGTACTTGGGGAGGTGGGTGTCATCCACCTCATCGCAATCTCCCTCTCGAAATGCATCGGGCTCCATGGTGTTTGGGCATAACACCAAACAGCACAACTGTTCAGGAACTGGGATTCTTTGATCTGGAGACTCCTTGCCCCAAGTGTATACGTTGATCAGTGCCTTCCCCTTAGCAGCTACAAATACCCTATCACCAGCTTTAGTGCCCGTGATAGCTGAGCCATTGGGATAGCACGAGGCCTGACGGAACGCCAACGTCTGTGCCTGTGAGTGCAGCGTTGTGGCAACAGCTAATGACAGCGTGCCTTGCTTATCATCAGCAACACCTTCACTTGAGTAAAAAACCACCTCTTCCATTGCCTCTTCCTGTCGTCTTTGCTTCAAACAAGCACACACAGAGCAGAGCTCATCGGAGGCTGCTGGGGAGCAGGCAGAAAAAAAAATTTCACTGTACGCTCTCCACCGCCAGACGGGGATTTTCTAGGCAGAGAGGAAATTTCACCAGGCTGGCGGCAGAGGCTCACCAAGTGTTCAGCTCAGACACTGTGGACAAAGCGGTTGGTGAAGATGCCCATAAACATCATCGAAGCACTGGTGACCGATGGTCCCGATGCGGTTCCCGGATCAAGGTTTGTGATGAAGTACGGGCCCACGGTGGCTGTGATTGGAGCGCTGAAATGGTACTTCCATGGTAAGACGAACACTTGGGAACGTGATTTACATGGCAAGGTCTATATGGTGACTGGGGGCACCAGCGGCGTTGGTGAGCGGGTTGTGGAGGAGCTGGCCCGGCGTGGGGCTCAGGTTATACTGCTTGTCAGAAGCACAGAGGATTACTGGACCACTGAGTTTGTGCAAGACCTTCGAGAACGGTATGAGAACTTCTTGATCTATGCCGAGGAGTGTGATCTGAGTGATCTCTACAGCATACGTAAGTTTGCTACGAAGTGGCTGGACAACGTGCCACCACGTCGTCTGGATGCTGTGGTTTGCTGTGCTGGTGAAAGCATGCCCTATGGTAAGGAACGTTGCAACTCTGCTGACGGCATAGAACTACACACTGCAGTGAACTACGTCGGCCATTACCACCTCTTGACGCTGCTGTCTCCAGGGTTGAGGGCCCAATTGCCCGACAGGGACGTTCGTGTGGTGCTGACGACGTGTATGTCACAGGCCATGGGGAAGATTGACGTTGATGATCCTCTCTTCTTGAAACAGAGATATACAAAGAATTCGCCGTGGAAAGTGTTTGGCACATCAAAGCTACAGTTGAGTATGTTTGCCAAAGAGTTCCAAAGGAGACTCCAGGCGATCCCTCGAAAGGATGGGTATCCGTGTAACGTTAGGGTCAACGTTGTCAACCCAGGGTTGATGAGATCACCTAGTACGAAGCGTGTATTGAGTTTTGGCTCTCTGATTGGTTTACTGCTGTACCTGGTATTTTGGCCTATTCTATGGATCTTCTTGAAGAGCACAAGACAAGGTGCACAGTCCTACTTCTATGCGCTCATGTGTCCTGATCTCATCGACGCAGACGGTGGTAAGTTCATTGCCAATTGTGAGCTGTACGAACCGGCAAGACCAGAGCTGAAGGACGAGGAGTTACAGAAGAAGCTGTACGACAACACGGAGGCTGCAATTGCCAAAGTTGAGAAGGAGAGCGCAATACAGCGTAAACGTGAGGAAGCCAAAGAGAAGAAGAAGGAGATGAACAGAGAAAAGAAGCAAAATGGTAAGGCTACAACCACCAAGAAGGATGCAAAGAAGGCTGCAAAATCTGTCAGCTCCAGTGATAAGCGCACAGGTGTACCTGAAATTCCCTACAACACCGATAACAAAGTTGGTATCAGTGAATCCTCGAGGGAACAGCTATTCCCGGATGAGCATATTGATCCCCAGACGGAGCCAACTGTTGCGGTCTCAACCTCTTCAGCTAAACCCACGGGGAAAGCTACACGCAAAGGCAAGCGAAAGACGTGATGCCGTCGTTTGCGAGTGTTACGCCATTGTTTGCTAACCAGGACTGTAGTGGTAGGTATATAGCAGATCAACACACCAGCTTCTACGCATACAAAGTCCACCAACACCCACCCACAGAGCTATATATATATATAAAGAGAAGTAGAGAGACAGCCATCGAGTCCCGAGTCCCGAGTCCCGCGTTGGCGCTCCTGATTAGGTAATATCGGCACCTATGCTCAAGGAGGACAAAACACCCAGACACCGCCTTTTATCACTGCAGCAGCTGCGAGTTTATCGGCCAATCACATCGTTTTGCACCGAATCGCGCCGCCAAATGTCCAATGCGTGCGGTGTACTCTAAGATGGCAGATAGTCCCAGATTGGCGGGTTCTTCACATGAGTTTGATAAACCGGTTGTCTGTCTGATTTGTCTTGTTTGTCTTTTATTCTTATTTTTTTCTCCTTGTCCTTGTCCTTGTCCCATTAGCGACAAGCTGTGTGCATTTTGCGTCTTTGATACCCACGCTTCACTAAGAGTTGTCGATACTGATTCTCCTTCCACCAGCACGAGCCATCTTGACGAGACGCGCACCAACAGCAAACGCCGTCATCCATGTCTTCACTAACAAAGCTCTTACAACAGAAGCAGCCGAACGACGCCAAAGCGTCGAGCCGAAAGTCGAATCTTTCCGTGTCGCTGGCCGAGGAGGACTCTGAGCTCACCAATGCAGTGTCCATAGAAGGAGTCTCCATCACACAGACCCACGATGAGGTCATCAGTCCCGTGGACTACTACGCGACCGAGACGTCCGCCTCCTCGTACAACCAGAGAAGCCCGATCGCCATCAACACCAGCAGCTATGGCCGCAGCTTCCATGGCAATGGAGGCATGGCGCCTCCTATAAGGGCTCCGATGTCCGCTTCGATACATAGACAGCCTTCTGCGTCGATGCTACACCAACAGCAGTCGCATCAGAGCTCCTACTCAAACAGCTTCAGCATCCCGTTCTCTGTGCCGAACTCAAACCCGACAACTGAGTTATCGATGTCGGCACCACGCCATTCTGGGTTACCTTCAAATGTGTCCATGATTGAATCGACAACCATAACTTCACCGTCCGTGAATACTGCACAGATTGAGCCTCGATTCATCGTGTCGAAGCATAAAGTTGCTGCTGCGCAACAACAGAGCTTGTCGAAATCCCACGGTTCGCAAGGTGGGTTCTTTGCAAAGTCAAGGAAGGGATCGCAGATGGACCTGGGTTCCTTCTACAACAACACCGGGATGTCCTCTGTTCCATCGAATAACGGCAATAGCGTAGGTGGTGGCGAGGTTGTCACGGGTTCACCGTCATCGTCGTCGTCTATGGAATCCCGCTATTCTCAGTCAAGACATAGTTCTATGGCGGATCTCAAGCGTTTCTTTAGGAAATCGTCAACCAATGGCGGAGCGCATTCTCCTTTGAACAGCCAGCCGTCTTTCTTATCGTCACCATCCCACTCCTATCTTGGAAGCAGCACCCGTGAACGGTCCGGCTCGGTGTCTTCCTCGTATAGCAACAATGTATCTGCCTACACCACTCCACAACAGTTACCATTCTCGAAGAGATATAGCAAATTCGGCGAGAGCTTAGGTGCTGGTGCCGGTGGCTCTGTGAGACTTGTTAAGAGGCTGAGCGATAACGTTGTCTTTGCTGTGAAGGAGTTCAGACCAAGGACTCAGAATGAAACCAGACGTGAATATGCTAAGAAGATCACAGGTGAGTACTGTATTGGCTCTACACTGAGACATCCAAATATTATTGAGACTGTTGAGATTGCGTATGAGAACGACCGTATCCTACAAGTGTTGGAGTACTGTGACTATGACCTTTTTGCCCTTGTAATGTCAAACAAGATGTCAACGGAGGAGGTTGATTGTTGCTTCAAGCAGATCCTCACGGGTATACAGTACTTACACCATATGGGGCTTGCGCATCGTGATCTGAAGCTGGATAACTGTGTTGTTAATGCCCATGGTATAGTTAAGATCATAGACTTTGGGTCAGCCGTTGTGTTTTCATACCCATTCTCACAGACTTTGATAGAGGCTAGTGGCATTGTCGGCTCAGATCCTTATCTATCTCCCGAGACCCTTGTATTCTCCAAATATGATCCGAGACCAGTCGATATATGGTCAGTGGCAATGATATACTGCTGTATGACGCTGAAGAAGTTCCCATGGAAGGTTCCAAAATTGAGCGACAACAGTTTCAAGATGTTTTGTTCTGGTAGAGACTGTGATTCTCTAAGTGCACTACTCACTAGAACGCCACCTCCGCCTCCTATCGATGAGCCTTTGACCATTGGTAAGCCTAGTGGGCTGTCTAACTTGACGAAGGCCTTCACGGCACAGACCATTTCAGATGAAGGAAACGCCAACGATGCTACGCCTGTTCTAAGCGAAACCACTGAGACTGAGGATAACGGCGTGGAAGTGGGCAAGGCGAAAGAAGCAGCTGGGAATCTCCCTCCACCAGTCTCAGAAGACCAATCGAATGCTACGTCATCGGAACCACAACAGGAAAGCGCATCGATGCATACGAGCAACCTCATTGGAGAAGCACGTCTACTACAAGCCTTACCGGGACACACAAGAAATGTCATTGGTAGGATGGTTGATCTTGCGCCTGCTTGTAGAGCCTCGATCGATGATGTTATGGCCGACGCATGGGTCCAGAGCATTGATATGTGTACTGTTGAGAACCACTACGATGGCTCTGGAATCACCAGACCTATGTACCATAGAGCTTCCAACCACCACCACACGCAAGTGGATCAGAGCGAAGCTCACATTGCATCCTTAGAGAAGAAGAAGAATAGAAGATGATCACCTCTCACTGTACATAGGAGGGCTTCACCTCTCATCGCTGTCCCATCCTCAGAGATGACATAGAAACAAAAAATAAACACGCACAACACGCATGTAACAAAACACATGCCTCAGACGATACTGCGAAGGACATGTAGCAGGGGTAGTTTCTATATTTATCCGATAAGCACAGCGGACAAGTCCTTCGTGTCTTCTCTGTCTTCATTTGCATCGTTTCTCTTGGTCAGGTGGTGGTAATTTGGTCTGGACCTATGCTTACACGTAATTAAGCTGCGTTCGGATCAACTCAAGGCTGGTGCCGTCAACAAATGCTTGTCCTTGCTAACGGTTACAGCAACAAGACACAAGACACAAAACACAAGACACAAGACCACACGGGAACTGTGTGTGGGTGCAACACTGGCAACTTACTCTTACAGCATGGCCATGGGCCACATGTGGTAGATAGACCTCTCTAACAAGGAAAGAAGCAAATGAGCAAAGAAGCAAAGAAGAAAGGAGAGGCAGTACGTCCCTTTCGCACAGCAGATTGGTGGAGATGCACCATTTGTCGCTTCACAACGGGATTCGTCCCCCATGATATAATCACACTGTTTGCCCGTTCCGAAAATGATCTCATTGGCATGGATGTGTCGTTTGACTGCTTCAATGTTCACGCCAGTTCTATGCAAGAGGCGTACAAACAAGATCACCTCATCGTACCACGCAGAGTTTGGGGACAACCGCGAATGCACGGTTGTGTAAGCAGGAGGGCGCTGTTTTAGTTCCACCAGAGGTGAGCCGTGTTTAACAGGGGTGGCACAATGCTTGTGTGATTCCTGGGGAATGCAAATGGTTGGCACACAAGCACAAGAACAGGCATAGGTCACAGCGTTTACAGTGGCTGATGAGCATACTTCATGTACGCGCCAGAAAGTGTTGGGCGTTGTGTGTGCACCGTTTAGCTGTATGTGGTATGTGGAGGGAGGGATTTGGTGTAAAAAGGGGGGTGTATATATAAGTGTATAAATCCGTTTATGGACTAGTTCCATATTGTAAGACGGGCGGTGTGTATGATATAGTGCCCTGCACTTCAACACATAGCTATAACAAGAATGGAAACAGGTACAGCATCTCTTAGACACTACTCCACAGGGACGATTGTGAAGCCACACAAGTTTGAGATCCACTATGAGTCCTCGTATCTACCAAACAGACCGGTGCACGCTCGACTACACCAGTACGACTATGACAAATACACCTTTGATGACACACTGAGCAGCGCAGCCTGTGATATGATGCCTTTCTATGGGCTTGAAGAGGTTGAAGAGCTGGATGCCCATGAGTGCGACGGCAGTGGAGTTGATCCTCTAGAGAGACCGTCGATTCTGAGGAGCAGCAGCATGCCTCTGTTGAAGCACAACAGAACGTTGTCGTTGGATTCAGCCAGGGATCAGAAGGCCACGAGTGCAAGCGTTGAGAGTCCCCTGGAGAAGGGTGTTCAGCTGCGTAAGGATGATACCCCAAACTATACCGTGAACAGTTCGAGGAAGAACTCATTGGTTAGTAACTGTACGCACTCGAGAGAGTCATCTGTGTGTCTAGACGAAGCCAGCTGCTGGAGACATCATCACAGAAGAGGCAGCGTTGCTATTAAGTTTGAAGAGAAGAAAGTGTTGCAATGAGGACCTCTGACCAAGGCATAGTTGGCTTGGATCATTTTACAGGGGGAGGAGGTGGTATGCGAATACTACACATTAATATAAATAATTTGGGATGAAGGCTGTGGACGTTATCTACATACGATATCAAGCTTTTTTTAGTTATGGTTTGCTTTAACGACTTTATGATTTGGATCGATATATAAACAGGGGATTTTGCTATTTAGCTTGCTGTAGAGAGAAGTCTATATTTTGTCCATTATCTGCTGCCTGTTGTCCTTTGTCAGTTGTCTCATGTCCGTTGTGTCTTGTCCCCTATCAGTTGTGTCTTGTCCCCTATCAGTTGTGTCTTGTCCCTTGTCCGCTTTATACGGATTTATGTAACCTCACAACTGGTTTGATAATCTGACACAAAAAAGCAATGCCTTTGAGGGGGGAGATAGTTTCGCAAGATCACATCAAAGATCATTTACGGAGATCTCATTATATCAGACCAATTTTAAACGTACGACAACTTCATCCCTGGCTAACTTCCGTTTCAATTCACATTGTAAGACACTTTTTACGAGTTTGTCCCTTGGACGCAGGATGATCATCAACGTTTGAGACCTAGGTCGAGGCGATGTTTTTTCCCCAGAGATGGTCCCCCAGTTTTAAACACAGGACGGACAACAGTGAGAGCGTTGACCTCATTGAATATGGTAGGCGCACTAAATCAACCACAAATTCAGCAGTCAACGCTCGAGCCAACGAAGGAAACGACGACGACAACAACAACAACAACATCAACAACAACGACAAGAGCATTTATTAATATCCATCAATTGATCCCATTTGACTCTACTGTGGACCCATGAAATTCAACACAGCGGAATATGACATTGGCTATCCGGTGTTTGATGCCAAGTTCCTCAACGATAAGACGTTGTTGGTTACCGGTGGTGGGCATTCGGAGCCGGGTGCTACTGTCAACAGGTTGACGGCGCTAACGATCCAGTTTGAGAAGAAGAAGAAGATCAAGAAGTTTCGTGAGTTGAAATTGAGCGAAGAGGATGATATCCCCTACGTGTTGGATGCGGCCAATAATCTGATTTTTCTCGGTGCCAATGAAAGCGCTGAGGCTATAAGGGCAGGCCATAACCACAACTTGAGGAAATTTGTTTACAGGAATGACCACTTGGTCTATCTCACATCTGCATCGTTGGAACCGATCGCAACTCCGTTGCAATATCAGAAGCTCATTACGCTCTCGGAGGATGGTGTTATGGCGGCCACTGCCACCTCAAAGTTGCCGACAGTGATTCATATTCTTTCAACGGAGAAGGTGTTTGAAAAGTATGAGATTGAGACAAACAACGAGGTTAAGGATATGGACTTTTCACCAGATGGTAAAATGCTAACATATATCACTCCAACTACGCTTGAGATCATCTCTTCTGTCACTGGTAAGTCCTTGATGAGAAAAACCGACTTCCAGGGAACACTTTCAAAGGTCAAGTTTCAAGATAACAACAACGTGTTGGTTACGTATAGTCTTCCAGAGTCATCCGGCGTTGGGATCTCAAGACTGTCCATCAGAAAGAAGTTGAAAGTGGTTAAAGACAGAGTCATTACCAAGAAAATCAAAGGAATCACCACCATTGATATTAACGTTAAGAACGGTGTCATAGCATTGGCTGGTAATGAAAATTCTGTCATATTGTTGAAGAGCCAAAGTTTAAAGACTATAAAGATCGTTCCAAACGTTCATGGGTTGAGTATTACAAAAGTTTGTTTCACTCCAAACGGGAAATTCTTGGCTACCGTTTCAGCTGCAAAGACCATTAAGGTCCTGGAGATTCCTGATAAATTAGGAATTGAGACCCATAGAATCTACTACTTCTTCTTGAGACTGTTTCAATTGGCGTTGTTTTGTGTCTTTGCTTCTGGTGCATGGTTTTTGTACTATGCTACAGGCTCAAACGACAATGAACTGTTGGAGTACTTCACCTTGATTCAAAAGACACAAACTACACAATCTAGCATCACCAGTTCTATTGCTCCTGTGCTCACATCAACTGCTCCAGAACACATTTATGAAGATGAAATAGCCGAATCAGTCGCAGCTGTGTCCATAGAATCAACAGTTACTCTAACTTCAGAACCAGGACCAAAAACTTTGATTGGTGATTCAACCGTCAAGAAGAGAAAGAAGAAGAAAACAAAGACCAAAAATATCAAAAAAACCAAGTCTGCTTCATCACAGTCTGATGTAAACATCGACACAAGTGAAAAATCTATCCCTGTTGAACCAATAACGTCAACTGTGTTGGTCACTTCAGAACCCTCAGCGTTGACTAAGACTGAATCAACAACTACAACTTCTGACGTCGATACTTTGTCTTCAAGCTTTGAGAAGAGTTCAATTGCAAGTCATTCTGTTGTACAGGCAAAGCCAGAAGGCGAAACTAAACGTAAAACGAAAGTGACTGAGCCGTCTGTTGAAGTTGAGACTAGTTCCTCAAACTCACCAGACATACTCAGTGGGTCACATGTTGTTGAAAAGAATGAGCCAACTCTTAGTACTGCCTCCCTTGATGATGTTGTTCTGGAGCATACATCATTGGACGATACAGATGAAATCCTTACAAAGAGGGAAGAGCAGCAACTTTCAGATGATTCTACATATGTAGATCAGGAGGAAAAGACAGAAGAGGACAAGACAGCGGAAGATGAGAAGGAAGTTGAAAAAGATGGAGAAGAAGCAGATGAAGACGAAGGACAAGAAGCACAAGAAGATAGTGAAGGAAGAGACGAAGATACCATTCCTAGTGAAACTGAAGAAGGGCCTGATGAAGAGCCGGAAACAGTTATAAGCGTGGGAACTGAAAAGGGTGTTACTAGGGAGCCAGAAGGAACGTCAGATCATACGGAGGTTCAAACTGAAAAATATACTGAGGAAGATGTTAGCGCAGTAGAACATTCTCAAGAGGAAGAGTCAGAGGTTAAACTGGAAAGCGATGTCGAAGAAGAATCTCAAGAAGAGCTTAGAGCAACCACTGAAACTACCACTAAAAAGGAGATTGACGGTAAGGGCGAAGAAAAGGAAGAAGAGGAAGAAAAGGAAGAAGAGGAAGAAGAGGAAGAAGAGGAAGAAGAGGAAGAAGAGGAAGAAGAGGAAGAAGAGGAAGAAGAGGAAGAAGAGGAAGAGGAGGAAGAAACAGAGGAGGAAGAGGAGGAAGATGAAGATGAAGAAGATGATGAAGGAGAAGAGGAGGTCAACAAAGCGGTGACCAAAAATGAGGAGACATACCCTTCCGAAGAGACAACAAGAGAGAGATCCACAGATACAAATTTGTCTAATGAAGAAAACACACATTCGACCTCTTTGGATGTTCATCCAGAGGACACACAAGTTGGTGGAACTAGAGGCTCCTTTGAGTTTGATAATGAAGAGGAAGCTCCTGTCGACCTTTCCAACGTTGGTAACAACCAGCAACAAGAAGAAGAAGATGATGATTGGAGAAAATACCAAACTCATATCGCTTTTGAATCTATGTCAAGAAAGGCTCCGGAAACAACAGCAGTTGACAGTGAGGTGTTGGGTTCACAGGAGGAGATAACTGATGGTGAGCATGAGTCCTCAACAGGAAAGCCTGGCGCACTAGATGCATCTGTAGGTCATGAACACGTACCAGCTGAAGTCAATGATGAATTCTCGAAGGAGACCGACCTCGCCCTAAGTGCAACACAACCTCATATTGATGTCACTGACCATGAATCACTTGAAGAAGATGAGCAAGAGGATAATGAAAATGGTGAAGAGGATGAAGAGGATGAAGAGGATGATGAGGATGAAGAGGATGATGAGGATGATGAGGACGAGGGGGACGAAGAGGATGAGGATGAAGAGGAAGAAGAAGATGAGGATGAAGATGAAGATGAAGATGATCATCACACAGATGCGGATAACTCTGTTCTTACTAAACTTCAAGAACCTTCATCACCAGAATCATCAGCACTGAACGAGGCATATAGTCATGCATCTGTTGATATTGAAATCAGTAACACAACTCTTCCAACTGATAAGGTTACCGATCCAGTTTTTGAAAGTCCACTTGCTAAAAGTCTTGATGGCAAATTGTCCGACGTATCATTCAAGAAAGATACCACTGGTGAGGATGTTCCAATGGGTACCGCAGATGTTACAGAGCTAAACAGTACTCATTCGAATTCTGTTTCCAGCTCTCAGTTTGAATACCAGGAGTTATCTGACATTGCAATTGAACCACAAGAAGCAGACCAAAGTGCCTTTGATATTTCCACGGAAATTGTTGAAGGTTCATTTGCTAGCTCCATTACAGAAGATAATATCAATACTCAAAGCCTTCAGCAAACCTCAAGTGAAGAAGAGATTGCGAGTGAGGAATTCAAAACCGACTACGAACAGAGTTCTGAGTTGTCGTTAGTTGATTCTTCTTTTGGAGATTTGGAAGTTGACACTACTGAAGAAGACTCCATAATGGAAACAGTCGAAACCATGATAGCTGAAGGAAGTGGTACACCAAGCTCTTACGCTGGCTTCGATTCTTCCGATGTGAAATCTACTGAACAAGGTTCCATTAGTGACAATTCGGAAACTGATTCTGCTGAAAATTCATTGGTATCTACGTCAATGTCTACTGGTAGTCTTTTAACTGAGACTATTCAAACCACAACATCCTCAAGTTTCGTGCTTGAATCAACTCATCAAGATGCAACTGATGGGAATGAACTCATGACTGAAAGTGATAACGTTGAATCCAATGTCTCACCATCTCCCCATGAAGAGGAAACTACAGATGAAACCTATTCGGAAGTTAACAAGGATGAGAAAGTAACTGTTCACGATGAGCTCTAAATCATTTTTTAGCTGTATTGTATATGAGAGCTCTACTTAAACTAAAATTATAAAGCATGTTCATACAAATTATATGAATTTTTTGTATTCATTGTGTATCTTCAATTGATACTTCACTGGTGGGTTCATCAAAAAATCGTAAAGTGTCAGAAATTTCACTTGTAAGGGCATCCAAAGATGTCAATTGTTTGGTATCATGAGTTACTGTCTCTTGCAAACTTGTATCTTGAGTATCAGTAGTCGCATCGTCGTTATCATCTTCAGCGAAAGAGTCTAATGACGAGTTGTTCTGATTTGAGGAATCAGTCTTCCCACTAAAAGCACTATCGAGACTTTCAGTGCTCTTTCCAATCCGCTGCTTAGTGGATTGTAAGCTTGGTTCTCTAAGCCCCAGCTGTGGAGAATCAACCTGTGCTAGTGGGCTGCTTAGTGGTGTCGTTCTTGATATAAACTCCTTCCTTCTAGATGAGGTTCCCTGGTGATATACCAGACGAGCTTGTGTATCAAACGACTCTCCTGATGTGGTCTTGCCAGAGTCTGTCTTGTTTCTTGTCTTCGAGATATTGTCAGTTCCTGAGCCGTCATTGATAAATGACAAGGAATCGTTCGATTCTGACCGGGAAAGATCATTGGTCATTGAAGGCTTCCTGAAGAACTTTGGAAGCATCTGGGTCACTGGTGACTGACCACTTGTATTTCTTGATTTCAGTGAAGGTCTATGATTCAGAATCGATGAATGGTTCCTCGGAGAGCCATTGTCAACGTTTAGCTCATTACATTGAGCAGTAGAGGGAAGTTCAATGGTGATGCTCTTACTGGCTGGTGGAACTGGTGTCTTGATCATGGGGACCTTATCTTGAGAGTATGCTCCTTCGAATTTTGACTCAAGAACACTTTGTGGAGACACCTGTGCTAGGTTGAACTTTCCAAATATCTCTGATGGGTTCCTATTCAACTTCTCTGTGACAAACTTGGAGGTAACAGAATCCATTGAATTGACATTAAGTGAGCTTTGAATCAGTGGAGGTGGGACGGTTGGAGAACACAACTGTGGAGGTGTTTGATAGATATATCTAGATGTTTGTTCTCTTGCAGGTGGTTTCTCAAATGTCATTAGACCTTGAGAAGCAGTGTCATCCTCTTCTTTCTCTTCAATAGTTTCTGCCTTCTTGTCCTTCTCACTGGTAACAACACTCACATCTTCTGATGAGCTCACCATTTTGACCTTTTCACCAACACTGACAATCTTGACCTTCTCAAAGCTTCGCTCTGCAATACTATCCGTGACCTTTTCAATAGTCATGACAGATGCTCTTTTAGGACTGGAAAGGTTATTTGACGATCTTTCGATAGGCTTCATTGGTTTCTGCAAAATGCTATCGATGGTATCGTTCATGGTTACAACGTTTGTTGGTTCCTTCTTCGTCGAGAAGCTGTCACTCGATACCATCGACGCTAAGTTCTCCATTGATTTCTTAGCAACAATACTGGCCCTCTTGATGCAATTGTCCTCGTTATTTCTCTTTGGCGTTTCCACCTTGGTACATTGTGGCGTATCGTTAGAGATCAAGATAAGCTTTGGCAGAGGGTCACTTTGAGAAGCCCCATTGACAAATTGAGCACTCTTCACCATACTTGCTCTTGGAGTCGCTGACCTTTGTTTAATGTCATGAGCTTCTTTACGCGGTGGTTTCCTATCTTGCTTTGAGATATCGTTAGCTTCTTGGTCCTCAACACCAGCTGAGTTTGGAGGTGTCAAATATCTATTATTGGCAGAAACCTTGTCATGAGATGTTAAAATCAACCAATCACAGTCACCGATAGTTCTCGTCAACTTGATGACAGCAGTGTTTTGCAAATAGCCCAGAAACGTTTCATACTTCCAAGCGTTGATGAACCACTCACTAATCTCCAGTTTGGACAAACGAACCGGATTCGAGTTCAGTTGATCAAATGACGAGCTAAAGTTCATGTTGATAGTATCTTGGAGGAAAGTCTCTGGTGAATTACCATTTTCCCTCTCACTCTCAAACCCGTATCTGTTGAAGTCCTTGATGAATGTTGATATGAACTCTTTGTTGGCAAACAAGGTGTCATCTTTCAAACTCTTCCTCATCTTTGTGATGGTACTGTTAACTTTGAAGTTATCAAAATTCAAGTTCCTATCAAACTTGAGCAAGTAGTTCTTTGAAGATTTTGAAAAGAAGTTATCAATCACCTTGTACGGATTGACTTCAAACTTGTCCAAGAACTTATTCTCGTACTTTGTGAAAGTGTGGTTGGACGAGTATATCCTTGCTGAAGAATTAGCAGCCACTGAAATCAACTTGAAGTAATTGGTAGTTTTCAGCTCTTCATCAGAGGGAACAGTTAGAGTCAACGCCCTTTGAGTGACTGGTTTGTAATCAGCTGGTGGATATGTCTTTACAACGTCAAAGATATCCAACATAGCAAATTGGCTGAACGTTGATTCCTTCGACAGTGCTCTCAGATAAGACACAAATATATAATGGAAGCTGTAGCCTCTCTTGTAGTAGAAATTTTGCAGTTCTTGTAAATCGTCATCCTTGTGGTGATCGCTTGTACCTTCGCAATAAGTATCTCTAGAGAAGCAAATCTGACCAGCTGTATAGACAACATCAAGTGCGCTTTTCAGATCCAGTAAATAGTCGTTATCGAATATGGTGATAAATATCTCTAAAAATTCAAACAAGACACAGCAGTGATTATGAGAGGGCATAAATATTGGCAGCTGCTGATAGAAGCTCTGAAAATTGTTGAACCCTTCATTCTTCTCCCACTGTGCGAATTTCTCAAAGGTATCCCAAGGAACAATGGCCTCTGGTAAGAGAGACCAGACAATACGTAGTGATAGGATAATGGTGATCCATTTGGATTCCGTAAGCATCTTTTGCAGTTTCGGTCCTGTATATGAGCAACCCCCGTATGGGAACATCGATTTGATGAATCTATTGGCGAATTCTATATCATCTTGGTTGAACTGGCCCAGACTTGGCTTGAAAACGTCATACAGTGCGGATAGTTCGTGTCTTGACACATTGTTCTTGTCAATTTCACCGAGCCGTGATTTCAGCTCCCTGGTCAAGTAGTGAATCACGTAACGGCATGATGTATGGTTGATTCCATTGCAGGCAAATATATCGAACAAGTCCTGTTCCTTCAATAGCCATTTGTTGAACAGCTCAAAGTCGTAGATGTATAGCCCTTCTGCTTTCAGTCTGCTCTGTTTGTTCTCCATGAGAAGCTTCATCTGCGAAGAGGTATTACCAGTCGTCATTATCAAGCGAGTTGACCAGTTTCCAAGGAGTGTATTCTGGCTTATTACAAAAACTAAGCGGAAACAATGGGCTGTTCATACAAGTTATATACACATTCCAGGTCGGACAAGGAAATTGAGGACATATAAATTGTTTACGAAAGCCCTCTTAAAAGTAATCTAGAATTCATTTACAGTTCATATGTGCATGTGTCTGTGCTTAGCATTTGTTTCAAGACGCGTCGAATTGTCCAGTGAAACACTTCTATAAGTCGCGTGTCTGCGCTGTAGACAAGCAGCAAAGAGGATCCCCCTATTAACAGCAATAGAAACCGCTACACAGAGCTTGAACTCGGCTCTCTCGCCGTGATATGGGCCTGTGTGGGCAATTCCTAACAAAACAGGTTATATTCACTCTGCTAATCATCTTGTCTCTCAAAACAACTCACCGTGGAGAACGTGAAATGTTTCATGTGTGAACGAGAAATAAGATTCCGGTACCTTTCGGGTCAGGCTCTAGCCTAATCATGTTGCTCTGGAAACGAGGTGTACCTTGCAGCGATACATGCATTCAATCCAATCAAAGGGGAGAGGCGGAGGTGTGCTTTTAGAAGCCACTGTGTGCTCTGCTAAGAGGCTGTTCAAAGAGGCCAACTGATTAGATCGTGGAGTCGTATATCTTTGTAAGGGAGTTGGGACGGTAGAATAAGTTTCTTCATCATAATCACCGAAAACGACAGAGTTGCCGAATTAGGTTATTTCCGGCCGGCTTTTGCGCATCTCATCGATCACTTCCGGAAAATTTTCACTCTTTTGTTGCGACCCATAAACGGATGAATGAGGACTCCCAAACCACGTAGCAAGTGCTTGTAGGTTACTGCCTGAGTGTGATAGAGAGCTGGACTATGGTTGATTATCGAGGCAAACTGGTGCTTGCGCCGATGGTTAGAGCCGGCGAGCTACCAACACGTCTCCTGGCACTGAGATACGGTGCTGATCTCGTCTGGAGCCCCGAGATTATTGATAAGAAGATTATAACTTGTGAAAGGATAGTGAATTCCAAGCTGGGGACCGTTGACTACCTCTCTCCAGGGCATACGAAGATCCCAGGTATCACGAACCTGGTGTTTAGGACTCACCCGAAATTGGAACACTCAAAGCTGATATTCCAAATGGGCACTGCTAATCCCGATATTGCTGTTGAGGCTGCCAACAAAGTTATAGATGACGTCTCTGGTATCGACATCAATGCTGGTTGTCCAAAGCACTTCTCCATACACTCTGGTATGGGTGCTGCTCTGTTGAAAACACCTGACCTGCTGTGCTCCATCTTGACAAGTCTGGTGGAGAAAGTCGGTAAACCGAAGGGTAAACCAATAAGCGTCAAGATTAGACTAATGCCAGAACAGGACAAGACGCTAGAACTTGTTGAGAGATTGGTACAGACCGGCATAACCAATCTGACGTTACACTGTCGTACCCAACAGATGAGAAACAGAGAGGCTCCTATACGGTATTACGTTGATAAGGTCAAGTCGATCTGTGATAAAGCCGGTGTGAGCTTTATCATCAACGGTGCATTGCTGGATAGAAAGGATTTCATCAAATTACAGCAAGAATTTGGTAAAGATTGTGGAGGTATGATTGCTGAGAAGGCTGAACAGAATCCAACTGTCTTCAACGAATCACCTCTAGACTGGAAATCCGCAGTGAAGGAGTACATCGAGCTGGCACAAGAGATGGACAACTTCTTTGGTAATTCCAAGTACATGTTAACGAGAATGGTCCCAGGAAAGGAGTCATGGTATCAGGTGATGATAAAAGCAAAGACATATGACGATATACGTGAAATGCTAAAACTGCTTGATTCAAAGAGTGAGCAGGGCAAGAAGCACAAGATTGATGACGAAGAGGAAAACAGTGCCATTCCTCCAAAGAGACAACAGATATCTACATAGTTCAAAAGACTGCGTATTAAACATTTACTCTTATTCTTCTCTCTTCTCTTTTAATACACGTATATGTACAAGCTTAATCGAAATCCACCCCACGCCTTATAGACCCTTTATTGACCCAATAGAACACCCTTCACACCAGTCCATGCAGCAGCAGCACCAGCCATGAGAACACTTGCGTAACCCATTGGTTTCAGGCCTCTCGAGGACTTGAACAGCGCACCTGCAAGGGCACCTGCGACAACAGAGTTATAGATATCGTGCTTGCCTCTAAAGGCGTCGAGAGCAGAGTCGAAGAGGTTATAAGTCAAGGCCAAGACACCAGCGTTGTTACCGAGGAATGGACCACGCTTGGTGATATGATTCAACACCGTGTTCAGTCTCAGTCTCCCCGGAGCATTGGCCGGGATGTTCTGTAAACCTTCAAAGAACCCATATGAACCACCGAGACCCAAACCAAGGAGATACACCGCACCTGTACCGTAACACAAGTCATCGGTCCAACCACGAGAAGGAATCAAGCCTTGAGCGCCCTCCATGTGTGTCAGCTCCTCATCCTCCAGGTCCATGAACTCAACCCCCTTCTCTAAACCGGCAAGCGGATGCAATCTCGAGGTGTCCAGCCCGCCTGGTGCTGATATGATTTGAGAGACGCTAGAGATCTGGGATGGGTCAAACCCCAGCTTCGGGTCAATCCCTGACGACACAGCACCGCTCTCCGTGTGCGTCTCCTCCTTCTTAGAGCCAAATAACCATGACATTGTAAACTAGGACTGGTCTTGATGCAACGATAACTGATGGTGACTATGAGCTGCCTTCAAACTGACGATATTAATGTGTATGCAAAGCCAGCTAATTCGACAAAATGCTTCTTCGTCCTCTTCCTACAAACGTTCCTTTCTAACTAAGCAACGTTGTTGATCTTCTCCACGCGTTTGTGCTTGAAACTGCCAACCTGAGGGAGCCTTTTGAAGGTTGAAATGGTGTTTTGTTTTGCTGTTTGGAGTTGTGGTGAAAGTTTCAATGTTGGAAAGTTTTGGGTGGACGACAGCGGAAAAAAAAAAACCACAAAACCGGCGGCGGCAAACGAGCGAGGAAAAAACATGACGAAAAAGTTGGTGTGCGGATGTATTATGTAAGCAGCTTCGATATGTGGTTACGTAATCAAGTTTTCTCTCCCAATTCCGATCCGTGTCGGCATTTTCCGCTTTGAGGAGGGAATTCCGATCAGACACCTTTACAACTTCCATCACCAACCAGAAAGGGCACAAGGAAACATCTCTAATAGCAACCAGGCAGTGCCGATCATGACCGAGATAGAGGCCCAGCTTGGACAGCTGCACGACTTGAAGAACTCACTCGCAAGGCTTCTCTACACGGAGGCTGGCTTGGACAAAGAAAAGATCTTTCTACTTCTCTCCCAGTACAACGATTCGCTTGATTACCTTCATGATGAGTTGGAGTTCCAATTCGGGCTAGACCTGGATAAACCTGTGCACACCCAGATTGAGCTCGTTGCTGAGTACGACTCATTGAGGGATTTCATGAACAGATTCCAGAAGAATCTCATTACAAAGCAATTATCTCAAAGGGAGGATCAATTGGCCAATTTTGAAGATTTGAAAAGGGCCAAGTACAACAGAGAAGTCGCTGCTGACACTGCTGACACTGCCATTGAGACCCATGAGGAGCCAGAAGTCGTCTCAAAGGACGCAAAGATCATGAACACAACGAGAAAGATCACTTCAAAACTCGTAACCTCATCACAGATATTACAGTCTTCACTGGTGCAGTCTCAATTGAATATTGAAGAGTTGGAAATCCAAGGTGATTCATTATCAAGATTTGCAGAGAGGAATGACGTTGTTGGTGGGATGCTTACACGGTCAGAGGTGTTCATCAACGATATCCGGCTAAGTAGTATGAAGGATAAGAAGAGGATGTACTACGCCCTAGCGTTCTTTGCCCTGTGTGTTTTCAAAGTGTTTTGGAGCAGATTGTTGAAGTGGCCCGTGATACTGTCATGGAGAATTGTATGGTATTCAACACGTGCGTTGTTTTCAACTCTGGGGCTCGTATCAAAACCTCTAAAGGTTGAGCCTTTAAAGGCGTCCAATATCGTTCAGGCCATTGGCACAACAACAACAACGTCAGCAGTAGGAGTAGCATCTGATGTTGTTGAAACAGTATCATCACTGAGTGAAGCTATTACTACAACTATGGGAGAATTTGTTTCAATAGTTTCTAACGTTGCGGAAGAACTTGCGACCGATACATTTGAAGAAGCGTTAGGTAGAATTATCGACGAACTATAAAGTTATTTTCTCATACAAGGTGAATAGTTCGACAATGACGAAAGTACCACTGTAGATGAATCAATCCAAATATTCCGAGAAATTATGCTGTAATATAATGAAGCACCCCCGTGTAATTATCCGACTACATAGCGCAACCCAGGTGAAGAGGGTTCAGATTACAAAGGTAGAAAGATTGATGAAATCACCCACGTCCCTCATTACACGACACTTATAACTGCTTGGTCTGATTGTGCTATGAATTATACCATATACAACTTGTTATTCCAACCACCGTTTAACCAGTTTAACAATGGTCAACCACGATACAGGATATCTGAGACCGATTCGGCTTTGTATCATTCGGAGCAAAAATAGCAAACAATGGCTCTCTTTTCGTATCCTTTTTTAATGCTGGACTAGTAATCGTTGACAAAGCCTTGTTGGAAAAATTGGTAGCGATTTACTACAGTACAAGAAGCCATATGTATATGTAAATCCATTTTTCCGTTTACAGTTTACGAGGGTCACACTGGCGTGAATATGGAGAGCAGATACCGCATGTGAACATATGTTTCGTTAGAAAAGCTCCAAGCATCCCTCCCAGTAAGACCTAAGCATGGACCAACTCAATTGTCTATACCAATTTGCTGCTTTGCAATGGCATCTAAGGTCGAATCATAAGTCGGTTTCTTTCAAGTGCTTCCCAGACCAAGTACCCATATCAACAATGTTGTTAATAATACATAGATCGAGAGTTCTGATAATATCCCAAAGTTTCGACATCTTTGCACATTGAACATAGAGCTGATCTTTGCATTCGTATCCTTCTCGTTTGTTTCCTCCCCCTCCCTTTGCCTATGCATTCGCAGTACATAATCCAAGGTTCCCAGTCTATCTATTGTTTATAACGTGTTAGTCCATGTTATTCTATAAAGCTGTTCAAATGAGTCAGTTCTTTTAGAGTCACATAGGTCACCAAATACTGGACGGTAGAGCAAGCTCCTAGTACTATGGATGAAGGCTCACGGTAAGTTTCCACCCGTTCATGGGAGTCATGCGAGAGAGTCGTCTGCATCGGAATAATCCCCTCCACAGGCGCAAGCGTTAAGAGCTTGACAGTTGTATAATAACATTCCCACCCCACATCACACGCTGTACATCAGAAACCGTACAGCGGAGACAGTTCTAGGCTCCAATTGCATATCCAATTCCTTGCGTTCTACTTTCAAGAGATTGGGTGTATAGGTAATGATGTCGGCATCGGCTTCGAGTACTCGTGAGTATCCGTCATTAAACATGACGTATTCATTTCTTGTTGCATGTAAGAACAATAACACGGTTTTACTGGAGCAAGCGCAAAAGACTACGCTTAACACCAGTTGAAAATGACAGTCCCATCAGCGTCCATGAAGTTTCCGTTACTTTACATGTTTAATTCCAACGATAGTGCTTTAAAAATGGAGTTGCACCAACGCTGGGATGGAGAGTTTTTCACAGATGCACGGCTATGTACTGTTATGCAAATTTATTCCGCATGTTTCTCCGAAGTTGTAACCATCAGTGGAATATGTAGAAGAGTTGGGGTTAAAAAGACTATCATTATATTTGGGGTTCACATATTGAAGGTTTTGTATTTTGTGAACGTACTTTGGATCATACAACTACGGAATAAAGGGGTCATTTAATCCGGGGTGCGTTACGGGTTTCTATTCTACAGTTGTGAAACACCATGGATGAAATGAAGGGAAACTTGTGATAATTGGAGGCCCTATAAAAGCACCTCCACCTCCTGATCCTTTGAACGTGAAGAAGTTCTTTTCAAAATCATTACACATTATCATCAGTCATAAGTTGAAAGAAAATGATTGGATTGATTGCTGATGAGGCCAAACTGTGGAAATTTGGTAAAAACAAAAAAACTGCTACGGGAGAAGAAATGAAGAGACAAGAAGATGGAGAAAAGAACGAGCAACGCCATGATAATTTGGCACACTACCTTCCAAATTCAACCATGCCATGGTGGAAGACTCGCCATTTTTTGGTTTTGAATTGGCTGATTCTGATTGTCTCCCTCACATCTACAAATACCGGCTACGATGGTTCACTGCTTAACGCTTTCCAATCTATGCCCGATTGGATGTCTGCCATGGGCCATCCTGAAGGTGCTGTTCTTGGTGCCATTGCAAATGGTGTGGTTTTCGGTGTTCTTCTTTCCACCCTGGTTGCAAGTACAATCTCAGACCGTTTAGGTAGAAGACATGCTATTACAATTGGTGATGTGATTATGATTATTGGGACTATTATTCAGTCTTGTGCTGGTACATGGTTACATGTTAACGGAAATGATAAACAAGAGACAAGTAGACGCACATATGCCATGTTTTTGGTTGCAAGAATCATTCTTGGCTTTGGTAATGGTGTAGCCACAATTGCATCACCACCATTGATCTCTGAGCTTTCATACCCGACTCATAGACAGGCTGTTACTGCATTCTTTAACTCCAATTGGTACTTAGGTGCTATTATCTCATCATGGGTCTCATTTGGTACAAGAAATGTTGGCAGAAACTGGTCTTGGAGAATTCCATCAATAATTCAAGGTTTCTTCCCTTTAGCACAAATTTGCCTGATTTATTTTGTTCCTGAGTCCCCACGTTTCCTCATATCTAAGGGCAGAAACTCTGAGGCTAGGGAAATATTGCTTAAATACCATGGTGGTGGTAATGAAGAAGAATGCGGTGCCCTTGTTGATTTTGAAATGTCTGAGATTGAGCTTGCTATTGAGCAAGAAAAGTATGCAAACCATTTCTCCTACTTGTCCTTCTTCAAGACTCCAGGTAATAGAAAGAGACTCTTTATTCTCTGTTTCTTGGGTGTGATTATGCAGCTCTCTGGTAATGGTTTGGTCTCTTACTACTTGTCTATTGTCCTTAACTCTATCGGCATCACTTCCACTTCTCAACAACTGATCTTCAATGGTGGACTTATGATCTATAACTATGGTATCAGTATCATTATTAATTTGTTTGCACACAACCACACTAGAAGAAGAACTGTCTTCATCACCTCTGTCGCATCCATGCTTCTCACTTATGTCATCTGGACTATTCTGTCTGCCATCAACCAACAAAGAAACTTTGAAGACAGTTCCCTCGGAAAAGGTGTCATGGCAATGATCTTCTTGTATTATCTGGCCTATAACTTGGGTCTGAACGGCTTACCATACCTTTACTTGACTGAAATTCTACCTTTCACGATCAGAACTAAGGGTATAAATTTGTGTGTCTTGGTTCAACAAATCATCCAGATTTACAATGGTTTCGTCAATCCAATAGCTATGGATGCTATTGAATGGAGATACTACATTGTGTATTGCTGTATATTGGCTGTTGAGCTTGTTGTCGTTTACTTGACTTGGGTTGAAACATCTGGCCGTACTTTGGAGGAAGTTGTCGAGGTCTTTGGTGAGTCCATTACTGACCACGATATCGAACATTTGAAGAAAAACAAAGCAATGGCCGAACACCGTGAAAATGTATCAAGCGACGGTGACAACGTTGATAAAACAAGTAGCACTGAAAATGAAAACAACTTGCTCGCTTAGTTAAGCTTTATATGCTCATGTGTCTTTATATATTTAAAAGATAATGTTTTATGATGAACACTTGAATCTGGTTAGTTTTGAATAAAACGATCCTGCTTGCTCGCACACTCTCACAATCTATGTCGAGCATACTTGAAGCAACAACTTGCGTAATCTATCCTTCCTGGCGTGTTTTACATACTCTTATTAAACTGGCGATTAAATCACCAACCAGAGCTGGTTGTCATGGTAGACTCAGGATTAGAATCTTCATGGCTAACACTACAACACAGGAAAGGGATTCTGCATACCCGAGACGATACATGGTTGTCCTAAGCTTGTCATGGTTGAACAATTACTTCGGTAGACGTCATTATTCATTCGTTGTTGACCCCGGACTTCCAGTTTATGACAGTCTATTAAAGAAATCAAAAAAACACTATTAATAAAATAGATTATAATAAATTACTCATTTGAGCTTCTCGATTAACTGTGCCAGCTCCACGACATCATCAGTATTGTACTTCACCCTTAGTCCATGTAATCTTTTGTTGAACCGCGATTGAGGGTTATTGTGAACCAGTTTCTCGTGCCTTAATCTAGCATCACGTCTTTTGAAGCATTTTTGACACAACGCACTAGAGCATTGATAGCTTTCAGCTTCTGTAAATTCAAGTGGCTCTTTTGGAGAAGCATCCGGTATCAGCTTTGTGGGATCAATTAAAGTAGAATGTTGTGCCGCACAATGTCTGCGAACTTCAGCACGTCGAGGAAGGCCAAGGATGGACCATGGGCAATCATTAAAGGGGCATCTGTAGGGACGTTTAATCTTTTCCTCGTCAATATGCTCTGCGAGGGTCATCATCGAGGTAAATGTAGAGTCACAATGTCCACACTTATAATACCCTTTCTTCTTCTTCTCTTCAATCTTGTTCCAGATGGCTTTGTTTCCCTTTAATTGAGGCACGATAGGTACATGGCTCTGATGGTCTCCATAAGTATTCGATAATGTAGATTTGTATACCCTTTGCTTTCTAGTTGCATTTTGCTTTATCAATTTATCCCTCCCCAAAGAGCCAGCTTTTTCTGGGGAAATTAAAGCTTTATCTGAAGCAGAGTCTTTGAGGTGAACGCTTGCATCGGCTTCGCCTTCTGTAACGTCAACGACACGCTTCGAAACTCTCGCTATTCGGTCTTGATCAAGCAAAGATCCTTCTTCAATAATTTTCTGTGCTTGAGTAATATCCATGTCAGACTTCGGAGACTCCCCTATTGGGGACCTCTGTAATGTAGAGCCCTGAGAGTGTAAGAACTTGGGAGAAAATGGTGTTGAGAATGTTGAACTGATATTGGAACATGTTGTACTCGTGGAATTAAAGACCATATTATCAACCCATGATGGCGACTCCCAATAAACACTTTCCTCCAATGGTGTAGAAGATGTTTTGACCTCTTTAATCTGTACGCCCTCTGTGAGTAATGTCATACTTGAGTGATCAGCACCACCAATGGGCCAAGTGACGATGTTTAGAAAAGAGTCCAATTCCTTGGGATTCGCATGTTGCTCTGTGGTGTCACTCTTGAAGCTGTGTGATAAAAGGTCTGTGTTCCAAACTCTATCCGTTTTCTTAGTTGATCTTTCACGACCTTCATCACCGAGAAACAATTGTTCTGTTGTCATTTCGGGCCACTGCAAAAAGACAGTGCTATAGTCATCATAGATACTTTCTGAAGAGTTCATACCTTAAAACACTTTGTGAAACAAAAAAAGCACTTATTTTTTCTATATCACCTAAAACTTCAGGAACATCTGTCATGTTAAATACTGTTGGTCCAAGGCAATAGGCACTTCCAGAATTATGTAGACTAGTTGACTTAACACCCCCCTAGGTTTGCCTTGTGTCATATCATGTAGAATGGCTGCATTACGTGCATGTCGATACAGCTCTGGTCAACTGATGCAATTTTCTACACGCCTTCTTCTTGAAAAAGGAAATTGTTTTGAAAAAGAAAGCGACCTTCAACTTGGCTTGTCAGAAGTTCACACTCTAAAATAGGTCTGTGGTTTTGTACGTGGAAATGTTCAGTGTATGATCGAATGTCTTTTAGCGAGTAATCTCACACATACTCCCGTCCTAAAATTAAAAACCGCTGGCTCGATCTATTTAAGGAAACGTTTGAGGATGAGCCTGTAGTGGATAACTTTACACTAAAGAGTCAGCAGTATATGATTATCTTTGGCTATCCACAATTTATATGCCTTGTAGTACATTTGCTAATCAGCACAGCTTTCCCGAACACACAAACAGCTTTAGCGAGGCACACATCTTGCTGCTTTTCTGATCCATTTTAGGCGAATAAGCACAGCGTTTTAAAGAAGAGCAAGAGTATTTCGACCCTTATATCGTAAATGAGAATGTAAAAACTACAGCAGTAGCTCACCGTGTTTTTTCTCAAATATGTGGAATTCGTAATATTAGAGATATGTACGCTTTCAGGCCTTTAAAACGAAGCGTCTCCTTTATATGTAAAGAGCTACATGCCTATTCACTCTGCGTCTCCTTTATATGTAAAGAGCTACATGCATATTCACTCTGCGTCTGTTTACGTATGCGCATTTCGAGTAATGTTCACTCGGAAAACTCTGAGAAGAGATATGATCTTCTACCAGCCCTGGAAAGAAATCGGGGTATGCTGTATAAACTCCTACATATTTACTGCGAATGTAAGGTGGCTCTTTTCGTATTATATCAATCTTTATTGCTAAGTGTTTTTTGACTATCTGTGAGATGTTATAACCCTCAATCACCAAGGAGTTTGAAAGTAGTTACTGTTTACCCTTTGTTATGGATTCTTTGTGTGTGTTTTTCTGAATCATTGTTAATATTTTCATCTTTATTGCGGGTGAATTGAAATTATATTACAGATAGCTTCTTTGAAGATCTGCTAACAGGACCACCTTTCCTGGGTGTTTCACCCTCTTGAAATATACACAAATACTTTAATTTTTATGATGTGATTTTTAACACGTTCTTGCTGCATAGATTAGACCTTTTCGCTGGTTGTACATGCCTCCGTTTAAAGCTCCCCCAATTATACACATCTTACATAGGTTCATTTGCTAAAAGGCTATTGACCACAAGTGAGGACGATTGCTACATTAGTACATTCTACGCCAACTTGCAAAAGTTATGCATACAGTGCATTGATGTGCAGACGTATGACCACCCAAGAAGTTTTGATGCCCTTTTTGACATGGTGTTGAACGCTTCAATGTAAGAATGGAGCCTACAAAAGTAACAGCCAAATTCGTTTCCCAAACAAGTTATAAGTGTATATTTAAAGTTTATACTCACTCAACTAACGCAGCCGCAGATATCAGTATATGGTCTTCCTCGGTACAGTAGGTAATATTATACCTGCTACTGGTATGAATTTCTCCAGACCTTATTGGCCGTAAGCTAAGCTTTAACTGGTTGCAACGTTAAATAATCATTTTGTCCCTAGAAGTGAAAGGGGTGCAACATTTTGCCTTTAAGGGCAACAGCCCTGGTGAATGATTCTGATCAATGATGACATCATTCCTTCAACGACTTCCAACTTCTGGTTTCACTTGTCTGTCTTATATTATATGTTATTTGTTGCTCATCGAGATTTTTTTTCCAGAAGGCATCATAATTCTTTATTGTCTGGTCAGCTGATTATAACAGAGTTGCTCATAAAATTCAGGTATTCTGATTGTTAGACAGAAGTAAACCAAAGTGTATGTGGCTCCTTTGTTCCCGTAGGGCTGTTCATGTAAACCACCTATATGTACACATTAGAAATGACCAGCCTACATTACATATGCACTCTGGTTAATAAAGTCCTTGTTTCGTAATGTATTTCACTGTGAGCCCTGTTACTCGCAACTCTAGGAGTATGGTGGAATAGAGTTATGAGTGGTTTAGTAGTTAATTAAATTGTACAGTATCTCATAGGAAAGAAAAGGCAATACGTTCTCATGTAAGACATGTGACCCTCAGTTATGCTCGATTCGGAGCATGAAGTGATTCAGATACCAGGTAGGTCGTTCCCAGGACAATCAGACTAACAACACAGTCTATATTGGCAGGCATTCTATAGATTTTCATACTTGGTGGTTTCAAATGCTGCAAGTATGTGAGAATCAGCAGCTAATTTCCTGTTTATTAGTCTACTTCTTTTGATTCCATCATAGCGTAGTTCATGTCCTTCATGTAAGTTAAAGTTGACCGCCTACTGTCTTCTCCTCTTTGTCTAACTACATTTCACACTGTACTGGGCTATTATATACAGATACCAGTGAATTTGAGCAAATCACAGGTACATTTGTCTATGTTCAAGTGTACTGTTTTGCTCCCCCTGACCAAAAACCCACCCTGTAAACTCTCATAGCTCGATGTGATCACTAGCCTCACCATCACCGCATTAATATAGGTCCCATTTTCCGCTACAACACCTCGACCTGCAATCCTTTTTAACGTTTGATCTATTGGCATATTTAATTGGCTAAATACACGTTTAGTCCATAAGTTCGAATTAATGCTGCTGTTTATGTGCTGCTGATTCAAAACCTTATCATCAACCAATACCAGTTCAATTTAGAGACAGAGAACAGCACGACTGTATAACTACTACATTTAAGAGTATACACCATATGCTATCTGCAGTACACTGCATAGCATTGCATGTTTGGATATGATACAAGAGTAGTCTTGCATATTCTTGCCTTGATGCAATTTTGAACACGGCAAATATCCATTCCTGTCCAGATCTCATAAACCATGATGCAGTTATATACCTCCCATGTCGGCTATTTCGTGTAATATTGTCACTAGTAAACAGAAACAGCATTAGTGATACGTTACGAATTACATCCTTATGCCGATTTTGGAAAACACAACATAGAAAGGGACACCCCGTCATATGACATCGTACCGACTCTATTGCACCAATACCGTGGAATGGGCATGCATTCACGTCTTGAATGTCTGAGTCCTCCGAACTGAAAATATCAACTTCTCTGCTAATTCCAAGTTTTTCTATTGCCATCGTTTCATGCTGTATGGCACTACCGTGTGAAAACCCTTAGTATTTGCCTTTGTTGGATATAACACATTTTTGAATTAAGTACATCAAAGTTCAAGGGTCACACATACTACCATTGAGAGAATGTACATTGCTGTTCTGGGTATTCCTATGTTAGAGAACCATCCAGATATCTCAGTGCAGAAACAGTCAATTTACATGAACTCATTCCTTAAATTACATGAAATAGTTTAGTAAGAAAGGCTAGGCGAACAAAAAAAAAACACTTGTGACAGACATCCAAACGAATATAGGAACAGCATTTAATGTCGTTCTAGGCGTTGCACTTTACAGATACGACGACCGAGTTTTCGTATTGTAAAATCAATTGTGTTAATTACAAGATTACAAGACGCTACAGTTGTGCCGTTATTCGCTAGAAAGACAATCGGATGTACTGTTCCACAGCACCGGTCTCCCAAATTGTCCACTTCGGCCGTCAACTAGTGACCCTACAGCTGTTTCTGAATACATTGATCACATCTCGAAATTACAGAACATAACATATTCCCAATTGAAATTATCCAGCTTATCACAATAACGGAACATAAAAAGAAAAACCAAACAACAATAATACCGGCTCACTTATACAAAGCAAACGTCTCGGACGTCACAGCATAACACAACAAAATCAGTTGTTCTGAGGAACAGTCAAAGGAGTCAGACGAAGGTATGGCTTAATGATTCTGAACTTTGGGAACAGAGTCTTAGCCTCCTCGTTAGAAACAGAGGGATGAACAATCACATCATCACCTGGAACCCAGTTAATTGGGGTCGTGATTCTATTCTTGTCCCCCAATTGTAAAGAATCCAAGGCTCTCAACACTTCTGCAGTGTTTCTACCAGTAGAAGCTGGGTATGAAATGATCAAACGGATGGTCTTCTTTGGGTCAATGATAAAGACAGAACGAATTGTGAGCTGAACACCCTTATCATCCAAATTTGTGGCATCCTGGTAATCAATCATATCATACTTCAGGGCAATTTCCCTGTTTGGATCCGCAATGATTGGGAAAGTGAGTTTAGACCCCGTAATCTCATCAATGTCCTTGATCCAAGCCTTGTGAGACTCAGTGGAGTTTGCAGACAGCCCAATCAGTTTGGCTCCTCTCTTTTCAAATTCCGGTTGCAATTTGGCGAAGGCACCCAATTCAGTGGTACACACCGGGGTGAAATCATCTGGATGGGAGAAAAGAACAACCCAATCGTCTCCAACGTAATCGTAGAACTCAATTGGACCATTGGAAGTGTCAGCTGAAAAGTTTGGGGCCTTTGACCCAAGACGAAGCGTACCGTCTGCTGGTTTTGGAATTGACATGGTTTCTACCTTTCTTTGTTGAACAGAGCAATCTCGCAGATGAAAACTCCAAATGAACCCAGAATATAAACAATATACACCCCTTTTTTATAGGTTTTAAAGGCGTTTTAAAAGCGGTTTTTACCCTTTGTTCATGTGGGTGAATTCGAACTTTCCTTGCTGAAAAAGCACGCATTGCTTGAAAAAACAGCCACAGTTTTTTTTTTTTACTTGGTTGTTTGGGTTACCGCGTTGCCCCGGTGATTTTTGCAAAAACTCCCAAGATGGGTCACGTGATATATGGTGTTTGGATGTGGTCTTCATGAGGTGAACCGCTTGTCTTCGATATGTTGCCTCTCATCAATATAATGAACCAATTGCAGATCCTGGGGGGTTAATTAGCTTCGAGCTGTTCTGCTGTATGGATACCGGCACCTCCTTTCACATTCCTCGCTTCAACTGCTTCAAAATGGTGTGGCTTTTTGGTGGAACACACCCACGATGTAACCAAGACGTATAACCTTGCATGTCAACATGTAAAGTTGCAAATGGAGCTGATACTACATAGACACACAGCAGAGAGTTATATTTCTAATATACCATTAAATTCAAGAAAAAGAAACAACCGCACACACAAAAGTTATACATAAATACACAAGAAAGAAGTGTACTGTAACGTAGAAAAGTTTCAGACTTCAACATGAACTATAAGCCGTAGTTCGTTCCCCGGAACAGTTCTGTCTTAGTTTTATTCATTCACTCGCCCCCACGCTCCATCCTCATCAACAATCATCAATAATCATCAATGTTCAAACACCATGAAATTTTGCTTTTTCATAAGGAAGAGGCTTAGACAGTCTCCAAGATCTCATCCTTGAATCCAGATGCAACCTTCTTACCCTTCTCCTCAGAAGAGGCCTCACCGTGGAGAGCCAACAAAGCACCCAAGTCGAATTTTGGTTGTTTTAGCAACTTGACCTTTCTGATGTGCACGTTTTGCAATGGGAAGATGTTCTTTGTAGTCTTCTCGATCTCACGGCCGATAACCTCTGGGATCAACTTGGCAGTCAATTGAGCCAAAGTGGCATTCTGGACCTCTCTGTTGATGATCTCGGTCATTTGCTTTCTGATGGCTCTAATGTGAGAAGATTGGGCGTAAGTGGTCTTCTTGATTTGGTTAGCTTGACGCTTGGTGAATGCAATGGCAAACACTCTGACAATGTAGTCGTCAGAGGTCTTTGCAGTGACGTTGCACTCGATCAGAGTTTGCCATTTTCTAATCATGGATCTCAACTTGTCAGAGGTCATATCCATACCGTGGAAGTTTGTAAGCAAGTTGTTACCTTGAACCTCATCGACTCTCAGCTTGACGTTTCTGAAGGCGTAATCTTCAGAGCCTTGCAAGTCACCAAGGGAGATCTCAACAACACGGCCCTTCAAGGCATCAGCAGCGTTCTTCAAACCGGTGGACTTGTTCACCAAGGTCTTACCAACGTTTCTGTTCTCAAAAGTGGATGGTGCCTTAATGTCAAACCACTCCTTTCTCTGGAATGGGTCGATCACTTTCTTCTTCAATCCCTTCTTACCTTTGGACAATCTTTTGTTCTTACCAACAGCCATGATGTTCCCTCTGTGTGTTAATACAACAACCAACCAACTAAATCACCACTTGCACTGAGGGTAGAAAGTCTCCTCCCTTCAAAAATTTTTCACCCCCCAACCTGCGAACGCTGCTGTGCGGTCCCTCGGTACACGCGTGTGTCCCCGAACAAAAGTGAAAATTTTAAACACCCAAACACCACTCTGACGCGAAAAGCGAAAAAACGTAGTCACATTCTCGGTACGCGCACTACATCACGTGTTTTGCGGGCGTACCGAGATGCCCTTGCGAGGGACTCCATCGAATGGCAAGCATTGCACTTTGTGGGGGCTCTCCAGACGGGTTTCAAGCACCAATTGCGGTGATTACAGTGACCACCATCCAGGTGGTTGAGTTCTACAGCTCGGACTTTATAGAGTGGAAATGTTTCTTCGTTTAAACAAATATCCACAATGCAAACTTATCTTAAAACCGGATAAATCCCCCATATAAGCAATAAATTAAATACAAAGAACAAGGAAAGAACATCAATCGTTATTGGGAAGCCATTCAATGGCCATTTTGATATTGGCAGCATGTTGCCGTTCTCATCTCGTCAAGAAACAAACAGACAAAGCGCAGCGTACAAACTACACTTAGTTGTTCTCTGGACGCAACTTTCTGACCTCACGGCCAACCTTCCAGATCTCCATGTTTCTGATGACATCCAACTCCTTCTCCAACTTCTCTCTGTAGTCTGGTTGGGAGTTGAAGTCCAAGGAACGCTTGGTCTCGGTACCGTTCTTGGTGGACTCGTAAAGCTTCTCAAAGACTGGCTTCAAGGCGTCCTTGAAGATTGGGTACCAGTCCAAAGCACCTCTTCTGGCGGTGGTGGAGCAGGCGTCGTACATGTAGTCCATACCGTACTTACCAATCAATGGGTAAAGGGATTGGGTGGCCTCCTCAACGGTCTCGTTGAAAGCCTCAGATGGGGAGTGGCCGTTCTCTCTCAAAACGTCGTATTGAGCAAGGAACATACCGTGGATACCACCCATCAAACAACCTCTCTCACCGTACAAGTCGGAGTTCACCTCTCTCTCAAAGGTGGTTTGGTAGACGTAACCAGAACCAACGGCAACGGCCAAGGCCTGGGCCTTCTCGTGGGCCTTACCGGTAACGTCGTTCCAGACAGCGTAGGAGGAGTTGATACCACGGCCCTCCTTGAAAAGGGATCTGACGGTTCTACCAGAACCCTTTGGAGCAACGAGGATAACGTCAACGTTCTTTGGTGGGACAACGTGGGTCAAGTCCTTGAACACTGGGGAGAAACCGTGGGAGAAGTACAAGGTCTTACCCTCGGTGATCAATGGCTCAAGGGTGCTCCAGGTCTCGGACTGAGCAGCGTCAGAAAGCAAGTTCATAACGTAGGTACCCTTCTTGACAGCCTCCTCGACTGGGAAAAGGTTCTCACCTGGAACCCAGCCATCCTCAATGGCAGCCTTCCAGGAAGCACCGTTCTCTCTGACACCAATGATCACATTAAGACCGTTGTCTCTCAAGTTCAAACCTTGGCCGTAACCTTGGGAACCGTAACCAATCAAGGCCAAGGTGTCGTTCTTGAAGTACTCCAACAACTTCTCTCTTGGCCAGTCAGCACGCTCGTACACAACCTCATCAACACCACCAAAGTTGATGGTCTTGACACCTCTCACACCGGCAACCTTGGTGGCGGTTCTGAGTGCTGGACGAGTGGCAGCAGAGGACAAGGCTCTCTTAGCAATGGAGGCACCGGCAGTGCGGGCAATTCTGAGGGAAGCGTTTCTGAAAGACATAGTGCTTAACGATAAAAGTCTGGTTATCAAACAGGGAGTAAAGGGGGAAGAGGAAGAGGAAAAGAAAAGAGGATCTGGTAGTCCTTTTTATATAGCAAAGCGGCCACGGTGGAAAAATTTTTCAGTTGACTCAAGCAGCGGTGCTGCCCGGTGAACGGAGTGCGGTACCGGCGAAAAGGGCAGCCTTTATGAAATTTTGGGGCAGTTTTAAAACTGATTCTTTGGTGATTGGAGTTCCAGCTGGTTGTGCCGTTGTGGTGTGTTGGTGTGCTGTTGGCTGTGTGTGTATTACTGTTGCTGTGCTGGCCAATTGAAGCTGCCGTTGCTCAGTTGATAGGCTGATAAGTTTTGCGATGAGGTTAGCGTCGAAATGGGCCGATGAGCCTGATCTGGTTGAGGAGGCACAGGAGCAGGACCATATGAAGGATGCCAACGTGATAACGTGCAAGAAAGGCCAGCCGTTGGTTTCACGGTGGGCTGAGAGCAGTGGCGATGAGGAGGATGGTGGTGAGGAAGAGGAGCCTGTGCGGTTGGAGAGACGAGGTGGGAAGAAGGAGACGAGACATAAAGGACGTGGCGATCTGGCATCGAGGTTGGGCCAATTGGCTGTTTCCGCTGGAGATCACACGGGTGATGGCCGTGGTGGCCACCGTGATGAACACCACGGTAATGACCACGGTGACCACGATCACCACGATCACCACCACGGCGACCAAGAAGCAGACGACAGGCCACCGCCCACCAAAGCTGCTCGTGACTTTGCCGCTAGGCTGGGCATTAAACTTGATAGTGGCCCCAAGTCGCACACTGAAGCTGAAAGAAAACACAATAGGGACAAGAAGATGCGCTCGAACAGTGAGTGGGACAGAGGGAAGAGAGACTCGGCCCACCAGGCCTCGCCTTCAAGGAGCGTGGCAAGGAAACCGCATGGTGATGCTCCTCGTAGTCACAAGAGTGACGGTAAACACCGTGAACATCGTACTGGCCACAACAAGAAGAAACAGGAAGAAGACAAGCCCTTCAACCAGGAGGAGTTCAACAAGATCTTTGCGAAGGAGTACCAACTCAACGAGGACATTGCCAATGGTAAGAAAGTGGACTGGTCTGCTTTCGATGATGACGACTTTTAATACATGACAATCTGGTTCTAATCTTTATACAGGTATCACAATGCTTTTATTTTCCTTATATACACAATAGCATTCATCCCCACAGTGTCTCCCTTGTCTTGTGACCATCAACGTCACGTATTAGATGGGCCTTCAGTATACGTGCCTGTCTGAAATGCTCAGAGTCGAATATCCCTTTGAACACAACGTCAGCCACCTGGCCGTTCTGTCCTTCTATGGACACGGTCCCCAAGAACCAGATATCAACATCCTTCGACTTATTGCTGTTCACGACTGGTATCTCGAACGAATCCTCGCCACCAAGGTTCTCCATCAGCACTTCGAAATCACGTTGCACGGTGAACGGACGGTGTTCAAACGACACCCTCAGAGGGTGGGGCTTCAGCTGGATGCCCTTGACGGTGGACTGCTTCTCCTCTGTCCAGATCTCAAAGCCCTCGTCGTGGAACTGCGTCTTGAGAGGTAATCTGAACCCCTTCTGGATCAACGGGTCTAGTGAGAGCCTCTCCAGCACCTGTTCCTTGGCCACAGACTTCACGTACTTCAAATCAACGTCTCGCTCCGTCGACGCCCACCTGGACTTGGAGATCCACATGGGCAAGAACACCTTCTTGCCCTGGTATAGCTGGAAGCCAACGTACGCCCCCACAGTACCAAGGACAATGGACGTTGCCTGTACGACGGTCCGTAGGGGCCTCGTGCCCGTCGCATTGGGACGAACAGGCATGAACTGCGTGCTTAAGCATCTCCTCCACGGAAACGCCAATGAACCTCTCGCTGAAGTCTTCACCTGACTGATCATTGTTCGCTTATCTGCTCCTGCTCCTGCTGTCTTTCTCAGCGTTGCAACTGGCTTTGCTATGAATTATGGCTCCTCAGCCATTGGAAGCCCGCAATCCGCGAAATCACCATGGCGTTGGTGCGTTACTGTGGTTATCGCTGCAACAACTATAGAGGCGCAGTTTATGTCAACAACGATGGCTACCCACTGGCTTTTATAGGCGGAGAGCATGATCAATTGGCCTTGGTGTTCGCTCGTGGGTTGGTGGTCAGTGTTCTGGAGCCCTAAGGGGGCTGTGATGCTGCTTTTGAAGCACCCATTGGTGATAAGTGGATGATTGGCAGCGCAGCATCTTATGCATGCACTGCTACAGAGCACAAGGTGTAGATTAAAAGCAATTATTCTCATTACATTATAGAGCCATAGCACTAGGTGTAGGCTGATTATGGAGCCCATGGATCCGTCTAATGTACAAATCTCGTTATTTGGAATGTTAATACCAACAAGCGGTAGTTCTCGTGGTGGAAGAGCCCGTGGTTAAAAGACCCATTCTGCAATCTTCTGGTACCACTTCTGGTGCAGCTTTCCTTCTCTCTCCAAGCTCTCCAGGTAGTTCATCTCGTGCTCTTCGACCTCGGCAAGGCCAGTGATGAGATCTGCCTCCTCTGGTTGGACAAATTTCGATCTCTTGATCAGCTTGTAGCCCACGTAGAGAACAATGTCGAGCAAGATCATCAGGTAATAAGTTAAAAAGTTCTCAATGTTCCACATGCCTGGAAGGAAGACGGTGTAGCCCAACGAGCCCACCATGCACAGAGTCATGAACAAGCAGAAACAGATAGTGTAAGGCTGGAACCACGACAAGTATCTGAACTGTGTTCTGTCGATTCCTTGGGCATTGCATGCACGATAGAATCCAATGTAAGTGATGCACATAAAGAAGTAGTTGTTCACTTGAGCACCGGTACACAGGTTGACGATCCAGCTCAGCACAGTGGCTGTGCTATCACCCAACTGTAACAGGGACAAGAGAGAGAAGCAAAAGGCAATACCAACGCAGAATACCGGAACACCAGACTTTGTACAGTACTGTAGGAACTTTGGTGCAAACCCTCTCAGAGATATAGAATAGAGGGACCGGGAAGAGCAGTAGACATATGAATTACCTGCAGAGAAGGCAGAAACAACACAGAGGACATTGACGATGTGAGGGAACACCTTGATGCCCATGTTAGTCATTGCAATGATATAAGGTGAGTAAGAACCGTTAGAGGTAGAACCTGCTGCAGCAAGTTCATTCAAGGTTGGATCGTTATATGGGAGTAAAATACCCACAGACAGGGCACCAAAGATGTAAAAGAATATCAATCTGTAAAACACAGATCTGAAAGTACCGGCAAGGACTTTTCTGGTCTCCTGACCAGCTTCTCCAGCAACCATGGACAAGTACTCCGGGCCAACGATGGTGAAGCAGCCGGTATTCAAAGCACGCAGGAAACCTTGGAAGCGACCCATGTTTCCAGTGGTATAATACGTTGAGAATGGGCCTGGATCATTCCAATAGCGGAACCCAAATGCGTCGTGTTGTGGGTTTCCTCCAACCATTGTGATGAAAGTGAAAAAGATCAACGCAATAGCCAGGAACAGCTTACCAATGGAGAGGTAGAACTCAGACTCACCAAACCATTTCACGGCAAACAAGTTCAGTGCAGTGTAGATGAAGATCTGGATGCAGAACGATATGGCTGGAGAATAGTCATCTCTCCAGTAGTGGATCATACCGTTAACAGCGGTGATCTCAAAGGGAATGTAGACGGAAATCATGATGAAATAGTTGAAGCCTACGATGAGCTCAAAGGCATCGTCGACACAACGTCCAGCCATTTGAATGAATGGCGACGATATTGGCAAGTAGCACACCATCTCACCAATGGAGGCAGTGACACCGAATATCACTCCTGTCCAGATGAAGAAGGCCAAGAACAGTCCCAGCGGACCACCATACAGCAGACCAGTGGAGATGGTGACGAACAAACCTGTTCCAATGGCACCTCCAATAGCGATCAAGTGCAGGGTTCTTGAGGTCAGCGTCCGATGCGTGGTGTTGTACTGCTTCTCAACAGAAGTTGAAGAGATGGACGACGTTGTGAACTCCTCGTTCTTCTTGACCGACTCCTCGTCGGATGGCTTGTTGAAGTAGTTGAACACCATGGCGATGCTGGCGCAGTGGCAGTGGTGTGGATGCGAAAGAGTAGAAGCGTTCGAGACTCTGAGTGCTCGACTATAGCATTAATCCCCCAATATGACGTACAACGCTCGGGTCGTGTGAAAGCAGCGAAGACGACAGCACGCGGGCTTCAAAAAATGATCGAAACAAGGGTATGGACCAATCCTCACACGCACTTATTCTTCAAGTAGGTATCTATAAGCACAGATACACCTAAACGTTAACTATACAACAACAAGAAGCAACCACACAGGCTTTGCAACTGGAAGAAAAAAAATTTTCCTTCTCCCTTTTAAACATCCATCAAGATTATCCCAAATCCACATCGATTCATGCAAGAGAGCACGAGCGCTTTCAACCCAGCCATAATCCCATAGAACCGTAGTACAACCGTATGCTTTTGTTGATATTGCGAATTAGGCTTTTCCCACCTGCATATATATGATGTAATCGTGAGTCGGACATGCGGCCCGTACCACAGACAAACTCGAGCAGAGAAAACTTTTTCATTATTTTTCTTTCTTTTTGACTTTGGCGTGCGTCGTTTTCGGAAAAGGGCCCACAGCTCAACAGGGCAACCAGGCAGAGCCGAAAGCGTCAACGCTTCCCAATGGCGATGATGCCCGCAAGACAAAACAGCATGTGGGCGTAGAGGACGGGAAACGATAGCAAGCGGTCGAAGAAGGTGGAGGCCACGTCTTTAAGCTTTATAGGCACGTACTAAAAACGATGTGGCGGTCTCAGATCTGTAGATTATCACCAGAGTTGGTCTCTGAGGCGCCGCTGCGGTGGGTGATAAAGCCTGTAGAAAACAAGCCCAATATTGGGTGTATGCGGTGAGCGTTTGGTGTACGTTTTGATGTTGATGGCTCCAGAGGTGTGTGTTTTGTGCGTTGTCTGTTTGTTTGGCGGACGGCCCCAAGGTGAGGAGGAGCTGGCGTGGAGAGGGCACGTCTGTGGCCTTTAACGTGTTCCATCAAGGGAGATGGCACATACGAAGGTGAGGGTGGAGGGGACAGAGGACAGAGGACAGAGGACAACGAGCACTGTGCTGCTCAGAATTGGTCACCTGTCTCGGTTGTGCTCCGTCGCTCTGTCTTTGCGTGACCGAGTATATCCAAGCATCTTATGCAGCCCGTGCTAGGTATGAGCCCTCAGAGGCCTCACGGTTATAGTGACCGTGGATGTGGGCCCGTGATGCTGTTGTAGTCGACTGGACTCTCGTGAATCTGATGCTGGTGGGTAAACTGCGCGCGAACATTGAGTGCGTCGTTGACACTGCTCACACTGAGTGCACATTGGTGTCTATGGCTCGTGGTAGTCATCGCAGCAGCCACCATAAGGCTGTTCTTGTGCCGAGCTTTGATGGCCCAGTACACTGCTTTCGTCTACAGTTCAAGATCACAACCAGTCACCTCCACCGGCATGTCTGGTTTCCCGCTTCCCACGCCGGAAGTACCTTGTGCTGTTTTTCCTTTACGTCACGGCAGTTGACCTCAAGCTTCGGTACGGACGTGTGTATATGCTCGATTGCTCTCCATTGGCGTATCGAAGTATCGGCGTTTAGTGTATAAGCACCAGTACGTGGAATACGCCTCGAACATTAAACTCTGGAGTCACTATGTGGAGTAAAACAGGTGCAACAGCAACGATCATACGGTCACAAGCCTACTCACCACAACCAGTTCAGCACGCTACCCGATGCTCAGATTAGAGTGAGGATATAGCACACCGTGCAGAAACATCTCATGACAAATACCCTCCCCTCTGTTGAAAGATCTCACGCTTGCCATATGCCCAAGACTTGTATTGTACAAGGTGTTGAGCCCCGTGCAGCACGGCTACGGTGTACATACCGTACGTCCACACCCTTTGGGCATACACTGTATACCAGACGACGTTTTGCATATAACGTGCCACAGTAGCGGTCGGGTGCTGTGGTAATAACGCCGATATATATACGTTACATGAACTGGCCGTAAGCCCTGGAACTGGTGCACCAATTACGACTAACCCAAACGTCCGTGCCCTATTAAGTGCAGCACAACACATCCTCAAGTATGCTGGATCTGAGCAATGTACATGTGCCTCGGAACTGCGATGAGACGATGGCAGAAGGCATAGCACTGTGTAGCCTGCGCTCTTCGGGGTTCAGCTTAACGTTTCCAGTTATATCAACGTCACAACATATCTTTCACTAACAAGTTGATCTGTAGTGCTTCAGTACGGTGAACGCAATTTAGACCTTCGCGATCAACTTGCGCTGCCGGGCCTGTCGGGTATGGACTTTAATGCCTGGTCCCTCGTGAATAAAATGATGGTTTTTTCAAACTAACGAAATCAACGCCTAAGGAGTCTTCTAAAGCTGTAGCGGAAGATTTCGTAAGTGTTGTTGCAAGCATGTGCTTGGTGTGGATATGTTAGAATGATACTAATTTGAGTACCGTTAGTATGGAAAATATTTGTCTCATCCTTTATGAATTAAAAGAGGACACCTCAAAGATCAAAAACACTCTTAGACATAGTATTGATATAAGTGAAGCGGCCTGTAAATCTCTCCTTTATACGTACTGCAATTGAAGTATGTTCTGATGTTATTGCTTCTGCGCACCAAGGCGAACTCTTTAACCTCTGGTAATGAAGAAGTACGATGTTCTGAATTTGTTGGTGCTGTTGGTTCAATATAGATGAATTCAACAACAGTCTCCTCTCTTGTTAATCCCATCTCTGTAATTTCCTGTTGAACAATTTCTGTAGCGGTATATAACAACTGTGCATAATGATTGTTTTGAGATAGAAATTCACCAATTTTGCTGATGTATGCCTCAAGTTTATTATATTCTTCATCGTTTTGAACATCTCTAGCAATTGAAGATGACGATTTGTAACGAAATCATGATCTAGTGTATAAAGTTCTGCAAATTTCTCCCGATCATTTTCTTGAGCTATCATACCATCAACTCTATGGAATAAACGTCTGTTGATGGTTATTGAATAAGTTCCACCTCTCGAATCACCAGTACTTTTAGAACCCAAGGATGATAGAGAAAGAATTGTATTTATTGTTCAAGAAGATTTGGACGTGATTGGATCCCAAAAATATTCTTCATGTACTGTGGATGCTCTTTGAATATCTCACCGAGTAAAACTTTTCCCCTATCACAACAAAAAGATGGTAATTCAGTATCGATAAGGAGAGCATGGCAATAATCACAACACTTTGCAAGACAACCTGGATTTAACTCCAAGTTATGTGGTCTCGGTGATCTCCATTGTTGTTGTTCATAAACTGGATCATCATTCTCGTTAAAACCGTTGGTGTCATCCTCAATGATGTATTCAAAGTTGGGATCATAATCAAAAGCACCATCACGTCTAATTTCTTCCAATTTCCTTTCTGCTATCTGTGCTGTATTTCGTCGTTCTTCTCTCATTCTATCAGCCATAGTTCCATTATCAGGTTCAGGTAATGGCGGCTGTTCTGGTACATCTCTGATTTCTACATGGGCATTCTGTGACAAACCTTGGAGGTCTCTTGGTTCCGTATCTTGTTGTCATAACAGGTCTGTTAGCTTATCTCAAATAATTGGTCGGTCTTCTTGTCGTGTCGTGCCTCCAGTCGTTTGAACTTGCCGCTGTGGTTCTGGATTAGCCGCTGATGTTTCTTCTTTAGCTTGAGGACGTTGTTTGAAGGTTCCAATGAGAGTTCCCTGGAGTTTCTTTGGTTGTCACCCAGCCATTCTTCTTTACATGCTTAATCTTCTGTTTCTGGCCATTGTTTGATGATGTTTTTAACGTTGTGTATAAAGCTGTATTTGTTTTGTGTCATTTTGTGTTGATAAGAATTCAAAATGTAAACAATGCCTATTAGAATTGGAAACATCCTTACATTTTTACGATTGCTAGGGCAACGTGCGAGCCAAGATTATACATAAGAACACATATTGTGTGGACCATTTTGGAAACTTTAGTAATTCAATCAAGTTAAAAGTCAGTACATGTGACAATATAGATCAATTCTACTGAATGACTGTTCCATGTTTTCCAATTTTTGTTTTGTTGCTGAGATATAAGCAAATTTATGTGTTTTTCTTGATTATACCATACAAACTATGAATGGTTATATCTCAGAAAGCATTAAAGCTTACATTTTCATACTTTGTATATCTCTTGATTCGAGTAAGAGCTACAACGTGGTATACGTTGGGGAAATATGAAGCGGGATTGCTATTTTTATAAGTATCATTCTAATAATCCACTGATGTGTCCGGAAATCGAGTCTGAAGGTCGAACATCACAAGCCACTCTCTCTGATCAAGTGAATCACCAAGCCTACAGCCCAGAGGAATCTTTAAGAAAGCATTATTATACGTAGAAAATCAAATTATATGAGAAGTGAAAGACTATAAACTTCTATGTGCTGTCTGTGCTCGTTTGCTGCAAACACACTCTATTTCAATGGCACTCGATGAACTTAGACCATCTTGTCGTCGGCACTGGAGGTGTTGTCATACGCACGTTGTTGAAGAGCGAGCTTTGATGGATCAACCTCGCCGTGGACTTCCTCAGAGATCTCTTCCAAGGTCTTTCTCTTGGTCTCTGGGATGAAGTAGGTGAGGAAAAGACCACAGAGCATGAAGAGGGCAAAGATCTCCATGACATGTGGCAACCAACAGTTCTTCTTATCAGACGGACAGTTGTGGTTGATCAAAGTACCAAGGGCAGTTTGGGCAATGATAGCACCAACTTTACCACAGGCAGCAGAGATACCGTGGGCTGTGGATCTGTATCTGGTTGGGTAACACTCACCTGGCACGATGAAGGTGGTTGTGTTTGGACCAAAGTTCTGGAAGAATTGGGCAAGAACGTAGAGAGCAAGCAAACCGTGCTCACCAACCTTGTGGTAAGCGAAACCAATGATACAGAGGATAACGGTCAAGAGGAAGAAACCCATGTACTGGATTGGCTTTCTACCGACGAAATCGATAGTAGCAACAGAGAACCAGTAACCTGGGATGGAACCGGCACAAATCAAAATCAAGTTACCGGCAGCTTGGTTGTAAAGAGAGTGGTAAACGTTCTTCGAAGAGGCGTAACCAATAGTTTGCAAAATAGTAGCAGTGTTCAAACCAAGACCGTAGTAGGCAACATCAAGCATGAACCAACAACCAGCAGTACCCAAAAGAATCTTAAAGTGCTTCCATTGGCCGAAATGGCGTCTGAAATCACCAAAGGAGGCCTTTGGTGGCTGGATGATCTCTGCAGTGGTTCTCTCGGTGACTCTCAACTGTTGGACATCAGAATCGTCAGCGTTACCACGCATACCAGAGGAGAACTTACCACCATCGGCAACACCCTTCTCGATATCGTACTCAACATCCAAGGTGTATCTTGGGGATTCTGGGATGGTCAATCTGAAGTACAATGCGACACAGCCTGGAACACAGCCAAAACCAACAACAATACGCCACATGGCATCGCACGCTCTTTGACAACTGTGGCCACACTCGGCAGACGTGTTGGCATCGATCAGATCGTTCTTGTAACCTGCAACACAGATCAAGGCAACGATACCAGCCATCAACTGACCCCAACCTTGGTTGGCAAACACGGCACCCATAATGGCACCTCTCCACTTGGTGGTGGCAAACTCTGAAGAGATAACAGAGGACATTGGGTAATCACCACCAATACCAATACCTTGGACAATTCTGAAGAAAGTAAGGATAGCAGTGAAGTTGATGGCTGGGGACTCACCAAGGCAACACTGGCCAATGGTGGCACAGATCATCACAATCAGCTCGGTACCGTAGATTCTCTTACGACCAACGTAATCAGCAAGGAAACCGAATCCAAGCTGGCCAATAACAGTACCAACAGAGGTCGACACCTTGATCAGGGTACTCGTGGACGATGGCACGTTACCGTTCTCCCAGAAAACGTGCGACATCATCGACAAACCCAGGTTAATGGCAAAGATATCGTACGCATCTGTCAGGAAACCAACACCGGCAACGGTGATGGCTCTCACATGGTACCAGCCAAACGACGCCTGGTCAATCTTCTCCAGCGCCAGTCTTCTTCTCTCCAGAGGGTCCTCAACGTCGGCAAAGTCGTTCAGGTAGTTGTGGAACGCAGAGTTACCACCCTTGGTTCTAACACCAACAGCCGCAGGGTTAACCTTCTCGTCAGACATCTCTTCTCAACCTGTATAAAACTGCTTGGAGTCACAGCTGTCTTGCAAAGTACTGGGAAGCAACAACAGAACAATCCCAACTGGCAAACTGGGCATTCTCCAAGACTTTATATAATTTCACACACAAGGGAAAAAGGAATTCCGTCAACCCAAACAACACCACAAGCCATAGAAAGGGAGACCTGGTGCATGAATAAACAGAGTAATTAAATGGGTTGATAGTGGGTACACGTGCGTGTTGCATACGGAGATTGAGTGCAAAATTTTGTCGTTTCTTGTTTTGTCTTTTACGAAGCGATGGGCGGTAGGTTTTGGCGTGTTTGTACGCCGATTTTAACCCTTTTGGGGGGAGAGGTGGTTTTGGCAGAAAACCCTCAGTGTGAGGCTGTAGGCCATTGCGGGATGAAGGGGAGGCCCACATGGGCCTCGCTTTGAAGCCTGGTGCCTACACACACACGTTTGAGAAGTGTTTGGATGTTGATGGAGACGAAGAGGTTGTTGGTGCCATGACACAGGATGTGTGGTGGCGATGAGATGGGCAGTTAGTACCAAGGAATTTAACGACAGGTGATCTCTTGGCTGGCAGATGTGACACACTTGGGACTTTGATAGAAGGTCTTGGTTCTTCCAGGCCATTGTGTCAAGGGAGAGGCGAATTGCCAAGTTGTGGGCAGCTTGCGGTCCGTGAGGGCATGTGCTCACACGACCTCTTTACTCTTCTGGCCGCGATGGCTTGTGGTGTATAAAATTTGTCTGAGGCTCGCAACGGTCGATCGCATGTTGCAGTTGCAATTTAAATTGGAGGGACCAACGTGTCTGCCTGTGTTGGGATCTACAGTGAGGTTTTACATGAGGAGCGTTGGGGGTTCCAATTGGCGTCCACGTATAGCCGGGACTGGATATCGGTGTTGTTTACGGCGTCTTGTGCTCCAAGGTGGAGCGTAGGCGGAATGTGCTGTTGTGTAGGCCCGTATAGGGGGCTCAACATGTGGGCACATGTGTTGAAGAATGTGTGAAGCCCTCTGCTGGGCGTTTCACAACGACACAGCTCACCGGTATAGCTCACCGGTTCTCCATTTCAAGAGAACGTGTGTGTTCTGTTCGCTGTTAGAGGGCCCAAATGGCACGTCATAAGTATCGGCACATGATTACAATGTAGAATGTTCTCTGTTAAATATCTATGCCGTGTGTTATCCACCACATGTTCCTTTGCAAGTCTTGAGACCCGGTTCCAATGACACCGCTTGTGTTCGTAAATGCTAATTTTTGCGTGCTTCTATTTAGCCATATTGATATAACGTCATGGAGTTTGATCTGCATTAGGCCAGTGCTGTGGATACTACCATGAGAGATGATCGTCCGTGTATGGAGAGAGCACACGAGGGATGCTGCACACAGCAGCGTCGTTATATTATGGCCTCAGCACCGTCATATCGTTAGCTCAGCATCATCATATCCTTAGCTCAGCACCGTGAACCTCACAACACCACATGGGCTCCACTACAACTGCCTCGCTACCTGGAGTGATGTGGCGATGATCACTCAGCAACCTTTGCTTGACAACGCTCTCAACCGGCATAACGCTCACCATTTAAACCATGTGAGTCCTGTGATCCTGCATAGTCCCTACACCTTTACAATATATACACTCGAACTGTTGCACCCACGTCCCTGTGAAATGGCAGATTCTGCTTCCAAGATCTTCAGCCATATCCCTCGACAAATGCCGTTAGACTGCCATATAGGCCAATATCGAAGCTTTCTGCCACCCACAACATCGCCATATCGTGGAATTTACCCAACTCTGTTACAATACGCACCTCACTATCCACCTTCCACCCTTTCCCACGTCCTAGCAATGGCCAAGAGTACCAAATACACACGTAACCTGCGTGTAATCACCAAGCTCGCCCAGAGTGCAAACCCATGCTGTGCGCTCCTGTACGCTTCACACGCGTATTGTAACAACCACACAACCACACAGCTACGCACACTGCTCGCAACAACTCCACCGGACCTCTTCACAATAGAACAGGACTCTCAACCCAGTGCTAGCAGCAGTACGATCTCTCTCATCCAGCTCTTTCCCACGTTGTTTAAACGCTAACGCAAGAGAAACAGCGCTCTATGCACATGCAACAGAGGCAGTGCAACAGTGACTCGGTTACCCAATGCGGCACAATTGCGAAAACATTTGCGCAACCAATAAACGAAAAGCGAAAAACAAAATGCCAAGGGTCCACGTGGGCTTCAACACCTTCCATCAATGGTCTTTTAGCCAAATTCAGGCAAAAGAAGGACGGCAGGAGAAAAAGAAAGAAAACTTCAGAGTCACTGGACCATGCGACCGGGAGTGTGTGGCCACAGCCGTCTCCGTTGAGGCCCATAACGGTGTAATTGGGAGAGGCCGTGGTGGTGGTGGTGGTGGTGGTGCGTAGGAGGCTCTTGTTTGGTGTAGCGATGCGGGCGTGTAGGGCGATTGCCATTTGAACTTGGAGTGGATGAACCCTTGTTCAGGTGGTGTGGGTTGTGTTTGGCTGGACAGTTTTTAGTAGTGCTTGTTGATCCGTGGATCGTCGGTTGTTGTAGGTGTTTTGTGCTTTGGCACTGGACATGTGTGGTGTGTTCACGGTGCTGTGGTCATGGTGCTGTGGTCATGGTGCTGTGGTCATGGTACTGTGTTCACGGTGCTGTGGCCATGGTGCTGTGTTCATGGTGCTGTGTTCATGGTGCTGTGGTCATGGTGCTGTGGTCATGGTGCTGTGGTCACGGTGCTGTGGCCATGGTGCTGTGGCAGGCAGACGGGGTCCCCAGCCAGCCAGCCTTGAATGCTGCGTAGGTGCCCTGCTACCGTGTAAGGGGCTCGGAGTCATGTCAGAGGGTCTGCCATAGTGTCCTGGTTGTGGTGGTGGCACTTGGGACGTTGAGCCTGGTGAAGCAGCGTTGAATGGTGCCTCTTTCATTGAGACATGAATCACCTTTTTAGCACCTGTTGTGGATCCCCTGGTGGCCTACATTGATTCAGTGATGTGCAGTTGAAGATGCATTGTATAGGGTTACAGGCAGCGTACAGGCATAGCCACGCTGCTTTGGTACTGAGCCATGAGAGCTCTGTCGTATTATATACTTCACTGTGTTCTATAATGCTAGGATTGGACCAGACAGCACAGAGGGGGAGAGATGGGACGGGAAAAGTACACGCTGCGCCTTGTAAATCCCCAGAAAAGCACGTCATGATGAATGTGCGACATAGATCAGGGTATAGGTCGATGGCCTTCACACCGAGTGGAGTTATCTCTGTACATTCAAAGCCTCTGTGTATTGGAACGCAAGATCTGCTGGCTGTTGTGGGCTAGTACCAAGAGAACCAGTGCTTAGCTTACCCTTGGGGAACCCGAGCTCTTCAACGAGCCTCTCCAGCTTGCCCACGCCATCGACATCGTTGCCATGGTACTCCATCATTATGAGGAAGTTCTTGAAATTACCGTGGAGGAAGACGTTGATGGCCTTTATCACAAACTCGCCGTTTCTAATCTCATAGCTGTTCCCGTTCTCGCCCTTTAGCGTCTGTCTCAGCAGCCACAAACCTTGTAGCTTGGTTTGGATGATATGGTCTAGACTATCTGCGGCCCCATTGGAGCATCCACTATCAATAAGACCCTCTGGGATGTCATTGGTTGTTACAATGGCTTCGCCATTCACAACGGTGATGCTCTTACCTTGCTCGTTATCAAACGATAGATCGTAGAGGAATTGGGAGTCCCCACCCGCGCTGCCGTGTACGTTTTGCTTGAATATCTTCAGATCAAACGACCAGCGTCCAAGGACCTTGGGTATCTCATTCGAGATGAGGTCGTGGAATGTTGTTATACTATTCGGTGAAGCATCCTGAACAAGTAAAACACTGAGACAGAGGTTAGTATATTTTCTTAGGCAGCACGGCAACGGGTCAAAAACGCTTACGCAGTGGTTACCATCCTTCAGTATGTACGTAGAGAAGCAATGCCAGTGACAATTGACCAAGTTTCTTCAAGCGTCTGGCACTTGCGATAAAACAGGCACGGGAACGAGTTGGCGATGTTTACGTTTTGAAACACCTGGACACCCCAAAAAACCTGGACACCCGAACACCACATCCACACACCACATCCGCACACCACAAAACACGTATGCGTGGCACCTTCTTCCCATCTTCACACGCTCTCTAGCACTCACATTCCATAACAAAACACCATCCACTGCTTTCAATTGGTATCCCAGCAAGATGTCAGGCCTATCCACTGGTGCTGCTACCCATAGCAAAGCATCCGGTGCGAAGAAAAGAGCAAAATCAAAGGTTGAGAAGAAGCAATCACCAGCTGATGTTGACGATGATGCCACCGTTGAGGTGGAGAACACCACAGATGTTGGCATTGATACCGATGAGGCCAAGAAGCTGGGTGTTTCTGCCCAGTCCAAGGGCTCTTTCCTGTGGAAGATCGAGCCATGGGTATCAACGATCCTCTACACTGCCCTCGCTGTCTACGTCAGGCTCCACCTCATTGACAGATCGAAGAAAGTTGTGTGGGACGAGGCCCATTTCGGTAAGTTTGGCTCCTACTACATTAAACATGCCTTCTACCACGATGTCCACCCTCCGTTGGGAAAGATGCTCATTGGTCTGAGTGAGAAGATCGCAGGCTTCAACAACACGGAGTTTGAGTTTGGCTCCGGCTCCAAATACCCAGAGGATGTGGACTTCTACACAATGAGGGTGTTCAACGCGTTGTTCAGTGCTGCTGTGACTCCAGCTGTTTATTGGGCTGCCAGATTTGCAGACTATCAGCTGCTGACCATCCACCTGATCACCCTTATGGCGACACTGGAATCGTCCTTTGTCACGCTGGGTAAGTTCATCTTGCTGGATTCCATCCTGCTGTTCTTCACGGCAACTACGTTCTTGACCTTGGTCAAGTTGATGCAGCTGAAGAAGCGTGAAAGAGAATTCACCGTTGAATGGTACCTGTGGATGGTTCTTTCCGGGCTCTCCATCGGCTGCGTGTGCTCTGTGAAGTGGGTTGGCCTCTTCATCACCGTGGTTGTCGGCATCTTTGTCGTCCAGGACCTTGCTGAGAAGCTCTTTGACAAGGAACTCTCTTGGGAGAAATACGCACGACACTGGCTTGTGCGTATCGTGACGTTGATCTTCATTCCAATGGCTGTGTACCTCATCTGCTTCAAGATCCATTTCGCACTGTTGTACAAGTCAGGCACTGGTGATGCATCGACATCGTCTCTATTCCAAGCGAACTTGGAGGGCAATAAGATCAAACAGTCACCAAGAGATGTCGTTTTCGGTTCTGAAGTGACCATTAGATCTCAAGGCTCAAGCCCAAACCTGCTACATTCGCACGTCCAGATCTACCCAGACGGCTCACATCAACAGCAAATCACGGCGTACGGCCACTCTGACAGCAACAACAACTGGTTCTTCAAGTTTGCTCGTCGTGATGGAAGATCTCTCAACAACGTTACAGAGTTGATTCCCGTCAAAAACGGTGATACTGTTAGACTTGTCCACAGGTCTACCAACGTGAACTTGCACTCCCATAAGGTCCCAGGCCATGTTTCCAAGCAACACTACGAGGTGTCAGGTTATGGCAGCGAAAAGGTTGGTGACACCAGAGACGACTGGGTCGTGGAGATCTTCTCTCAGAGCTTCCCGGAAAACACCTCCTATGCCAACGAGGACAAGTCACTTATCCATCCTTTGTCCACCACTTTTAGACTGAGACACGCTGATTTGGGCTGTTACTTGTCCACCACTGGTAGCTCATATCCTGCCTGGGGGTTCAAGCAGAGTGAGGTTGTCTGTAAATACCCTTGGACCTCATACGACCAGTCTACGCACTGGAACGTGGAAGACCACATGAATGCCAAAATGGCGAGTGACGAGTACTACGTTCCTCCAAAGTCGAACTTCTTGTCGGACTTCATCCACATCAACTTTGCCATGGCTGCTTCCAACAACGCATTGGTTCCAGATAGCGATAAATACGATGCTTTGGCTTCCAGCTGGTGGCAATGGCCAACACTGTACATTGGTCTGAGAATGTGTGGTTGGGGTTACGCTGATATTAGATACTTCCTCATGGGCAACATCTTCAACACATGGGGCTCTTCTTTGGCACTGATTGCATTCGTGTTGCTCACTGCTTACTACATCATCAAGTTCCAAAGACAGACTCTTAACTGGGACTATGCGATGTTCTGGGACTACCTCATCAAGGGATTCTATCCTTTCCTGAGTTGGGTATTCCACTACATGCCATTTGTGCTTATGGGAAGAGTCACCTATGTTCACCATTACGTTCCAGCGTTGTTCTTTGCCTTATTCGTCCTGGGATACATGGTGGAGCTTACCGTTGGTAAAGCTCGCCCACTCATCAAGTACACAACGTATGCTACTTGCTACGGTGCTGTTGTATTCACATTCTGGTACTTCAGGGCTTTCCATGAAGGTATGACTGGAAACCAAAACGATTACAAGAACCTCAAGGTCCTACCAACATGGCAAGTCTGATACAATCGACACTTGTGTGATAAACTGAATAAACAAAACGTAAATACTTAAAAAGAAAGAACCCCCATCGTTGAACAGCTATGTTTCATTTTTGTAGTTTGAATGGATGTGCCTCCGTGTTGAACACATAATCATCCAAACTCCATACTGATGACTCTTCAAACAATAAGTAGAAGTATTTCAACGTTTCACTGAACCAAAACGACTCGACAGCATCTTTAAACCTGTGAGTATTCGAGACATCGGAGAACAGATCGTCAACCTCTGTGAAAACACCATCCCTTTGACAAAGTCTTTCGATGTTTTGCCACATCATCCACCCATAATCTCTCCATCTGGAGTCACCAGTGGTTCTATACATATACCATACAGACTCAATTGCCTCTGGTCTCATGTTGTAAAATGGTCTTGCGTCGTTCAGCCAAAGAGGCTGGTTCTCCCTTGCCCCTGTCCATCTATATGAGCCATCTTCCATTTGTTTAATTGGGAAAACATCCTTGTCTTTTGCACGTTCCAACTCGATTCTAGGAGATACATAGGCAGCATCACCGTCACTATCAGTTGCATCCACTTTCTTGTTTGAAGATGTGCTCTGCTCAGCAGAACCAATGAACGCTCTTTTACTCAACTGCTGGTTTGAGCTTCCCTTTTTAGCATCTTTAACATCACCACCTTTATTCAACCCAACGGCAGCCTCGATCTTCTGTCTCAATCTCTCATTCTCGGCAGGAGTTAATTTGGGGGAATATCTACTGCTGCTGAGTTGGAGGCTTGGTGTCTCTGTAGCCTTCTTGAGAAAGTTGATTCTCTCATCTTCGTCGTAATAATCCTCGTCATTTGACATGCTATCCACCTTAACCACCTCTGGCATGATTCCTAGCTCCTCATACAGTTTGACACAGCCAAGTGTGACCTTCTCAGCAAGCCCCATGTCCTCTGAGATGTTGAAGAGACGTGATCCAAGCGCAAGCATTCCACCTGTAAAGCATGTCAAATGTTGCATGTCCTCGTCAGGAGATACAATAATCGTATCTATACTGCGTTGGAAGACGGAAATAGAGGATACAAAGAGAACATCAGGGTTGTTCACCATCTTTGGACGGTACAACATATACTTTCTGATGTGTTCTGCTGCTCTCAAGTACATCTCCTTGTATGTTTGCGAATACTTTGCATCACCACCCAAGAGATGGAACATCTTTGGCAAGTACTCGTAGAAAGAGTCGCCTAGCCCACCAAGTGAGTATTTCTGTGAGAGGCCTTCAGCAGATCTGATTGAATCCTTTTCGAGTTCACAATACGAATAAGACTTGTCGGAAATCACCTTTAGAACTTTTGCCTTGTTCAGATGAGAGCCCTTCGTGCTTTCTCCTTCATTGAGTTTCTTACAGCCAGAGATATCCACGTGGTTTGAATATAGGCCAGGAAGTAAGAAGTTGTCCTTTGACTTCTCCAATGCGTTCGTGATTCTCGTTATAGCGTCATAATACTCGTTGTCGCCAGTCAATTGGGACAGTTTAGAGAATTCCAATGATAGAGAGCCCAGCTCCGCAATCGAAGATGAAGTAGATGCCAGTCTATTGGCAAGTTCAGATTGCCATTCATAGTGGAGTAATGGCATTCTGTTTGGGGTGTCAAATGCCTCCATGAGTAAATGAGCCAAATCTTCACAGTTCTGTAAAACCGACTTATCCTCGGTGATGTCGTAGGCCGTGAGCATGCCACCAAGGACTCGTATAACGTTCTCGAAGATTGGAATGGCATTTCTGTACGATTGCTTGAAGTTCACCCTCTGTAAGAACTTGATGGCCTCTTTAACCTCTTCATCCTCGCCCATCAGGTGCAACGTATCGATGGAATCGATCAACGTCGCACTCCACCCGTTGAATGGGTCAAGCACCTCGTGCGAGATGGGTCTGACTTCATCATGGCCATAGCCATAGTCCTTATATATCTTCCATGACTTCATGAATGCCTCCTTAACACGAGCAAGCCTAGAGGGCATGGCAGCACCGCCATCGGAGAACTCTGTGGCCTGAATGCTGGGATAGGACGCATCCCTCGCCACCCTCGGCAGCTTAAAGTAGTTCTCCTTGCCCACAGGGTAGCGGTACTTCTTCTTATGCTTCCTCAAGTCCACGGCCTTCTGGTTGTTGAAGTACTCGTCAGGCAGCACACTTCCTTGCTTCGTCTCAACCTTCTCCACGCCCAGCCACGGGAAGTACTTGTTCTTCTCCACAATGTCCTCCCACAAGCCCAGCTTCTGGGGAGCAGCGACCTCGTCGTGGGCAGGGGTGTCAGTGATGGGAGGGAGCTCGTCATCAGCCATATGGTTGTTGAGCTCGTACTCCTCGTTGAGGAACCTGTAGTAGAACAGGCCCAGTAGCGTTAGCAGAACCACCAGGGGGAACCTCAGCCGGCGTAGCTTCATCGACAAGTACATTGCTCCACGGTTGCTGTCTCTCTCTAGCTCTCTCTGTCCAGTGTAACCGCACAACAAGCTCACACTGCCTTCTTCAATGTTGAAGTCTTCCACAAAGCACACACACGCACCCCTTTGTTTACATTTCGCCTTGTATCTTCGGTAAGGCCACGAGCGTCTTCGGTACACGCACGCGCAGCGTCGGTACGCACACGCACAGAGACCTCCCTACACCAGGCTACTCGGCCGGCCGGCCGGTGGAGGTAGCACAGCCGACCTCTCACTACACTTATCGGACAAGTAAAGGTGTGTAACACCTGGTTAAAGAGCATGGGAAGCGTGAAAGGAGTACACCCTCACGGAGTTGTCGTGTGATGTTGCTGCGAACAACAAGGGCTCCCGGTGGTTTGTGGGTGCTGTGCTCCAACAGACACGGGAGATGCGGTCCCCCGGCGTCTCTCTGGCATCGACGGTGTAGGCGTGCTCCAGCTTGTGGGAACGGAACGTGTAGACGATCAGGCTGCCTGTTTCGAGCCCTACAACGATGAGCTCGGTGCTGGAGCCGTTGAGCGTGTAGCCAGTGACGTCCAGAGCCGTCACTGCGGCCGGGAACTTGACCGTGTCCACCAGCTCGACGCCGGCCTCGTCCCTGATGAGCCATGCCTTCACGGACTTATCTCTGGAGGCTGTGAAGAAGTAGTGGCCACAACGTGACCATGAACAGTCCCAGATGATTCTTGCGTGGGCCTTCTCATTGCTGAACTCCAGCGTGAACTCGTTGCTGGAGGGATCTCTCTTCCAGACACCGAACTGACGGTCTCTCGATACCGTCAGTAGCCTCTGGCCGTCTGGAGAGAACTTCACCCTGGTGACGGTCAGGTTGTGGAGAGACAGGTTGGGCTTCATCTCGCTCCAGCTCTCACAGTCAAACAGCCTGATCACGCTGTGCTGCTGAGAGTTCGACTTGCACGAGCTGGCGACCATCTTCCTATCAGGCGATGTGTCCACGCTGACTATCTCGTAGCCATGGCCATAAAGTTTCTCGATCTCCGGCCAGAGCGTGTGTCTCTGCAGATGATCCTCCAGCGGTGGCCATCTCAGATCATCGAGGATCTGGTAGGATATGTTTGTAGTCTCCGCGGTTTCACGCTCGTTCGCGTTCTGTTCTTGATCCTCACTGGTGGCCTTGTTGGACAGCCCCAGCGCTGGCAGCGACGCCGACTCTGCAGTCACTTCACTGGTGAGATCAATCCCACAGAACTTGTGAAGTATGTTGGCCACGCCCTTTGGCTCGTCAAATGAACGTAGGATCTTTTCGTCGCCTCCAGAGATGAATCTTGTATTGGACAATGATGCAACGCAGATCATGTCGTAGCCATGGATCTGCGGCCTGGCAAACTCTCTCCACGTGATACGATCACGCTTGGTCCCATCAGCATCCTGTGACCACCGAGCAAAGAGTCGAGTGGTTTGGTCCAGCGACGTCGCCAGCAGGTACTCGCCGTCAGTGGACCAAGAAAGGTCGGTGCCTTTCTTGGTCGCACCGGTGATGGCCACGTTCTGGCTCCAATTGTTAGCGTCGCCATTGTCACACGTCCAGCTTCTCCAGCTTCCTGTTCTTCCATTGGTGAGGATGTGCTGTCTGCCCTGGTCGTCGTCCAGCCAAATCGAGGCCCAGAACCCACCAGAGGAGCCAGTTGCTGTGGATGCACCTTTAGAACTTATTTCACCTAGTCTAGAAGCACATATCCAGATACCAGAGCTGGTATCCGGCTCCCAGATCATCATTGCAGTATCGGCACTGGATGCCAGTAGTTTCAGCTCGGTTTCATGCCATTGTAAGGAGGATATCCAGTCGTCATGTCCCATGATGAGAGCTTCAAAGTTGATTGCAACTCTGGTGTCCTCTATGGAGAATTTGTACTGTTTATTGCTCAGCAGCGTGAGCTTAGTTTCATCCTCATCGGATCTATCGATCAGGTCATTGGTTCTCAATCTCCACAGACGGATGTATCTATCTTGTGAGCCAGATGCCAGCAGATAATCGCCATCTGCCTGCTTCTTGAACGTCAGGGCCTTGACCCAGTCCTCGTGTCCCTCCAGAGCAGCAACGAGCTCAAACGTCTTCACAGCTCCATCCTGGAGAGTGAACGCATAGACGTGTATCTGGAACTTCGAGCCACCAATGGCAAGCACGTACTGGTTCCGTGAGATCTCCTGTAACGCCAGTGACAACGGCAGCATGCCCACAGGGGTCTGGAACTCGTGCAGTAGCCTCATCTCGCCATCCACAAGCCCCACCACCGAGATATGGCCGTTAACATCACCGACACAGGCCAGTGTCCCGTACAGGCCCATACACACGATGCTATCGGAATGATGATCAATGCTCTGCACCAGAGACATTGAGTGGTCGTCAAAAACCCACAGCTTCAGTGACGTATCTTCGCTTCCAGAGATCATGTACTCGCTGTCTTTGAAGAATCTCACACACGTCACCTCCTTAGTATGTCCTTTCAACGTGGCATGGACTCCACGGTGGTGATGGTCCAGAGGATTCCACAGAGCTATGGAGGAGCCTGCGCCGAAAGCAATGGTCTTCCGGCCCACGTGGATGTCCGCAACGTGTGTCTGTCTATTCGCACCGATGAAGATGGCCTCAGTCGACGTCATTTGCCCTTATTCACTTATGTCTCACGGGATGGGGATCAACTGCCTAAATTCGCCTCGAGAGAAAAGTTTTATATATGGCCGATGAGCTGGTACGGGACACAGAGTAATAAACTACCATCAACGACTGCCCTACAAAGGCCTCTCCTAGTGCTGCTTGCTTACCAAAGAAGACTCGATGTGATTATATGCCAGTGACGTACCTTCAATATACAGTCAGCGGGTGTATGTAATAAATAAGCTATGTTGTCTCTTACTCTGTCCGTTCAATTCGGATAATGATTATGTATAGTGCTCCTCTCCAATCGTATGTGTTCGTAAGTGTCATGCTGCTGAGTTCCAGTTCGTGGACGGATGCTCTTCAAGCATCAGCATCCAGGACACAGCCCTTGGAGGCGTCGGAGACCAGCTTTGCGTACTTCGAGAGGGTACCTCTGGTGTATCTTGGTGGAGGAGCGACCCATGACTTTCTTCTCTCAGCGAGCTCTTCATCGCTCACAAGCAGGTCGATCTTGTTGTTGTCAGAGTCGATGACGATGATGTCACCGTCCTTAACCAAACCAATTGGACCACCCTCGGCAGCTTCTGGAACAACGTGGCCAATGAGGAACCCGTGAGAGCCACCGGAGAATCTACCGTCAGTCAGAAGGGCAACGTCCTGACCCAAACCGTATCCCATCAATGCAGAGGATGGCTTCAACATCTCAGGCATACCTGGACCACCCTTTGGACCTTCGTATCTGATGATACAGACGGTCTTTTCACCCTTCTTGATCTCACCTCTCTCCAAGGCATGGATGAAAGAGGCCTCATCTTCAAACACTCTAGCAGAACCCTTGAAATAGGTACCCTCCTTACCGGTGATCTTACCAACGGAACCACCTGGTGCCAAGGAACCATATAGCACTTGCAAATGGCCTCTTGGCTTCAATGGGTTGGAAACAGGTCTGATGATTGGCTGGCCTTCTGGCAAGCCTTCGGACTTCTCCAGGTTCTCAGCCATGGTCTTACCAGTGACGGTCAAACAGTCACCGTTGAGCATTCCTTCACTGAGCAAGTACTTCATCACGGCCTGTGTACCACCATATTGAGCCAACTCTGCCATGACGTACTTACCAGATGGCTTGAAGTCAGCGAGGAACGGAGTCTTGTCAGAAATGGCCTGGAACTCGTCCAATGTAAGCTCGACACCGGCACTGTGAGCAACGGCAATCAAATGGAGACAGGCGTTTGTAGAACCACCAGTGGCGATGACGTAGGTGATTGCGTTCTTGAATGCTTCCTTTGTCATGATATCTCTTGGTTTCAAGTCCAAGGCAATCAAGTTCTTGATTGCCTCACCAATGTTGGCACATTCTTCAAGCTTCTCCTTTGAAACTGCAACTGCAGACGAAGAGTTTGGCATAGTCATACCCAACACCTCGGCTGCAGAGGCCATGGTGTTGGCAGTGTACATACCACCACATGAACCTGGACCTGGACAAGCGTGCGACACAATCTCTTCTCTAACTTCCTCGGTGATCTGGTTTGAGATGTATTGACCGTATGATTGGAACGCAGACACCAAATCGATCTTCTGTGGCTCACTGGTACCACACTTGGCGAACCCTGGCAAGATAGAACCACCGTACACCATGATGGAAGGTCTGTTGTGTCTGCCCATGGCCATCAAGACACCAGGCATGTTCTTGTCACAGGATGGGATGGAGATGTTAGCATCGTAGTGCTGAGCCAACATGATTGTTTCAAAAGAGTCCGCAATGATCTCACGGGACTGCAGGGAGTAACGCATACCATCGGTACCCATGGAGATACCATCAGAGACACCAATGGAGTTGAACTGCATCGCCTTCAGCCCAGCCTCGTTGACAGACTGTGAACATCTAAAGTTCAACTCGAGCAAGTGCATGTTACACGGGTTACCGGACCACCACACGGACCCGACACCGACTTGCCCTTTGTTGAAGTCGTCCTTCTTGAACCCGGTCGCATAGAGCATCGCTTGCGAAGCTCCTTGGTCCTTTGGTTGCGTGATGATCTTTGAGTACTTATTCAGCACTTTCTCATTGTTTCTAGTGGAAGAGTGGAATGCTCTGCACAACGTTAGTCAACACGCCAATGGCCAACACCGGAAACACAACCAACTCACCTTCTGGCAGCAGCAGCTCTCGCAATCATCTCGGTACGTTTGTCTGGAATCCTCCTCGTCTGCTAAAAGTGTTTAAAGCTCATCGTTGGAAAATTTCGCTATGACTCTGGCGCAGTACGAAATTTTTTTCCTTCCGTATGCAGTCTACGCCGGAACAGGGCCGCATTCCGGAGTATTACCTCATGCGGTAATATTCGCGGGTGTTCGTTGGCCAATGGGAGCACCGCAGATGGTCATATCTGACGTGTGTCTCAACGGGGTCAATTGGGTGAGTGGTGGTGTTAGGATAGTGTCGAATGTGTAGTGGTGTGCGTATGTAGACGGCACGTCCAATTTGCAGCTCAGCAGCACGATGTTGTCCCCCGGAATTGGTGCAAACGCACACGTGACGTGTGCCCTCGGTTTTCCCAGCCCTCCAGCGTGCGTGTACCGAAAAATTTTGTGTGTGCGTGTGCGTCGGAGGTTTTTCCTTCAACATCGACGAAGCTCTGGTGAGGAAACGAGGCTCAAGAGCGGTGAAACCAGGCGAAGAGGCGAAGAAAATGCTTGCAAGTTGCTCCAGAGCCGGGCCAGCGTCCCCAGTGTACGTGCCGGTGCGTAACTTCTCGAGAAGAAGAATCGCGTACCCTTTCTACCCAACAAAGAGCAGGGGAAGAACCGAGAAGAAGGACCACAAGACAAACCTCAGATTCCAAATGGAGCAGTTCCTGGGCAAGAAGAACTTCAAGGGCGAATACGCCAGTAACAAGTACTTCAGTGCACCAAAGAACCACCAGCCGAACTATATCACGCCGGATTTGGAAAATGGACAGGCCCTGGTGGACTTGCAGAGTGGTAAGCCACTGGACATCAAGGGAAATGTGCTGGAGTCCACCGCCTTTGTTAGACCGGAGAGAAAGCTGATGCCCTTCCCTTCGAACCCGTTCTGCCAGACCAACCTGGCACTGACCAACGAGGACAAGGAGGAGATCTACACAAAGGTGTGTGTGCAAAAGGTGCCAATCCAGGAGGTTGCCGTGAACTTTGGTATAAAGATCCCAAGATTGGAGGCCGTTGTTAGGCTGAAAGAGATTGAAAAGAAATGGCAGAAGCAGAACAGAATAACGCCAGAGATCAAGACGATGTCATCTACGATGTACAAGATGTTCCCGTTGTTCGAGAGACCAAGACATTCGGATAACCTGTCTGAGATTCCTGTCCCTGTGAAGACTTTGCAATCGAGATTCCTCACAATTGCAGAGTCTGAACCTTTTGGACCAATTGATGCTGCAAAGGTGTTTGACTTGGAGCCAGCATCGGAAACGTTGCAGAGATTGGCTGAAACCGGTCATCATGCCACTGTCAGCAACAAGAAGGATAAGCAGGTGTTTGTTGCGGAATCAGCACCAAAGGATAGATACGTTTTCAAGTTCCACAAGGCTAAGGTTGGACAGGTTGGCTTCAGATACGGTGCTACGCTCCGTGATAACAAGAAGGATAGAAAGTTCTCCTACGATGACTCTGGTAAGATGGTCAATGCCCTGCCAACTTCAGGCTAAAGCCTTTGTAAACATGTATATAGCTTAAGAATTCCTCCCACGACAATTATCATATATATATATTCGATCGCTGTAGAGTATTCATGGACCTGGATGGAACATCTTCTTATCTCTGTTCAGACTGAACGTTGAGGATTTTTCCTTCAAGCTCTGGCGTCCATGGCTAGGCGACATTGGAGAAGAGTACGACCAGTGTGACAGGTGTGGCAGATACTCAGATTGCGGTGTAAAACGACCAGTCTTCTTTCTCGGCTTAGGTTGGAGAGGATCACGCTGTGCAGGGGAGGACGCTGAGGATGACGATGAGGCCAATGGCACTGTTGCAGCTGGCGATTTCGAACGCTCTTTACCCAATATTCCTTCGAATCTGAACAAATCCTGGTCCGTTAACGGGGTACTTGGGGAGGTTGCTCTAGACGAGGTACCTATAGGTGATGTCACCTTGGAGCGTGGATAGACACGAGTATTGACGGAGTTCAGATGACGGTTGTCGAAATTGGTGAAGGAATCGGCCAACGAGATCTTGAAAGAAGTATTGGATTTGGTTCTCGCCAGGCTTCGGTTCAAGATCAGAGACACTTTCTTGTCATATATCTGAGGTGCGGATTCATAAGGAGTCAACTGATCGTTGTTACTATCTCTAGTATCAACAGATATTGACCGGAAATGGTTACCACCAGTGTTATCAGTAGTGCCTGAAAATTGTGAGGAAGACTCTGCATCCTTTGTAAAGAAAGAATCCAGATTATCCAACTCAGCCCACATATGACTTAAGGAATCGTCATTCTCCTCTGCAACTGATTTTTCACCTTGAGTCGCACTCGAATAATAATCATCCATATGGAATTTGATCTGCTCGTGCTCATCTGTTGAGGTCTCTGTCTCAACTGGTGCAATACAAGTAGACAGAACAGCATGTACGTTATTTCTAGTGGTTGCAGCAGTTACGGCTGGCATTGGTATCGACCAACCGCTTTCTTCTGGAATACCGAACAAAGTTGCAGTCTTTTCATAGTCCTTGCGAATGGCCTTATTACCCAAACTCATTCTCAAGATATCCTTATCCAATTTTGATCCAGAAATGGATGTTGTCTCATCCAACACCTCAAGAGCCTGTTCAGCATATGGTGTCAGAAGCAATCTTAGGAGTGGAGATATCAAATCTGCACCACAACCTTGGAAATGTGGTGCAGTCAAGTCAACCTTCGGGAACAACAACTTCAGAGTTCTCATAGTTTCCTTCTTCACCCAGTCCATCTTGTTGGATAGCAACCCAAGCAGGAAAATCACAATCTGACCACTGTAATCCATGAGGTATCTATCAGAGATAAACTTAACAACTTGTCTTAAGAACTCATCTTTAGTTCTAAATTTATGCTTCCCAAAGGAATTGATAATACGTGCAAGGTTCGTCTCGCCTTTATTGGTAGCCATCAACTCCAACACTTCAGATGATTCCAAAATCTCACTCGACATTGCGCCGTCATCAAAAGAATGTAAATACCTTGGTGTATTTGTCAGCAGGGCAAAGAGTAGTCTCGAATCATCAGCAATGATGTCACTATCCTTCAGTTTGTTTAATTTCGAAAGGAGTTGAAGAGAAGCATCCCATGCAACTGATGATCTTAATCCAATCATGACAATCTGTTGAAGCCCTTCAAATTTGCCTTCCCAGTTCGATGGGAACGTAGAAACCAAACACTGCACAGTATCCTCAGAGTCAAGATCAATTTTGGACAAGAATTTGTTGAGAACTGAGAGAAGTTCAACATACTCGTTCTCGTTCACCGTGTGGAGGGAGGCAGCAGTGGCCCAGAATAGTTGAGGGAAGTCTATCAATTTTTCAGCATCCAGTTCAGAAGTGATCGCATTCAACGTCATCAAAATTTGCATTGCAAATCCTTGAATCTCATGTGTACTATCAGAAATAGTATTTGACAGTCTTTGGAGCATATCCTTCAACATAGACTGGTCTAAGAATGATAAGAGAGAACGGAAAACTTGGAATGAACGACACGCTATGTGTCTTACAGCACAGTTTGTAGCCCACAGTAACGCCACCATTCCCCAATCTTTTTGCATAGATGGAAGCGTAGTGCTGAAAATTTCAAGAATATTTCGAATAAGTAAGTCCATATCCTTAGGTGATCTAGCACCATTTTTGTCACTGTTCAAATCATCATATGTCCACAGATATTTTTGATTATTTCTAATCATCTCCTTTGTTTCTTCAACCTTCGGATGCGATGGAACATTGCCCAAAATATTGATAATGGTCTTATTAGCAGACTCCTGCACAATTGGCAAATAATGATCTAGTAAAACAAATGATGCATGTAGAAGAAGCGGGATTTTAGCAGTGGTTGATTCTTTAGGAACAAGCAATAGATCTGAAAGAAAGATTAACGCCAATTGACCTAGAGAAAATACCGAATCCTTACCTGTGTAGTGTAATGTTCTCCAAATATCTGCGACATACGGCAGTTCTGTACTGTCCACCGTTGCTTGAGGGCTGCTAGGTTGCGGTGGCACCATATACTTATGATCAATGTACGATATAAGATGGTCCACAAGAACGGGGAACGAAGGAGCTAGATAGACCAGAACCTTGCTAGCAAACTCCACAAACAATGGATTTCTTTTGGATAAACTCGTGTTGATACAGAATTTCAGTATAGCCGTCGAATTGTTGAAGTTTCCACCATTTCCAAGGGATATCCATAGTGCCTCTATTTCATTTGGGATAGATTCAGAGAAGGTGATTGTAATATCAAGAAGATTATTCAAAACCATGAATGATTTAGTATCGACACTAAGGTCTTCTCCCACATGAAGCTCCACTGTCTGCAGCCATGGTAAAAGAATTGTTAAGAGATCTCTTCTGGATTCAAAGTTGATGACTTTGAAATACTTGGTGAGCTCCGATATAAGGTTGATATTCATTTCTGGGTATGTGGATGACAAGTACGTTGAAATGTCCAGTAAGGCCCTTTTGTAAATAGTCTTGTTCCTGTTTCTAACCCTTTCAGAGAAAGTTGATACAAATTCGGCATCAAAAAGTCTCTTCTCTGCACTCACCATCAGTCTCAGGGCCGCACATCGGATTTCGTGATCGCTGAAACCAATACCGTAAAGTATAAGCAACAACACTTGATGCTTTTTCAATGGAAGCTCTTCACATTGAACCAAAGCATCCGCAAGAGCAACATAATAATTCTCAATGACAGCCATTTTGTGTTCGAGAATACACCTCTTATAGACCTCGTTCAAAAGAACCACATTTGTCGCATTGTTAGCAAACATGTTGTTGAGTGCTTTCTTAGCAATTGCTAAGTTTCTGTCATTAGAAGAATCAAGCAGGATATCAACCCATGATAATAAGCCATGTAAATCAAACTTTAGAACTGTCTGATCCCTCACTTCCTCAATTTTTCCTTTCAGAAGGGAGACCATCGCATTTAGTGCTGAGAGTGTCAAGATCTGTTTCTCAAACTCAATAGCTGAATTCAAAGCAGTGAGCTCTTGAGAATTTGATGAATATTTCGACATGTGAAGGTATCTCTGCTTTGCAACAACAGAAGACTTCCCGTATCCACACCATTCCTCAAGGAAAGCAAAATTTGCGAGTCTCACTTCGAATGGAAACAATGTTTCGTGATCATCCCTCTTTCTAATACCATTGTAGGAATTCTCCAACAATCCAGAAAAATAACGACGAAGCTTTTGGAATTCGAAGCTGAACTGGACATCCGGCTTGGATAAGAAGGCAAGAATTATTCTCAAGAAGGAAATAAGTCTCTCCACAATCCAATCATCCTTTATAATGGCATCTTCGTCCAGGAAATGAGAAATGAGGTTCAATACATGTGTGACTTCAATACGTAGACGGCTATTCTTGGACACGTCTTTTGATGGAATGTCTTTCTCCCATTCTGCGAATATCGGCTCCACAGCCTCAATAAAAGTCTGGAAAATGTTAATATTCATACAACTCAATCCTGTGATGATGGCATCTCTAACAAATTGATTAGAACTGTTCAGCAAGTTCAACGTCAATCGGAACACAGATCTGGCACTAGTGATAGTGCCTTGTTGAATTGTAAGCAACTGATGAGATTTTTTCTTTCCATTGGCCGGTCCATCTGGAATGTGAATTCTCTGCTCCGATGTTGACGTTAATGATGCACACGCAACAATCAAATATAGCTTCCATTGTTCTACTAGAGCTTCAGGCGGATAGGAAGCAGACGACAATGTTGCCTTACTGGAGTCAGATATTTGGAAGATGTCTTCATACATCTGAACCAATCGGGTGCAGACAATAGAACGGCACAATGCCATAGTAATAGGACACTTCTCAAATATGGTATTCAACAATTTGGGGAAGACTCTAAACCAGAGAGCTGAATCAACGCCATAATCAGATTCTGCAAGCTTGATCAACACATCCCGTCTAGTTCTCTGACTTAGCTTTGAAAGTCTTGATCTTTCTGCAACACTCAAATGTTGTCTTTGAGAAGAAATGATCTTGAAAAAGTCCACGCTCTGTAAAATGAAGATAACTCTTGTTCCAACATCTGCTGCAAACTTTGAGTTAGAACGCATATGGTTTTTCTTAGGCTTTGAGACTTGAGTCTTATCATAAAGAGCCTGATCAAAGCTTTCAACGATCTTTAAGATCGAAAGGGCCAGCCTTCTAATTTCAAAATCATGCGATGACAAGAAGAACAATCCATGACCTTCAACTTCTTCAATAACAGTGATAGTATTCTTCAATTCAAGCTCGTTAACGGGCATCTCCTCCGTAACCTTGGCACCTGGGCCAAAACTTTCTGTTTTGTCTTTGCCTTTCTTCCCGAAGGAGTTCAACCAATGCTCCAACATTTCCAAATACAACCTCAGTAAATCCTTTGATATGACATATCCGCGTGACTGATTAGGTCTGTCTGAAAATTTGAAGGCAAACTTAGCAAAAGTACTTATCAACCCATGAAGTTTATCCTTCGATGCCAAAGTCTTCAAAGCAGTCGCCGAAGCAGTAGCAACACGATAATCATCATGGCATGAGTTTCTGCACAATAGTTCCACCGTTTTGTTTGGAGCTCCATGGATCAACCATGGGTACGATTCAATGACCACAGCTAGAGTTTGAAGGTTCAAGTTCTTAGTGGTCTGCAGAGAAAAATCGTTACCGAAGCGGAAGCTGCTAAACGGTGACTTTGCACTATAATAAAAGGAATTAGAAGGTGAGTTCTGTGTACGCTTTTCATCATAGCCAACTGCCGAATCAAGTTGGAACAGGAATATTTCCGCATACCTCGATATCTCTTCATGGTTACTAGTCTTGACGTTCAAATTGATATCTGGCTTCTCCATCAACTCTGGATTCTCCGGGAAAAGAGGTCTTTCCTCATCCCCAAGAATAGCAATGTAAGACTTGACCGCTAATATGACCTTTTCATGCTGAACATTCTCCAAGTTATGACCGTTGAAAGCTGACTTGATCATTGGAATAATGAAATTCTCGACAGTTGGATTCAGAGAGGCATATCCAATAGATCTGAAAATCTGGACGAGGACCATAATAAGAGTGGCATCTGTAACCATCCATGTTTGCCTTCCTTTACCCAAGAACATAGACTTCATAATGGCTTCAATCTTTCTGGTCGTATTATTCAAAGTCTCCGTGCATCTAAAAATGTAAACCCACAGTAATCTTGCAATACAAGTTGACAAAGTCACTTTCTCATCTAAAGTAACACCCTTCCCCTTAAGTTGCTTGATACAACTTTCAACTATTCCATACCAATTATTTAGGAATAATTCAGATGGAGAGACACACAGAACAGAAGTTGCTAACGTCAGATTTGTCATCCAATTTTTATCATTCACATCAATACTTCCACAGGCTTTATAAATTGTGAGCATCGCTTCGGACCATGTTGGATGATTCACCTCCGCAGTCACAGATTCAGCAACAGGCAACAAGATCTTGGATAAGACCTGTGCATAGGCAACCCTTATTGAATGACTCTTTGATCTGGTAAAGAACTTTGCTATAGACTGGAGGAAATCTGCGCTCTCCTCGAAATATTCAAGAGGATAATTCTTCAACTTGAGGTATCTCATTCCATGGATCAAGAGATGAATAGAAGGCTCCATCTCCTTTGGAGCTACCGGTGGGACTTTTTCCAAATCTGCAATGAATCTATCGCTAACACTCAAGAATCTCTTCTCAGACATGCAACCAAGAAGTTCTGCAAAAAGGTTCCAATTTGCCGATCTGATGATACTCGATGAAATCAATATTGGATCTGTACTTCTCAGCTGAGAGAATACAATCTCTTCCAACTTATCACCAAGATCATCACCGATTGTGTCAAAATTTACCTGTTTAACAATTTCTATGAGTACCCGGCAAAGGATGTAGATACTTATAAGCGATTTTCTATCACCTTGCACAGCTGTTTCACGTGCCGTTTGAGCTTGAGATTCCAGATAAGCAGATTTTGAATCAGGATGCATTGCTGTTTTCGACGAAGTGTTCCTTCTGTGTGAGAATCTGCTCGCTGTGCTTGCACTGTGAGAGTGCTTTCTGTAACTAGCAGCTTCTTTGTGATCTGACAATATCTGAATCGCCTTTTCCGCAGCTTCAGCAGCCATTGATGCCACTTCAGACTTGGACTTTCTCCAAAACATCACCGAATCAATCACTGGTTTGGGGTTATTCCTGGAGATGTAACCCAGAGACGCAATAATTTTGTCGAAATCCTGATCTACACCTTCACCCAACAAATCAACGATAGGAGGTTCAGCATCAAGAGGATAGGTCAAGCACATATTCAACTTCCGTTCAGCATGTCTCACAAACTGTGTGAAGAGGATATGGAGTGTATACTCAGTTGAAGTCTTTGAATCTGTCGCCAGCACTCTCCTCGATGAGCTCATCTCATCTAGACTGAGCTTATTTGAGGTCAGCCTTCTTCTTTGAAGGATCTCATGCTGCTGCTGCTGCTGTTGTTGTTGTTGTTGTTGTTGTTGTTGTTGTTGCTGCTGCTGCTGTTGGAAATCTCCCACGACACTCGTGCCACCCTCAGCATGAGCCTGTTCCACGCTATTCAGTGCATAACCTTGTGGCAAGGGTTCATCAGGATCCACTGAAATGCTTTGGAAAGACATGGTTTGAACACTGTTTGTTGACATTTTGAAAGGCTCTTCTAACTGGCGCTGGCCGCCAGACTCCTGCGCAGTGATCTCCGAGACTGGCGGATACTGGAAGCTCGTGGGTACTTCTGGGTCGTACAAGGCCGAATGGATGACCTCTATGTTCGAATTTGACGTCTCAACGTTCGTCAATGATGTGGATGATGTCAACTCTGGCATCATGGCTCGATCCAAATCGATCTCAGGCCCATTCCCAGAGGTATCACTTGAATATAACGGATCCATCTCACTCAGACTATCAGCACAGCTTCACCTTATTCCAATTCTAACAACGATACCGATCTGAAGTGCTATCCAAGGCCTGTGGTTTGTATAGAAGCAACCAATGTTTACTTTATACCTTTGAGCTGAGGGTGGTTCTCACAATGTGGTGGTGCCGCCTCACAAAAACCGCGAACTGTTTCTGGAAGCAATAAACATCCGTACACCTTGTACACCCGGACACCACTGAGATTATTGGGTGGTTTGTGATTCGGGCCCTGTTTAGCTATATAAAGGCAGCGATTGAGGTGGTGTTGGGTCTTGAATGGAGTCATAAACAAGGGTTGTGATGTGAATGGAGTGCTGATTTATGTTATTTTAGTTTTCAGCCCTTTTTAGTTGGGTATATTTCACAATTTGTATAGTTGAAAGTATTATAAGCAGATATTAATGATAAATATCGTCATTTGAAAATAGAATAATGTTTTATGTTAGAAATTTTAATATACCGATACTTTGGTATAATATATACGAAAAACAGTTCTATTCGCTAGTAATTCTATCTATGTGCTAATAGAGGAGTTCTGAAGTAATAAATATGTATACATGCTTTGCTATTGGGTTTATGGTGTGCCATTGGCACGCCTAAGTTGGATGATGAAATGCCTCTCAAGAACGGCATGTAGGGTAGTTATGCTGATAACAACCGATATGGAAGATGTAACTCAATGCCAGAGCATCGTAGTTACAGGTAATATGTGGTATGACCCTAATACTTCGTAACAGACTTAATATTTCCCGATGTTGATTGTCTTACGTACCGTTGATAAACACTAAATTCTGCTCAACAGACCCTAGATAAGAAATGTATTGGATACTCAGCTTCAGAGGATCCAACAGAAGCTCGTAGTTGGCCATGTATCGTTGATATTTAACTCATACATCTATAGTTCACCAGCGGAAGATGCACCTGGACAACAATCAAATAACGGATCGTATCCATATCCGACAATTAGACCAGTAACACGGCAAAGTGATAACTATTCACCTCCTATACTGAGGGATGATGGATGTATACACCAAAGTGACCCAAGTTGAAAAGAATAAACTCGATTGTACAGGTTTTAGTCTATCATCGCCCAACATGATGATGCCGAATCTTTGAGACACTACGGCATACACATAGAGACACACCACACAACGCAACAGTGTGATCTATTAGAAAAGATAAACCCCTCTACATTACCAATACCACGATTATAGTAGCATAGCAGCCAGGTTGTTCATTCTGAGACTCGAGTGCGCTTGATATTTATGAAGCGTCGGGAACCCTATGCCGCAGGTTCTCTGGCCCTGCAGCTGGCGGCGCGGGCGTGGGCTAAGTTGTAAGCCAGCCACAACGCACAAAGCTTCAACATTGGGGCCACTGGCTTCTTAAAGTCCCATCTGAAAGATCCTCAATACTCATCACAGCCTACTCAGGCATTCACAAATCATCAAGGAACAAATGAAACCAGATGTACTTTCCAGGGCCACGTATGAGTCTAAATCTTCGTAGATGCCTTGGATGCTGGGGAAGTGTAGAACACTCAAACGGCTCGAGAGAGCACAGACAAGTTGATCCAATACCTAATGCACATCACGAACTCTTCCTCTGTTCAATACATCAAGCTGTGCTCCGACTCTTGCAAGCTTCACGTAGAATCTACAGCATATTCACTTGCTGAATTATCCACCAAAAGATGGTTGGCTAATTACAGAAAGGGCAGTGACGCAACAACAAAATTGGGGCTTTTTAGCACGAATTGCACCCGTACGATGGATATTATTCTTTCTAGTTTCATCCATCGGCGAAAGCAAGCAAGTTATTTCATCACTTCACCCACAACTTCAGTAAATTCCTCAAACAGAGATGAATGCTTCATTGGTGGTTGGCTCTTCTTTTTTTTTCTAGTTAAACTCCATCGGCTTCTCAAATGCCTGACGCACCACATTTCCCGAAAGGGAAATCACCATCTGCATAAAGACGCATTAGACCGCAGGACACTGCATGTTGTTTTGATTTATGTTCTTCAGTGGCTTCAGTACGTAAAAGCCCCATACAAAGGATTCACAGGTGGTGATCGATGAGACAGAGTCGCAGGGTATTACACCGTTTCTTAAAGCTACCGAGAATGTTTAGTCTAGCGGGTTGTTTACTTACCAGCCACATTTCATGCGGGAAGAACAGATGATATAGCCTTGAGGGGCTTATCTTCAAGATGTAATCTCATAGTGCTCCAGGACGGTGAAATATATAAGCTTTGAGACATCCTGCAATCCCTTCCCTTCGCTTCAACAGTTTGTCTTAAAAATTTAACCTAAAACTTGATATACTTCGACTTCAGAACACACACGATCTACTTTCGACGGAAACAGACGTTTCAAAGAGGCACATTTCTTCCCACCAACTATAGTCTTTCATTTTCACCAACTATTATTCACTCTCTTTAACGTGCTCTTTACACAACCAACTACTCTTCTCTCGCTTTCTATTTCCACCTGTTGCGGCCGCTTTATATTGATACCTCATATATCTTGACCACACTAACATCCAGACTTTATTATCCAAAGAATAACAAGAATACGGAAACAAACAATGCTTTTCGTCAAGACGCTTGCTTCTCTTGCTTTGTTGACACTATCACAAGCTATTCCTATGCCACTGGCCGTTCCAGATGAAGGTGCTACCTCAACTTTCTCATATGATGTTGTAAACGTTGATGGTTCAAACCAGCAAGCCACGTCTTCTGTGCTGGTTGCTACTGATGGTAATTCAGTTGATACTGTGGGGGTGGCAGAGCCAACCACCACTAGTGTTGTCGGGACTACAAGTCAGCAAACGAAGATTGTCACAAGCACCGAAGTTGTTGAAACCAATGGTGCAGTTGTTACTGTTCTTTATACCTCAACAGAGATTGTGACTGTTCATCCAAAGAGAACAGTCTGGGTCACTGTTACCGGTGATACTGCTACTACCCCAGAGACGACAAGTACTTCAGTGACCACCAGTAGTACACCAGTGACCACCACTAGTACTACAAGTAACATTGCTGAGGAAACTACCACTACTTCCGAGGAAACTACCACTACTTCTGAGGAAACTACCACTACTTCCGAGGAAACTACCACTACTTCTGAGGAGACTACCACTACTGATCAGACAACTACCACTTCTGATGAGACTACAACTACTCCAGTGGCTACCACCGCTTCTTCAAGTCAAATAACAGGTATTGAGGCCGACAGAACCGTCACCGTCCCATCTGAGGGAGATCTCAGCTCTCTTTCTTTGACTGTCATTGATGGAACCACTTACATTGTCCGCGAGATCGTGAGTACCATCAGACCAGCAACCACCTACGTATACACTTCAACGTATACGTCGACAATTGATGGTGTCCCTGTCATTAGTACTGCCGTTATTGAAACCACACAAGAGGCTGTTACTTCACAGGACCCTGTCACTACAGATACAACAGCTTCTTCTACTAGCCAGGCTACTGAGAGTGCTTCTCCAACTGAGACAGTTATCCCAACAACGTCATCATCAACATCAGCAAGTCCTGCAAGTACTGTTGAAGTCACAACACAGACAGCCTCTCCAAACTCATCAAGCACAACCTCAGCTGCACCATCATCAACAACAACAAAGACATCATCTTCGTCTTCAACCATCACATCAGCACCTACACCAACTGTCAGCCCAACTACAACTTCTTTCAGCTATACGGCTTACACAACTTTGGTCAACGCTGGTGTCTGCGAGGTCTACTACGACGATGGTGAGTTTGATATTGAATACGTTAGTGGGACCGAGGCTCTCAGTGCTTCAAGCACAACCACGATTACGTCCATGGTTTACGTCACAGTATCCATTGATGCGTAATCATCTGCTGAAGTCTTTTGAATTGAAATTCATAAGCAAACACAGGACACTATTTGAGCTTTTGGGAACACCCCCCATTAACGACGCTACGATTTGATTTAAAAACTCAACCTCTTTCTTCTTTGACGCTGTTGAGCTGGGCCATGATAGAGATCATTGCACTATGACGACTGGCACCTATTATTTTTTTACCTCCTGACTTTCTTGTTCTATTACTTCTTTTAATATTATCTTGTGGATCAAGTTTATATCATATCTTCATATTTCAATGATGAGACCTTAGCTGGTGCTTGTCGTATGATCATGAGAGCTCTACTTTTGATATGATCTGGAAATACACGATTCCTTATAGTCTATCGTCGAAAGAGTTCAATGTAGGCCAAGAGCAATTATAAGATTAAACGTATTATGGAAGAATTGAATGTGTGTATGGAGCGAATGAAGAAGCACACCACAGGGACAAGAAGGCACCGTGGATGCTAATAAAAAAGAGCACCATTGACGGCAGCATCCGAGTACCGGCCGTTTCCCTTGTTCTTTCTTACTTCTTGATCCCTTAAGACCAATGCCATACATGTTAGAACCAGCGATGAATCTGCAACGTCAAGGCAGCTATTAGTATCAGACCTGCTGAAGACCTCAACCAGTTTCACGTCACCGAGTTGGAGTAATCCCTTCCATGGCAGTGTTGTAGAGCTCTTATCACTGAACCGAGTCACTGGAGGCATATCCGAGGATGTCACTATTCTTGTTGTTGATCTCAAGAATTCCATAGACGGTTGAGGATTCACATCATCGTCTCTTATTCCATCAATTAACGAAGGTACGCTATCATTCAGGACAACAAGTTTGAAGAACCCGGAGCCACGCGATGCAATTGCAGGCGTCGTTCCCACCCACCTCATCTTGGTCTTCTTGAACCTGCAATCAGTAAAGGAGCCATACGCAGATGTAAACATCACCACTCTGAAGTTCTCCGGGTCATCTTGAACACCATTGGGGGTGATGTGCAAGATGAACCGGGTTGTGTGCGTTCTCCTGAGGAACTTTGTGAAGACTTGACAGAAGGGAACCTTCTGAACGTCTTGAGATTCGTTTGTAGAAGGAAGAATCCTGTTGAACACAATGGTCGGGTAGTTTCTCTTGAAGGCAGCCATCATGGGGATATTCATCTGTAGCACTGGCATCGCCAGCCCTAGCTTCTTGAGCCGTGCAGTATCGCAGTTCTTCGTCTTGAACAGAGCCAATGACTCTTCAGAAGGAAATACAAAGAGACCCTTCTTGAAGATGAACGACACCACTGGCAATGTCCTCAACAGGTTGAAATCAGACACCGCGTGTCCCAGTACAAGATCCACAACGGTATCTGCCGTAGAAGCTGTAGTACTCAGCGATGAGTCGCTAGTCGTCCTCGTCAGATCAGTAGTTGATGAGATCGGGTTAGCCGTATAGTTATCACCACCGTGACGTACGCCACGGACACCGAGGCTCATGGACAGCAGCGTCTCTTCACTATCAACACGGTGCACAGTGGCCTGGGTCCTTGGTATAGCATGTGCATCGCTTGAAACACCGGTATCATCGCCGTGGACATTGCTGGCACCCTCTGATGTTGAGCTGTCTCCTTCTATTCTCCCACCACTGGGCTCGTTATCTGTATTGTTTCTACTTCTGTTTCGTCTCAGCAAGTTAATCATATCAACAACCGATGGGAAACACACACGGACGATGGATAGGACGATAAACCAAACGAGATGAAAGCGGTGGAAGCGAGGTTTTTAGAGGTTGTGCTGGTGTGCTCGCATTTTGCTTTGTATGGGAAGTGGACAGATGGCTATTCCTTGTTGCTGCCATGACAACGGGGAGTGCTCGTAACGATAATTACATAAGCAAAGGGTCACGTGAAATATAACACGTCACACACGTGATGAAGCATATGGTAGGGGCAGCAGTATTATATACAAAATTTATCTCACGCGCACAGTGGTGAAATGTATCGAAATCAGAGTCAACACTTCCCCATTTGGCTTGCTTATTTGCGCATTCAATCACGAAGAGCTCACAGATACCATGTCATATTCAGAGGAGAAACTGTTGCAGAAGCTTGACTCGCTTGCAGAGACACAGGATTCCATTGTCTCCACTTCCCAGTGGGTGCTGTTCTACTACAGAAATGCCGATCAAATAGCGTCGAGATGGGAGAAATGTCTCATGGAGAGCCCTCCTTCCAAGATTCTTGCCCTTGTTTACCTTGCCAATGACGTTGTGCAGCAGTCCAGAGCAAGAAAGAAGACTGAGTTCATCGATGCCTTCAGCACGGTGCTTCCAAACGCATTGTCATATGCGTATGGGAAAGTGCCAGAGTCTACGCAGAAGAGACTACAGAAGATTGTGAGGGTGTTGAATGAGCGTCGGGTATTCCCACAGCCTCTGAAGGTCAAGGGCATTGACGTGCCTGAAGCTGCTGCCAAAGGCGATGGCGAGAGCGGCTCTGAAGGTGATAAGCTGAAGGCACTCACCACGGTTGGCTCAAAGTTCCAGCGACTCTACCATGAGCTGCTGCTGAGTGCCAACGGGTCCTTCACACAGACACATCTGTCCGAATTAGAGCAGATCCAAGGCTCTTTGAAGGAGAATATAGCTATAATGCAAGAGATCGAAGCCAATGTATCGAAGGATATCGAAAAGATCCACCAGAGATCCAAGATTCAACTACAGAAGTCAGCTGAAATAGTGAAGAAACAACAAGAATTGCAGGAGTTGAGGAAAGCCGAGGAGCAGAAGAGACTCAAAGAAGAGGCTGAAAGGTTGGAACGTCTTAAAAGACAGGAGGAGGAGGACAATCTTCTACCAACGTATCAAGATGATTCCGATTCTGATTCCGAAGAGGAGAAGAAGGAGAGCTCATCAATTGCGGAATCTGATAATGAAACCCCTGTTCATAGTAGCAAGAGCTCCAGCACTGCTGGAAATTCCAATGAATCGTCTACAATTGACGGTGACAACACGGACCAGGAACGTCCAAAGAAGAAACTACGGTTCGCAGATTAACAATGGACAACTATATAGAGATACTCAGCTACAATTTTACGAGAACCATGATATAGTAATGAAACAAGTAGTATCACCTTGTTGTTTTCTAGTTACGCTTAAGAGTTCTCTGTTTCTCAGCATTCTGAACAACTTTCTCGTCAACGAATAAGCCCTTTCTCTTTCTGATCTGGTTCATGTACTTTCTGGCAATGTTTTCACGTTCGGCAAACTCACCGAGTGCTTCCATCTCTTCTTCAGTGGTTGGCACCCAGAAAGGATCCTCATCAATGCTTTCAAACCCGGAAAACACCAGCTGTGGTTGGGCAGCACCAGATGTTCTCTTACGGATATCCTCAGAGAATCCGAATGCCTCAACGACTGGCAATTTGGCAATGATTTGGAAGAAAGGTGTTCCTTCTTTCATCTCTTCACTGACAATGTGACCACGCTTCTGTTGGACAACAGCATAAACCTTTCCTAGCACTTCTGCCGATGCTTGGATGTCACATGTATACATAGCAAGCATGATTCTAGGAGACCAATCAAGTAGTGCCTGATGGATGTTGTCTCTAGTGGTTGTGATGAGTCTACCGAGCAGATTTGGAACAGGTGTGGAGTCCTCCTGGTCTGCTTCATCAACTTCACGGATATCCTCCATGATGATTGCCATGCCTTGCACAGGCTCATGAGCGAGAGGCCCGTTCTGTGTACTTAGTTGGAATCCGTTAACAATACTGTTCTCAAACCTGAACCTGGTCTCATCAGACTGTGAGAACACTCTTCTAATGGACTCTTTGGAGGTATCAAACAGGATGTTTGGCCCGGTACGTTTTGGACCGAAAACGCTGATACGATCAACGATACCCGACCAGATATCACGGTGCTTTTCATCAGCATCAAATAGTGCTTGCAGCTTCTTTTTAAACGTGGTGGCATCAGTGATGGATGAGGATCCGACTGCATCATCTTCAAGATCATTTAAACCGTCCTCCTCCTCTTCATCTTCAGAACGACGCTTGTTGATACTGTCGACAAGTTTCTTAATAGTTGCATGGTTCTCAAGAAGGAAATCTATAACCGGTTGAGGTAATGGAACTGCCCTCATCTTGATATGCACATTTCCCAATTCAAACTCAGCAACACCTCTACCCAAGTCTGGGTTCTTTGGAGGGTTCAAATCGAGGGTTTCGATAAAAGTCTCTCTATATGGAATAACTGGCTCCGAGGCAGTAATCTCAATACCAGCAAATCTTTCTTTCAAATCTTTCAAGCACCGTTCTAAGTGTAACTCACCAGCAGTCGCTAAGATATGTTCGCCGGTATCCTCCAGGAAAGTCTGGACACAAGGGTCAGCCTGGTTCAATAGTTCCAAACCACGTTCCAACTTATCCATCTGTGTTGGATTGACAGGCTCAACGGCAACTCTCACGATTGGTGGGACAGAGAGAGAGACACCAGCAAGGTTCACTCCAATGATCCCAGGTTCAATCAAAGTACCATTCTTCAAAATCTTACCTGCAAGACCACCTATACCAGCGATGTTACCAGATGGAACTTCATCCAGGGGAACAAGCTCTTTACCCATCAACAAGTAGAGTTCTGTAATTGTAGCAGTTTGGATATGTTCCTTTGGATTTGCAGGGTCGTACTTTGGTTCCAAAACTGATAGTTCTTGTCCTATACGAAGCGTACCACTATAAACCCTTGCGAAGCCTATGAGTTCTTCCTTCTTAACTTCAATTTCTTCCTCTTCCTCTTCTTCTTCATATTCAAACAATGAATATGGGTCGTTGTTCGACACCTTGACTTGCGCAAATTCATCAACAATTTGATCTTCTTGATCACCTTCAAGAATCTTTGCCTGCTCTGCTGCCTTTGCTGCCAGTTCTCTAGCACGTTTAGAACGTTCAGCCAGTTCATCCTCACTCAATTTGGCTCTTGAGTTACGAGGAAGCTCATCCTCTGGCACTGAAAGGATCTTTGATACATAAGCACTCACCGGGCCGTTGTTATCACAAGAGAGCATGGCTTCCCGTAACCCTGGGTCGATTAACTCATGATGTGGTGCAGATTCCAGCACAGTTGGAATACGGGTCCGTTGCGATTCTAATGGAGAAGGTAGCTTCTCAGTGACAGTCAATAGCACCGCAGATGACACAGGAAGCCATTGGCCCATGACTTGAGATAACAATGCTTTGTTATCCTTAGATCTCAAATCACGAGGAAGCACCTTGATGTTTAAGGCCTTGACGATCTTCTCAAGCACCTCTGCGTTCTTTTCAATAACGATATTCTCGTAAATCTTCCAAATGTTCTCCAGCACCAGTTGCTGGAAGAGAGGTTTCAACGACCGTCCCTTCAATCCCTTCGGCCCAATGATCTTCTTAGTCTTTGGATCCAGGTAGAAGTCACCCCAGAGAACCTTTTGTAGGTTCTCTCTCTTGATACCTAACTTGTTCTCGTAGAATCTTGCCATTTGGCTAATGTTGAAGCCCCACCCGTCGATGGCACTCGAGAAGATGACGTTGTTCTGAGCAGGATCGAAATAGATGTCTTTGTCGTCCTCCTCCACGAACTCCTTCCCACTGTGCCCTTCCTTTTCAAGCTGTTCTCTCCAGGCAAGGTCCTGGGCCATTCTTTCACCGGAGAAGAAGCTTCCAATGACAGAATTGACTTGTTCAACAACCTTCGTCAGGTGTAGACAAGCCTCAGAGGGGGTTAACCTCAACTCCGTGATCAGTCTATCAATCTTGTTTAGAACCAAGATCGGCTTCAATTTATCGATCCAGCACTGTCTGAGCACTGTCACCGTCTGAGAACACACACCTTCCACCACATCAACCAGCACCACCGCACCATCGCACAGTCTCGAAGCAGTACTAACCTCACTGGAGAAATCAATATGGCCCGGAGAATCGATCAAGTTGATGAGATGCTCCTTAGCGTCGTATCCCTCTTCACCATCCCCTTTCTTGTGAAGCACACGGAAGTACAGAGAGATCGCAGAGCTCTCCATCGTAATTCCTCTCAACTGTTCATCTGGACGTGAGTCCAGGTATCGTACTTTACCCGCCAACCTCTGAGAGATGATACCGTTCGATGCCAGCAGCGAGTCTGAGAGCGATGTCTTCCCATGGTCGACGTGTGCAACGATGCAGATGTTTCTAATGGACTGAGGGTCCTTCTGAAGACGCAGCAGGGTATCTGGAGTGACTCTCATTGTGTGTTTTGCCTGTTGTGAGTTTGCCGCTGTGTTTGCCGCTGTGGTTTACGTGCTGTGTTTTGTATGGAGAAGGTTGCAGTTAGCCGCTACAGCAAAATTTGTTGATCTAGTGTTGCCCCTACCAAATATCGGAAAGCACCGGGGATTTCGGAATATATCGGAACATATCGGAATACTCATCGTAATGTATGGGGAACTTCTTCATCATACAATACAACGGGCTCAACTCTCAAAGAAGAACGTATGGTTACAAAGAATATTAAAGTATAGTTAAACATCGGTTAAATAGTACAGCTTCTTTTTTCCCCAGGTATACGCAACATCAAGCAGTTTGGCAAAAGCCATGGGCACCGACAATGTATTCAACCATGAGCCTATTCCCCAAACATGGGGAGGAGGACTTTGAAAGCAATCTTCTTGGCTTGGATGGCACAACACAAGGCTTTCCAACCCACGAGTCTTTTGTCTGTAAGAGCTTGATACACCTTATGGAATCCTTGAGGAATTTCCGGCGTGTATACGTCTTTGGCTCCGGTCTCCATTTTTCATCCATGGAATGTGATGAGCTGGAACTCGAAGCAGATGCGGAATCTGTAGCAGTGTGCGGTGTAGAGTTGATAGTGAAGGCCCCAAACATCTCCTGCAGAGAGTCGGTATCATCCTCAGAATCACGCATTTCGCGTATTGTATCGATATCACCGTGTGCATCGTCATCCTCCTCATCTTCTTCTTCAACTTCCTGTAATCCAGCAACCATTTCTTCCTCATCCTCCTCTTCGTCTTCCTCCTCCATGGTGGAGTGTGTGGGTTCATCGGTATTGGTCTCTTGACTGTTCAAGAACCCACGAATCTCGTCGATATTTGCACCCCTCAGATCCTGTGCCTTCTTCTTTTTCCCAAACATTCTCGAGATTTTGCCCTTTATGGTGGATTCACCACCTGCAAAACTAGCCCTTCTAGCTGTTCTAGGTTCAGCAAGCTCACGCCGTATCAACTCACTATCGGAGAATGCCCTGTGTCTGTTATTATGGCGTCTTGAGCGCCGTCTGCGAGGCACAACACGGTCGGTTGGCATCTCACGGCAGTCCAGGTCCAGCGAAACGTTGATGCCTATGGACAGCTTGTTTGCCCACTGGATCAGCTCGTCGATGGATATGAACTGCACCATGAACTGCTCGCTTTCACACCTCAGTCTCAGACAGGAGGTGCGCTTCTTGTAATCTATGGGGATACCAAACTTCGCATGCTGGAGCGAGTACGATCTGACGAGCGTACGCTCGCTGAGGTACTTTGACGGCGATCTCGAGATCGCCTCCGTCAACAGCTCGTGCTCCACAGGGGTGAACTCATAGTGCTTCTTCGTCTTGCTCTTCTTCACGCGTGACAGCATGGGCACCTCCTCCATCGAGTAGAAGTTCAGCTGCGTTGAGTTCAGCTCCATGACAAGGTTACGCCATGATCTCGAGGGCGAAGGGTCATACGGCGAGAGGAACTCCAGCTTCCTCAACACCAACGTGCTTGCCGTGATGGCAGGCTTATACTCGGGCAGGACGTGGGTCTCCTCCTGCTCGTATACTGGGAACGTGATCCTCTGAGAGGCGTTGGCCTCTCTGTACAGCGGTGGTCTCTCCGGCCGCGGTTGCAAGTACTCCAGAACGTCCTTCATCTCTTCGCAGTGCGTGTTGCTGTGTGTGTTGATCCTTGATCCCTGATCCTTGATCCTTTCGCTCGGTGCAGAACAGACAGAGTGAGCAACAACAGGTCAACTTTCCAATTTGTCCGTGAAAAAACCTATCCAAACCTCGTTGTTACCACTACAAGAGGCTGTTCCGGTAATAACTTCGCAAATGCCCCTTTTCCCACGTTAGCCAACCGGTGTTTTGTCTGCCCAGGTTGACTCTGTGCGTATCGTCTCGTGCTTTATCGGATAAGATTCCCCCTAATGAGAAAATGGCGGCGTTTAGATTTACAGCCGGGAGGAAGCAGGTTTCGAGACGGAAGGAGCCAAAAGGAGAAGCCACAATGGGAAGCGAAAATGACAAAGTCACACGGAGCAGGCCAAACCCACGCGCAGGGAACAGGTGGAAAGCGCGTACTTCCCGGCCCCTTTTAAATGGCCATCTTGCTCGCAACTTGGTCGCAACTTGCCGCCAACGGTGACATGATCACGTTTGATCTGTGTTTCCGTCCCCGTGGGATTGCGCGCATGACGGCCCAGTGCATGAAACGTCAGCAATCGACGGTCTCTGTTGCAGCACGCGTAGCAAGAGGGAGCAAAAAGCGCTCAGCGGGACTCAGCCGAGAAATACCCGCGTGGGAAGCGTAGGGAGCGTAGGGAGCGTTTGTTTACAGCTTTTAGGGGGCAGGGGGCAGAGTGTGCTGGGGAGGGGAGGTCCTAAACGGAGAGGCCTAAAAGGGGTTGAAGGGAGCGAAGTTTGGCCGCCAAGGTGGGCTCCCCCGGTGTCCTCACCGGCCCCACACACGCCCAGAAGGCTCGGCGGTTGCGGTGGTTGCGGGTTCAGCGTGTGATGGTGGATCGGATCACCAGCACTAGCACTGCACAGCGAAGAGCCTGGATGGCCTGTTTGTACGGGCTGTTTGTACGGGCTGTCCTCCTGGCGCAGGAAATAACCACGTAGCACGGGAATCCCGGTTGCTCCTCTCGAGAGCCATCGCGACGGGGGAGCTTGGATCAACGGTGCGGTTGAGGGTTTGCACGGAGCAGAGGGTGCTGACAGAGCGGATGATGCTGACAGAGCGGATGTTCCACACAGAGCAGATGCTACACAACCACGACACAGTGCCATTCATACGCGTCTATTCTGTGTGTGCTGGCCAAGTGCGTGATCTGACCGCCTGTTGTGTACCGTCCGCTCTACACCGTTGTAGAGGTGGCAGCAACCCATGTAGAGATCCATACAGCGTTATACTACAGCAATGTCGTATGGATGAAAAGTCTCAGAGGGGGATCGACGCCCATGGGAAGCCTTCCAGGGGCAGGGGACCGCTTCATGGGCAAAAAGCATGCCATTTCGAAGAATTAAACACGCTATTTCGGCCATGGTGAGCCTCATCGCACACGCGTGTTATAAAATCATGAGAGATAGAAGCACCAGAAAACAGCTCAAAATCACGGCGTGGAGGGAAAGCACCAAATCACAGCGTAGATTAGCCCAGACTCCACGTACCGCGCACGCCGCATATGCCGTCGAGGATTTAGGTCTTTGACGGGGTTTAGAAGGTGGATTCCTCTTTAATTACTTGCATCGTAGTCGCAACGGTTGGTGGAAGCGGAGGAGAGCCCCTCTTCAGAGCTCTCTTCCTTCCGTATCGGCCCAGATGGGGGACTAGAACGTACTGCGTGGCTCGTTGAGACTGGATCAGCTAAATCAGCACGACTTAGCCGTTCAAGACGGATGACAAGTTGACGTTGTAACCGACCGTTGAGGCCTTCCGCACTGTTCCCACCACATGCCCATTAACCGAGAAGAGGAATGAGCAACGCGAGGATTGGCACGGTTTACAGGACGTGCTGTATGTACACTGTGCACTGTGCACTGACCCGATCCAGGGATTAATAGCTTACAGCAGTTAGAGGATTGTCACAATCGTAGCATGCGCAGACAGTCCACGGAGCATACGCAGACAGTTCACGGAGCATACGATCATCAGCACCGTCAGTGTTGTCACATCGCACAATATAACAGTACCCCTGTTGGCAGATGATGATTTGGCGTCGGAGAAGTGATAATAGCTGTTGTTGCTTCGGTTAGCACATGCTAGCGATGTTAAGAACCAGTGAGGTCATCCGGGATCTGTGAATTAGGCCTGAGGGCCAGAGTCCAAGGCCAGACCGGCGTGAAGATCACGGGTAACAGGCCTCTAAAGGGTCAACGAGAGCCGCGCAGAGGTGTTCGAGTGTAGTTTAGTCGTTGCCTTCCTCAGATGGATATTGTATACCTGTTATAGCTTATCGTTCCGCTTGCTACGTCAGCTACTACTAGACCGGAGAGATAAGGGTTCTGATAGTGTGTCATGATCACGGAGCAATCGTGGTCAGGTTCTCGATTAAGATCATGATTGGGATCACGATTAGGATCACGATGGGATCATCACACGACGGGGCTCGTAACGGCGCCATGGGGCCATGATAGGCCACACAGATAAGCAGTCGTGCATGGTTGTCACATAGATGCAGAGTCGTTGGAACGTTGATGAGGTCGACGTAACCAGGGTTATCCAGTCTCCGGCTATTGCTATCTTCAGTGGTGCGGATTCGGTAGCATCAAGTGATTTATACCCTCGCTACACATAAAAACAACGGGGAGAGGGGTCTCTCCATACACACAAATACACAATTTGTCCTTTTAGTACACCATATACACACGTTAACCCCTTAGCAACACATCAATGTAATCAATGCAAGCAATAAATACATCAAAAAGCTTTGGGAAACAGCATTTCCAATCACAGAGCATTCTTTCTAGTCAGATAGTCAAACCTGGAGTAGGTATAACCGATGAATGGTAAATCTTCCTTACTATCACCATTAGATGCTGCACCTCCGTGGGCTTGTCTTTCACGTTCGGCTCTGGCCAGTGCAGGATTCTCAGGAACGTTCTCCAACTCCTCAGTTGGGAAGAATCTAGTGTCCGTTATACTCTTCAGCTTTGGAATGAATGGTGCATCCACTTCTCGAATGGTATTCCAATCAACACCACGGAAGAATGGATGTGCCTTAATCTCAGCAGCTCCACCATGACGTCCTAAACGGTTCTCTGCATGGGTTAACAACAACCTAATCAGATTCTCAGCTTCTGGGGAAAGATGAACATCATCTGGGAATTGTAAAGTTTCTTGGAAGTTCAAAATCTTTCTATAAGTCTCCTGTGGGGTTTCAGAGCAGAACGGTGGCCATCCAACTAGACATTCAAACATGATGGTACCTAGGGACCACCAATCACACTCTTGACCGTACCCTTGATGGATGAAGATCTCTGGAGCAATGTAATCAGGCGTACCGACGGTTGAGTACGCCATTAAACGACGCGACTTCCTCCAGGTTTGGATCTGCTGTCTGTTGGATAAAGTCATATGGATAGCATCAACCATCATTGTATTTCTAGAACCTGGCTCGTTCAAAGACTGCGGTTGTGGTAATTTGCCCTGATCCTGTTGCTGGAGCAACTTCTTGTAATAGTTTGAATCATGGGTCTTGTGGAATCCGGTGGATAATCCAAAATCAGAGAGTTTGATGTGCCCACGGATATCGATCAAGATGTTATCTGGTTTGATGTCACGATGGATAAAACCTAGCTTATGAATGGCTTCAATCGCCAAGACACATTCAGCCATGTAAAACCTCGTGATATCCTCAGTAAAAACTTGCCATCTGATAAGCATGGTCATCAAATCACCACCCGGTAAGAATTCCATAATCAGATAGAGATACTGAGCATCTTGGAAAGAGTAATACAGGGAAACAACCCAGGGAGAATCACTACCTGCAAGAACATCCCTCTCGGCCTTAACGTGGGCCAACTGGTCCTTCTTGTACATCTCACTCTTCAGCAGTGTCTTCATAGCGTAGATCTTACCGGTATCTTTCTTTTGAACAAGACGAACCTCACCAAAGGCTCCTTTACCGATGACCTTAACAGTTTCAAAATCGTCCAAACTGAGCCTTGTTCTTCTAAGTCTCAGGAATTGCGATTCCTTACGACCAAGGCTCTGAAGCTGACGATTCTTACGCTCCTCAGAGCAGTCTTCAGTGGCTAAACTGTGTTCCAAATCCACACGACGTTGGTTACGCTCAACAGCATGAGAAACACTCATCTGGTAGTAGTTCTCCAAACGTAACTTCACTGCAGCTGCTTTATCCTGTGTCTGCTTCTTGAAAATCTCAGGATGACGTTCAAAATATACATAGTTTGAAGGCCTTGAAGGGGAAGTGTTGACGTTGAACGTTGGTTTCACGTTAGAGTCAAAGTTGCTGGAGCCAAACTGTTGTTGTTGTTGGAGCGTGCGAGACGCTGATGCGAGACTGGAGGTGTTTGACAGCACGGGGGTCAAATGGTTCGAGCGGATGGACCGTGTAGGGGACGCTGGAACCTGTGGCTGGTAAAACTGTGGGCTCTGAGACTGCTGCTGCTGTTGTTGTTGTTGAAGAGCAACGCCTTGATGCAGGGAGCGCTGTGAGGGACTCATCTGGCCAGGGGACGTGGAATACACGTTGTTGTAGCCCTGTGAAGGGGGAGTAGCAGGCATATTCATAGGGTTCGAAGGCGGCGGCATCTTATTCTGCATACTGAGAAACTGTGTACGTTCAACATCCTGATGTTGATGTTGATGTTGTTGCTGCTGCTGCTGCTGCTGATGGTACAGCTCTTGCTGCTGCTGCTGGTACAATTGTTCTTGAAGCGACTGGTGGGACCCCTGCTGTTTCATGTATTGCGCGCTGAACTGGGCCGTGGGCTGTACAAACCCCTGTGGCTGTCCCTCGCCTTGTTGTTGATACTGATAGTACTGATCTGAGCTGTTGAACATCGTGAGAAAATGAAAAGCTCCTTAGCAAAACCGCGACTTTCCGCTCGAATCAACCTCAACAAGTCACTGACAATGTTCCTTAGGATCTGAACCTCTTGAAATGTGCTTTGGATCAACTCGAAACCACCAATTAAAGCAGAGAACCACCGTTGTAGGTTTGTTTATTTAGTGCTGTTTGCGAGCTGAAGGAGCTCGCTTTTGTGTGTGTGTGCTTTTTTTTCCTTCCCCTGTGTGTGCCCATAACAAAATAACCGCGGTGAAAGGGGGAGGAGGGAGAGGTTTGGTTCCGCGTTCGATCCCCGTGCGTGACATTGTTTGGTCTATGTTGCTGTGATCGTCCTGTGAGAACGCTACGCTACAAGCCGTATTCTTCTACAGGATACCGAGCCAAGTGGTAATATAAACGCTTTTACATTAGATGACATCAAAAACACAGTGTAGTGATAATAATAAAACTTTCAACAATTGTCTTAAGCTTAGAATTGCAAAGCTTGACCCTTTTGCTTCTTGTCACCACCCAACTCGAAGTGCTTACAACGCTTCAAAGCCAATTGGGCCTTGGTCTTGCAGACAACACACTCCAAACGCAAAACAACCTTCTTGGTGGTTTTAGCCTTTTTGTGGAAAACTGGCTTGGTTTGACCACCGTAACCGGATTGCTTACGGTCATAACGACGCTTACCCTGGGCAAAGAGGGAAGCCTTACCAGCCTTGTACTGGGTAACCTTGTGTTGAGTGTGCTTTCTGCACTCCTTACCCTTACAGTAGGTTCTTCTGGTCTTTGGAACGTTAACTATTTGTCAGAGATACAGCTGTTAGTACAAAAGTCTCGGATTTGTTTGTGCGTGTGCTTTGGGAGTGAGCCATTATAGAGATATGGTGGTGCCTGTTGATATTCACTGTTGATTCCTCTAGGAGCAGTTCGTGATGTGTACGTCATATAGGTGATATTTCCGTCCTTGTTCTCTGAACACACTTGTTACATGTCTACTTCCTCTCTTAAACCACCCCTTCTTCCCACATACTTCATCGCTTTCTTCCTTCCCAGCAAGACGTATAGAACAAGCACCATCCCTATCGATAATATCCACGCTCGAGACTACCACATATCCCACTAATGGCATTCACACACCGCACACGTCGTCGTTTCCCACATACCCATTGTGTTTGATTACTGCTTGATGTGATCTCAAAGGGTAGTGTTGAAAAGGGCCTGAGCCTGAAAGTTTTCGATAAATTTCACCGGTGAGTCGCCAACGCTCGCGCAGAGTGGCCCAACAGGACGGAAGAAAAAACACACACACGCATACAAAGCGTCAACATCCAGACACCACATGTTGCGTGAGTGGGTGTTTTCTTATGTAGTAATCGGGAGGCGCCACATTGACACATTAACCCGGACACCAGCGGGACACCAACCAATAGCCCTAAAAACGACGAGCATGGTAACGTCACGTGCTCATCATTACACCAGAGCCCTAATTATACCTTTTTGTTTACAATTTCTGCTTTTGTAACAAAAATACACATCAACATCAACATTGAAACCTCTTTGTTTACGTTTCCTCTCGAGAAGAAGTCGCTGAGCACCGTTGCAAGTACGCTCACCAGGGAGATTCCACCTACACCCGGTCCACCAAGCATCACAGAGACTTCCGCTCAGCTGTTGTGCTCTCCTTCCTCATCTTCATCCCGCTGTCAGCTTCAAACAGGTCTCCCTAACGATAAAACACAATGGCATTTGGTGATTTCAACTCGCTATGCCACAACACGCCACTCCCGTTGTGCCAGGTTGTGAAGGCAACGACGAGCGAGCAGTTCACGCACCTGAACGAAGGGATCATCCCTGAGTGCTACGCCCGTCCGATAGACGTTGCCAATACCGTGATATTCCAGATTGGTAACGCCTTTGTCAACATTGGTGCCCTCGTGATCATGATCATCATCATCTACAACGTCAGATCGAAGTACACAGCTATCGGAAGACTGGAGATGCTATTCTTCTTTTATTTGATACTGGCGTTGATCGTGGCGACTTTGGTTGTTGATTGCGGCGTGAGCCCTCCTGGAACAGGGTCCTATCCGTACTTTGTGGCGTTACAACTCGGGTTGGCGTCCGCATCGTGTTGGTGTTTGATGATTTGTGGGTTCTTGGGCTTCAGAATGTGGGAGGATGGTACGAAGAAGTCGATGTGGTTCCTGAGACTCTCAACATTGGCTCTTTTCATACTTACTTTTGTAATCAGCTTGATCACTTTCAACGATTGGATCCTCAACAACACCATCGACTCGGAGCACACCACAGGGCTGTTCGTTGTGATATACGTCTTCAACGCAATCTTCTTAGCCATTTATATCGTTTCCCAGATATTGTTGGCTCTACTGGTGATAAAGAACTACTGGGTTGTGGGTGTGATTGGACTTGCGGTGGCATCATTCATCATTGGCCAAGTGCTCATGTACGCGTGCTCCAAGCCTATCTGCGAAGGAGTCAACCACTACATAGACGGGCTCTTCTTCGGCTCGTTGTGTAACTTGTTCTCCATCATGATGCTGTACAAGTTCTGGGATATGACCACTGACGATGACTTGGAATTCAGCATCAGCATCGATAAGGACGGCGCAGTGTTATTCGCTGAGCGTTGATAACACGTTTGTTAGAGACTTGGTGTGTATAGTTGTTATATTTACTCATGATATGGAGGATAGATAGAGGGTTCGTTTGTAAGAAATCATCTGTTGTGGTTCCCACTATGTATAACATCGTGAGAAAATGAAAAATTACTCCCGCATCAATCTTTCGGTATCAATCAGCAAGAATCACAGCAGAATGCCACCAAAGAGTATGTCCATAGTGCAACTACAACATGTATTGAGCAATATCACTAACAGATTGGCATATCCAAGAACATCTAAAGCTTCCAAAGTTCTCGAAACAGCCTAAGCAACTCAAGCAGCAGGAGGCGATGCCCCAGACCTCCGAGGATTATCTCGAGGAAGCAATATCAAAGGAGGAGTACGCTGACAGATGGCTATTGTCAGACGTTGCAAAGTCTTTGAGAGCATACCAGGAGTCGTTTGACTACTACTCCAGGTCAATTGCGCTGTCCAATGGTGGAAGTTCCGATCACGTGTACAACAGGCTGAGGCTGCTCTTCCACGTTTACGAGACGTATAAGGATGTTCCCAAGAGTATGCTCACAGGGTGTGATGGCTGTACTGTTCACCTCACAGGGCTACAAGGCGTTATGAGGGAGTACCAGGCTGCTGGCTGGGTCAATTGGGAATGTGCTTATAACCAGGTGCTTCTCAATATGGAGGCGATGGAACAAGAAGGTGTAATGGCCGAACAGGTCGTTGGCCTGCTAAACGGGAGCATTGCTCTCATCAATAGCATCTTGAAAGTGCAACTCCTTGAGCTGGACTCGTTTCTGCAAAGGTTAGAGGCTGGCGAGTCAGAGACTCCTACGGAGACTCAAGGTGAGGGTGACATGTACGAACAGATCGTCCCCAGTACGGTGTTGGATACGCTGATTACAGCCTGGAGAATGGTGTTCACAGCAATGCAATCTTGTGATACCTTAGAGGAGCTGAGGCTGGTAGCTGGCGAATCTCAAGTGTTTCTGGGTCAATTGGACGATGGCCTTACGCTGCTGGAGCGATTTGCACCAGGAAATGATGATCCATTCCAGCTCAACATTAAACAGGGCGAGTTGGATGAGCTCTCTCTAGTGAAGTCCTGTATATATGGCATTCAGACTGTTGAGCTGGCACCACTGGTGAATCTCTGGGAGTCTATGGCATTGATAACCAGCTCGAAATGGCTGGCACAGGCGGACTCTTTCATCACGTTGCTCTCCTTTGTACAGTTCAGCGAGGAAGACCAATGGACAGTTATATCTCATGCACTGAAGGCATTGAAACTTGCACAGGATACGCTGACGTCCGAGTTGAACGAGGAGAAGAGCGCAAAGGGTGCGAGAGTTTCCGCACTGGTTGGCAAGATTGTTGAAGTGTTGATATCCAGAGCTGATAATGAACTGTTGAGAGCTTCATTAACCTGTGATGCTGCTGTTCAGCACCGTGACACATTGAAGAGCAATGCCATAAATCTATTGAAATCTGGACTAAACTATTCGCAATCTAATGTTGGCTTGAGAGAACCCGTACTGGACAAGATCCAGAGGAACAAGCTCAAGAGAGAGTGCGTTGTTCGTCTGCTGATATTGACAAAGGATGTCCTTTCCGTTGAAGATCTAGTGAGAAATCTTGGTATGGAGTTCTGGGAATCAGAGTGGACGGAGATGAGGAGCCATCCCTTATATTCAAAGTTCCCCATAGTATCTACAGTATGAATGATATGTGATGTGCGTTTGTTCAAAACACCAATAGTTGCATGACTTTATCATCCATGAGAACATCAAGTCCTCTCGCAGTGCTGTACAAATCACCTCTATATCCCCAAGCAATCTCAAGGACATCGATGATGGAGAACGTGTACCTTGCACGAACGATATCGGAGTATCCAAAGATGTTTTCCAGGATAACTTCTCTATCTTCATAGTAGAGAGCAGACAGTCCAATGATCAACAAGCACATCGGCGAAATGGACCGTACTCCAGAGTCTTTATCTATCTGTGATAGCTTTATCCTTGCGGTGGTGACGTCTCTCTGGACAGAGTCATTACTAAGATCAAAGTTCGGGTCTATAATCTTCTTGAGAAGGATCTTGACACATTTGAGAAATGCCTCTGTAAGCAGCACTGAATCACGCAACGCTGATAGTTTGGACTTGTTAACATGTGCTTCACCTGCTATACTTGGCTTGGGGTATTGATAAGCTGACAACAGCAACTTCTTTGCCATGGGCAAGGACTCCGGGTCGCTCTGGTTCCGTAGCAGATAGCTAGCCTTGATTGCCATTTCAAATGCATCGAACGACGAGCCGAACACCGGATGGTTCATCCAGGAGACATCACAGGGCACCAGCGAGTGCTTGAGCACCTTCCTCAGGTGGTAGAACAGCTCAAAAGGCCCCGGCAAGCCTTGGATAGCATGGTCAGTTCCCGTGAGTATGCACATTCCATAGCCGTATATGAACGACTCTAAGAATCCTCTTTCAAACCGCGTTGTTAACGAAACGTCGACAGAACATGCGATGCTGTTCTCCAGGTCCATGATCTGTGCGTCTGTTTCATAGTCAACGTCCAGTTCTCCAGGCTTTGGTGGAGAATCAGGCCCCCCTTCGATCATAAGAACAGGCTTCTCCGTGATGTACTTGTTCTCTATCAACATGTAAGAGTACTGTAGACACAACATGAGGTGGTGCGGATTGAACGTTCTCACCCGTGTGGCACCTATGGACATCAGCTGGAACGCTGCTCCTATCCACAGGTGGTCATCAGCACACAAGTCTGCCTGTGCCATGTACATTATCAGAGCATCCATTGTGTTTGAGAATTTGACCTCTGCTATGGGATCCAGCCCAGATTTACAGCTCGAGAGGAACGCACAGCCACACGACTCGGCCACTTGCAACATGATTGGATGCTTGTTGACCAGTGGCGTCCATGTGTTCTCTGTCTTGAGCAGAGGGTGCGTGTACTGAGGAGCAAGCGCCGCTATGAACGCGCCTGCGCCTACGCTGATGAAGGTGTCCGTCATTGATTCCTCAATAGGCGTCCATAGCGGCAGGGACTCGTGAGCCAGCACCACGGGCAGCTTCTCGACCTCCAGCTCCACAACCTCATGCTGCCCAGCGTCTCTGTCCGCCTCCTTGCCGTCAACATCATCAAAGTTTATCACCTGTTCAATCACCAAGGGGTATGTGTCATCGTCATCGCTGGAGCTGCTATCGTCCGCCAGCTCTGCTGGCTCGTCGCCATCCACGCCGCGAGCCCTCTGCTCCTCTCTCCTCTTCCTCACCAACGCCTCGTCCACAGGAGGCACCACGTAGCCCTTGGGCAGACTCTGGTTCCCCCTAGGCCACACGCACGGTATACACTTTGCTGAGCAGTAACCGCACGCTGGCCTGGTCTCATCGCACTTCTTCTTGATCTTGCGGCAGTTGAAGCACCCGGACCGTGTTCTCCTGTGATCATCTCTCCGCACCCTGAACGTGTGCATCATGCTGGTCACGTTCTCAGCGCTCGTGGCCATGTCTTCCTACCGCTGTGATTAATACCCGTGGGCATTGAAGAGCGCAGAGGGCCCAGAAAGCGGGAAAATTTGAGCTTTATGCTTAGATCGCAGCGCGGTTGGAGGCACAGGGGAGATGGGGGCCACTGCGGACGGAGATGGAAAAGATAACGAGGGAGCGAAGGGGAGCGAAGGGGAGCGAAGGACAGCGAAGGAGGGACGGGGACGGTGGTTGGACCGTGCTGATGGCGGCGAGAGGGCTCGCTGGACGGTGGTTGGAAGCGCAGATGTGTCTGTTTAGGTGTTTGGGTGTTGTGCGCCTTTTGTTCCACGGCCTGGTGCTTCTCTGCGTGGTGTTGAGGGAAGTGGACTGTCCTATGACGTACGTGGGGAGAATATGCGGTGGAGGGTGTGCGAGGGCTCTGGGCTGGCCGTAGTCGTGTTCTGGTTGGCCGTAGTCGTGTTCTGGTTGGCTGTAGTCGTGTTCTGGTTGGCCGTGGCCGTGTTCTCGTTGGCCGTGGTCGCGTTCTGGTTGGCCGTGCTTGCGATGGCTGCGCTGACGCTGCAGACGATGTGAAGCTCGGTGTTAGATGGTGACACTACACGGCCCGAGACCGAGCCGGCGACGTCTGTGGGAAGTCTGTCGTGGTGGTTGTGGAGCAGCAGTGGAGTCTATTGGCTGGTGGTGGCCTTGCACTGTTACAGAGCATCGTCGTCACACCAATGTCGCCGTGAACAATGGGCGCTCTTGGTCTGCACGCATGAGGCGAGCTACAGTGATTTGTCATCACAGCATGGCAATTGTAAGCTGGGGAGTATAAGCTGGGGAGTGTAAGCTGGGGAGGGCGCATGGAGCGAACGCACTCGGTGTTCGGGTAGGCACGGTACGTTCACTGAGGACAGCTGCGACAAGCCATACCAGCCCAAGTGAGCCGGGGAAGCCACTACAGCTGGGCTCCACGATGGTGGGTGTACGGATGTTATATGACACATCCATCCTCACCACGCTATGCAGACGCTGGTGAGACTGGACCGTGGGGACAGTATCAACCACTGAGAGCATCCCGTGAAAGGGAATGAGATCCATAGCAGAGAAACACACAGTAGCATACACAGCACCTTCCACATCTGCATTCTCAATATCACAAGAGAGAACGTGGCTCTCACACCGGCACGACTTGATGAGCCATGCCGGGAGCTTACAACAGTGCGGAACCCCTTAACAACCAACAGCTTTCCCACCATGGCCAGACACACCATTCCATCTCTCACAGCCATCACAAACCCCCACAAGCCTCGTGAGCACAGCGTCTACAGCCCAATAGCCATAGTCCCATGTTCGTGAGCCCTAACCCGGTTGATCTGGTGTCTGGATGTATTGGATGGCCGCTTCACCTGAAGGTGAAAAACAAAATTTTTTCCAAACTTTTCACTCTGTCTTGTTGAACACTTTTCCTCTTCTTCAACATCAATATCGCCAACATGACGGCCCGTAAGCTTCGATACCTTTGCTTCCCTTGTGACCTGTGATGTTCTTGTGGGGCTACAGTGGAGGTGATGCTTGCGGGAGAGGCGTAGAGTGATACGAACGTTGCTGGGCGCCTGGTGTTGAATCACATCATGTGATACTGGGAATCAGTTGTTTCTACATTCTTGTCTATAGTGTTTTCCGAAACAACAACGTTAGGTCTTTTGTACATAGCTTATACGAGTGAAGTCTCAATTCCATCTTACGTGTAGGGTGAGCTTGTGCGATATGCGGCATTGAATGCGCTTACTAGCATGGGCGTGGAAGCCAAGATTGGTACAATGTGCATTTAATTAGTCATTATATGAATGGACGCCAGTACGTCGAATGAAGCCATAAACACTTGTGGGAGGGCGAAAACAGAAGACAATTGTTCAGTATAGTGTGATGAACTTGCTCATGATTGGTCCATAGCTGCAATCGACAACAAGGTGAGAGGTTATAAAAGGAGTAATAAAAAGGTTTCGTGTGTAGCATTGACAAATCGTGGTCCAGAATAGTAAAAGAACATAGAGAAAAAAAAAAGGAAACATTAGAAGGGTCCATTCCTGGTTAGCAAGGTCACTGAACCAAATCCTCACTGGCCGATAAAAGGGAGTTTGATAAAAATTAAACCAGTTGCTTCGGAGAAGAATATGAGACCTTGGCCCAATCAAAAAGGTTTCTTTAAATGTAGCAGCGATAATAAAAAAAAGATAATGGTGAGAGTGAATATCAAGTACTTCACTTGCGTTGCAATCTATCCTTCCAGATCAAGAGAACCATTTCCCATGCCATCAAAAGGGCAACACATCCAACGTTGACGTTAAGAGTGAACATCGATGTCAAACCTCTGTACTCGAGGGCCTCAACCACTTGATCTGTGGATTGCATGAAAATTGCACCACCAGCGATCAAACAGAAGGATGTGATCAGCTCGGTGAATGGACGAGATGGCGCCAAGTTCTTGTTTGGAACAAGCATCAGAAGAATAAATGTCAGCAAACGGAAGAATGAACCGTATGAGAGCATGTAACCCCACTGCTCATGGATTACAGTGGAAATCTGTGAAGCCTGCTTGTGTTGTGACATGAGAATACCTGTCCAAAAGATGGTGAAGACTGGGAATGGGTTTGGTGAATAACCTGGAGAACCAGCATGAATAGCAGCAGGGTTAATGTTCGTGTTGGACAAAACCTGGTGGAATCTCCAGTCGGACAAGATCTTTTCAGTAATTAAACCACAGAGACCAGCTCCGATGTACATGAATGCAATTGAAACGTGTTGTAAATCCTTTGCTTCCCACGCACCGCCTGCGCCCGCCAAATGCTCCAAGAAAACGTTTGTAGAACCGTAAAAGAAGATCAAGAAACTCTCATAGAACTCCATGGTGAACATACCCTGTGGCATCCATCTGTACCATAGCGAGTTGTGATTAACTTGATTCTTGAAGATGACACACTTGTTCCAAGCCAAACCGGATTTCGACAGACAACCGCAGTAACGGGCCAATGAAAAGATCCCCAAAGTGAAGAAGACACCACCTTTGATGAAATGGGCCAACAAGTTGAAGACTCTAACGCCTTGTCCTAGCAGATTACCAGTGGCGACACCGGTGATGGAGTAAGTAAAGAGATATCCAAGCATTGGAAGGTTAATCAAGGAGAACAAGAACGAAATCACTGGCGCAAACTTTTCAGCAAAGGCCTTGACCCTTGGATGGTTGAAAACCGAAGAAAGAATACCATCACGAGCCAATGAGCTATGCGATTGAGCCCTAGGAGCATTGAAGTACTCTTCACCCATATCCAACGAATCCTTGTAAACCTCAGTCTCTGGAGAAGCCGGGACGGCGTTTCCATGGTCATGGCTGTTCTTATTTCCGTTCACACCATTGCTGATGTTCTTAGTATTGTTATTATTGTCAGCGTCGATCAGTGTAGATGGGGAAGGAGAGCCGGAACCAGCCTCCAAGTCCAAGTCCTCCAATGGGATAAAAGGTTGGTTCAATTCCGGCGTATCATTCATGATCCATTCGCCAGAGATCCACTGCGATGCGCAGTGGAGCACCGCCAAACAGTAATGCGTGATCGTTGCAAACAACAAGATCCACGACATCTTGCCATATGCGTTATTCGGATACATGTTTGGTGCCGAGATGCTAAACACCTTTAAGGACACCAACGATACGACGATCAAGGCGTCGTAGACGGTCAACACCGGGATGTACCACTTGGACTTGACGGTGTTGAGAACCAAGGTGATCGGGTAGATGAAGATGAACCCGACGAAAAGGGTCAGGACGTGGACCCACAGGGAGCCTTTGTGTGGGCTTTCCATGGTGAAGTACGTGGTGGTGTTGTACTGTTCCCAGTAGAGGCGCTCCGCTGGCGTCAACTTTCTCTGAAGGATTGGAGCGCCGTGGTCCATCTTGGGCTCATGAGGAATTGGCACGAGCTCCGTGGTGTTTTCAGTGGAGACCTCGACCTGTGCCGCCTGGACGTAGTTGCCGCCGTCCATCATGCCCTCACCGTCCATCATTCCTTCACCGTCCATCATCTCTGTGTTTCCATCACCATCCATCATGCTGGCGGCTGCCGCTGCGATGAGCGGTATCGCCAGTAACTTCGTAGAGAGCCTCATCCTTGTGTGTGAACTGGAGTGCACCGCTGTGTAGAACTTCCTGTGTATAACCTGCTGTGTATAACCGCTGTGTATAACTTACTGTGGGACGTTGTTTGTTGTTGTTTGTTGTTGTTTCTTGTTTGTGCTCCCTGCGGATGTGTCTGCCAATGGCGCTTCAACCTTTATCAAAGCAGACGAATCAACGGTTTTATAAAACAAAAAGTCCTCTCCCCCAAACCATACGATATTTTCAAAGCCCTTGGGTAAAACCGGTTTCTTTTATACGTACTTATGCCCCCATATGCCCCCAGCTTCATGTATGGTGATGTTTCTAAGCAGAGCTGTTTCCTGCTGGACGGAGCCAGGCGGAGGGGGGCGGGCGTGTCTTTTTGTGGGGGGCAAAAAAAAATACCGTGCGATGGGAGGGTGTTCGGCTCAATTGTACGGGCCGGCGTTAATTTTCTGTAGGCGCGCAAGCGTGAAGTTTTTTTTTCGGATTCTGTTTGACACAAAGGGCTTTAGCTTGAGCACTACGAGTTCGCATTCAGCTAAAGTGGTTGCATAACAGCTGGGAGAGTGTGTGAGTTGCTGTTTGCGGAATGGCTTTGTAAGCGTTAGCTTGAATGGTTGTATCGCGCACTTGGTGAACTCGATCGTATGATTGCTGTTGTTGTTGGTTTGGTTACTGGTGTTGTGTCCCTTGTAAGTTTTGTCTCTGTAGGGAGAGGGCACTTGTAACGTATACGTAATATGCACGTTACCCAAGCGACAGCCAAAAAAACACCAGCAATTACTTCAAACAAACAAACCAAAACAGAAATCGGGCACAGGTGGAAGCGGAAACAGAGTTTCTCAGATGCATGCGTGCGCATCTCTCGTCAGTTGAGGGCAAAAAGAGACACAGCGAGGTCTGTGAGAACAAGACGAGGACGGAGGTTCCGTAGTTACCGAGTTCCGGGGAGAGACAGAGCTCAAACACAGAGATTAAGACACACACGGGACAGCGAATTTGCTCGTTAGGCGTTGGTGCTCTGCCTTGCCCCTCCGGAAGGGGACATGGGGTTTGGTTGAACAGGCCCCCAGCGGGAAGTAGGGTCGTTCCCGCACTTCCTCTGCGCGTGTAGCTACCATTCTCCCGCGTAAGCTTTGGCGGAGGCCCCAGCTAACATCGTTTTACCGCTCATTTTGCGTGCGTAAAGCTCGCAATTCGTTGTGCTGGTTTTCTGTTTTTCGCTGACAATGGCGGCGCGCGCAATTTGGAGAGGGTTTTAAAAAACTGACATGCAGCGATGAGCTTTGTTAATTGTAACTCAGCTCCATGGGCCGTGACAAGCGTCCCTCGATTTCTGTTGTGACGATGTACACTTGTGCCACACTGAACTGCTCCTGCTCTGTGTAAGGTCTTGGATTTACAGATTAATTGGCAAGTTTCTTCAGCCAGTGCCTGGTTGCTTGGATCCCGAATCGCCATGGCTAATGGCTCAGAATTACAACTTCGTGGATCTCCATGTTCCCCTAGTTGTGGTCAGCATCTGCAAAGTTAAAAAAATTATTAGTTGCATGTTTGATTACTTTACCAACATTCCCCCTATTGTGGACAGCTAGGAATTAGAATGAGCTCATAGATACGAGTCGCAGAAAGCGAAAAGTATCATGATTCCATCTGGTCAGGGGGGCTTGTGTATGGCGATCGGCTCTATCACTCGTTCTGCACTTCAGGCACACTACCAAATCCCGAGGTGAAGGTGATGTTGAGAATTCCCTCGAACCATGGCCACCGCAAACATGCTCGCCATGGCCCTTGCTATACGAATGTTAGAGAACCCGAAGTGGATAAGATAACAGCCAAGGTTGTGATAAGAATTGCCTAATTGAAACTACTTGGCAAACGTATGATGTTCTTTGGAGAGCACCTCTCCAGAACCCGAGCTCCGAGCCTGCAAGATTCAAGACCATCTTCGTTTTTGCTTTGTTGCCTAAGGCAGATGCTGTGCTGTTAGAGGTCCCAAGGGGAATTAATAAGCATTGCCAAGTCCCACAGCAGAATGATGTAACTCGTATTTTGGCATAGCCTGTATTTACGCCATTGTCCCTGCTCTTCATGGCATACCGACTCCAATCGACCCGTATATCTAGCAACTCTGATAAGAGCGTCGTATTGATCGAGCTCAATGCTTCGCCAAACCTTTGAACACCTTGGTCCGACCTTGTTGTCAATATCCCGGTCCTGTTAAAAGTAACTTATGTCCGGCTGCTCGACAGAACTTCCTAATTTGACCATCAACTATGGAATAAGGTCCGCGATTGATGTCTCCGGCCGAGTCCAGGAATGGCTAAGCGGAGGAGGTCTGAACCGACAGTCTATGTATTCATCCATATTACGACCCACCACAGAACTGTAGAGCGTGGTGTTTGACTGTTTCCCCAGCTAGGGGTTGTTTTTATCTGTCTGGTTTAAGATCGATGTCAAGATTGGAGTTGGAACGTTGCAGACAACTCACTGCTAAAGGCTTTAAATTACCGTTTTCATCAGTCAGTACAATCGGGACCTGGATCATGGCACACTAGCACGCACAGACGAACCAAACACTCCCCTGTGAGATCACAAATTGATCCATTCCAAAGTCAGTCGACTACAAATAGCGTGCTCGTGCTGGGTAAAATTGTTCATGGTGTACTGGATGCCATCACCGTGGCAACCGAGTTGTCCCATCAACAAAAATCAAAACATGCACACAAAAACAAAAACAAAACAGAAGCGGGTTTTGTGTAATGTTCAACACGCCTTCATTTCATATGGAAGGCAAGTCATTTACACACTCGAAACTGAACAAACACTCAGTTCTAGCAAAGGCTGATAAGGCGAACGATGTCTCTGTTGAAGCGCACCAACCGGGTGGTTATCCACGAGGCCATTCAGGAAGAAGATGACGACGATGATGAGGCGGTTAATACTCACAGAAAGGACGAAGACAACAACCAGAACAATAACAACGGTGCTGAGGACTCGGAATCCTCGTCAAACTATACGGACTCTCCCGAGTACCAAGCAGGAGAAGGGCCTTGTACGGATCGATACCCAAGCTCTTAGTGATTTGTCTCTTGCGTATAAACTAACATCAACTTTCAAACAGCAGCGGCGTTGAATACGAATGCTTTCGATTCTGCATTGACAGGAAGAAGCGCTGTGCCATTCAGTGGCTTCAAGACCCCACAGATTGCAAGCGATCGGTGGAATGAAAGAATCCAACACGCTACTATTGAAAAGAAACCCGAAACGGTTAAGGGAGAAAGGTTTGCAGAACGTGGTATCTACGACGTTTTTGACAATTATCATGATCCATATCCTTGCTGGAGTAATCCGAATGAGATACCTATAACCAGAGAAGAGATTGAATTGGTATTCATCGAGTTGATGGAAAACTTTGGATTTCAGTTGGATAATACGAGAAATATGTTTGATTTCTTGATGAGATTGTTAGACTCAAGAGCGTCCAGGATGACAGCCAACCAGGCGCTTCGTTCAATCCACGCGGACTACATTGGTGGAATAAACTCAAACTTCAAAAAATGGTACTTTTCAGCTCAGCTCGATATCGACGACACTGTGGGTTTCGCAAACGCCAATAAAGATGGTCAACCAAAGAGTTCCTACAAGAGGAAAAATAAAGGCAATCCGCTGTTTGAATCGAAAATCTCCTTGGAACAATCTGAAGTTAGGTGGGTTGAGAATATGAGCTCTCTCTCAGCTTACGACTCTGTTGTTCAAGTCTCTATATATCTCTTGGTGTGGGGCGAAGCCAATAACATTAGATTTATGCCCGAATGTCTCTGCTTCATTTTCAAATGTTGTAATGATTATTGGTATGGCTTGGAGAAACTCAAAGAGGACAACGCTGACTTTAAGCCCCCTGAGTCATTTTTGGATCACGTCATTACTCCGTTGTATGAGTTCTACAGAGATCAAGTGTATGAACTTGTTGATGGACGCTACATCGTTAAGGATAAAGATCATTCTTCCATAATTGGGTACGATGACATCAACCAGTTCTTTTGGTATAGAAAGGGGTTGGAGAAAATCCAAATCAAGGATTCGAAGAAATTGTTAATTGAGATCCCTGTCCATGAGCGTTACCTCCATTTGAACAATATCAGATGGTCAAAATGCTTTTACAAGACTTATAAGGAGAGAAGAACTTGGCTACATATTATTCTCAACTTCAACAGAATCTGGATCATTCATATTTCAATGTTTTGGATTTACACCTTGGCAAATGCATCTGCTCTCTACACAAAGAACTATCAACAACTGTTGGACAATAAACCGCCAATGTACATCACTTTGACTGTATTGTCGTTGAATGGGGCAGTTAGTACCTTAATCAACTTGATTGCAACGTTGTTGGAATATTTGTTTGTTCCAAGACGATGGCCAGGTGCTCAATCATTAACAAAACGGTCTGTGTTGTTGACATTAATTTTACTGCTTTTGACAATTCCAACTCTTTACATCCTTGGTGTTTTCCCCGTGTCTATTAATGAAAAGGCGGCAATGGGAATCTCTATCAGTCAGTTCATTTTGGGAACGGTGGTTTCAATCTATTTTGCTATCGCTCCTTTGTCGTCATTGTTTGGATCCACACTCTCTGGGAAGAGAGACACTCTTGCAAATATCAACTTTACCAATTCTATTCATAAACTCAAAGGTAAGGCCCGACTCTCCTCTTTTGGTCTCTGGTTTGCTGTCTTCACAGCAAAGCTGATTGAATCATATTTCTTCTTGACATTGTCGCTTAAGGACCCAATCAGAGAGTTGAGCGCTATCCATGCAACTAGATGTATAGGCGAACAATATTTGGGCACCATTGTTTGTCGTATTCAACCAATGGTTTTGTTGACATTAATGGTTATCACTGACTTGGTGTTATTTTTCTTAGACACGTACATGTGGTACATTATTTGTAACACAATCCATTCTGTCTGCAGGTCATTGTATATTGGTGTCTCTATATGGACACCGTGGAGAAATATCTTTTCTCGATTACCAAAAAGAATCTTTTCCAAAGTCATGGCAACTACACAGGACAATACTTTCAAAAGTAAAGTATTGGTGTCTCAAGTCTGGAATGCAATCATTGTCGCAATGTACAGGGAACATCTTTTGTCATTGGAGCACGTGCAACGTTTGATATACCAACAGGTTGCACAGACAGATCTCTCTGGAAACCAGACTACAACGTTGAAAGAGCCAAACTTTTTCATGTCACAAGAGGATGAGATCATGAAGTCTCCTTTGTTCGAGTCACAATCTGAAGCACAGAGAAGAATCACGTACTTTGCACAATCGTTGTCCACTCCAATGCCGGATCCAGTACCTGTATCACAAATGCCGACATTTAGCGCCTTGATTCCACATTTCTCAGAGAAGATAACCTTGACGTTGAGGGAGATAATTCGTGAAGAGGAAGGCTATTCCAACGTAACACTTTTGGAATATTTGAAAAAACTACATGAATCAGAATGGAAATGCTTCGTTCAGGACACAAAAATGTTAGCTGAGGAAAATGATTTGACGAGCTCCTCATCTTCTGAAGATTACTCAGCTGGAGGTAATATTGCAGGTACAAAACAAGAGCCTGGAAACTTACCATTTTACACCGTTGGGTTTAAGTCTGCAACACCTGAATACATATTGAGAACTAGAATCTGGGCATCGTTGCGGTCTCAAACTATCTACAGAACGATATCCGGGTTTATGAATTATTCGAGGGCAATCAAGTTGATGTATGACGTGGAGTATCCGTTGAAGCGTTCTTCAGATTTCGAGAGTGACGAACTTCTCAGAATGGAAAAGGCTGCCGTCATGGCTTTGAGGAAATTTCGAATGGTTGTATCAATGCAGAGAATGAACGACTTTAGTGCTGAGGAGAGGGAGGATAAGGAGCTTATCTTGCGTGCTTACCCAGAGTTGCAAATTTCATATTTGGAGGAAGATGTAGATCCACATGGAAAATTGACATACTACTCTTGTTTGATTGATGGAAGTTGCAAGATATTACTGAACGGACAAAGAAAACCAAAGTACAGAATCAGACTCTCCGGGAATCCAATTCTAGGGGATGGAAAATCTGACAACCAGAACCATGCGTTGATCTTTTGCAGGGGCGAATACATCCAACTTATTGATGCGAACCAGGATAACTATTTAGAGGAGTGTCTTAAAATCAGAAGCGTATTGGCAGAATTTGAAGAGACTCAACTCGAATGCCGGGAAATGGTTTCATCCGAAGAACAGCAAGAAGCATCACCTGTTGCCATTGTAGGTACAAGGGAATATATCTTTTCAGAGAACATAGGAATCTTGGGTGATGTTGCGGCAGGTAAGGAACAAACGTTTGGAACCTTATTTGCAAGAACGTTGGCAAGAATTGGAGGTAAGTTACACTATGGACATCCTGATTTCTTGAACACCATTTTCATGACAACAAGGGGTGGTGTTTCCAAGGCTCAGAAGGGTTTACATTTAAATGAGGATATTTACGCTGGTATGAATGCCGTACTAAGAGGTGGAAGAATTAAACATTGTGAGTACATGCAATGTGGTAAAGGAAGAGATTTGGGGTTTGGATCCATTTTAAATTTCAACACCAAGATTGGTGCTGGCATGGGAGAGCAGATGCTCTCTCGTGAATATTATTATTTGGGAACCCAATTGCCTTTGGATAGGTTTTTGTCCTTCTACTATGCACATCCGGGCTTCCATTTGAATAATGTCTTCATAATTTTTTCTCTTCAGTTGTTCCTTCTGGTTGCTCTTAACTTGGCTTCACTTGTCCATGAGTCTGTGGTTTGTGAGTACAATCGTCACGTACCAATAACCGATCCAAGAAAGCCAACAGGGTGCTCCAATCTTATACCGATGATTAAGTGGTTAGAACGAAGTGTGTTCTCTATCTTTACTGTATTTTCCCTGTCATTCCTTCCCTTATGTGTACAGGAACTTACAGAGAGGGGAATATGGCGGGCTTTCACGAGGTTGAGCAAGCATTTGATGTGTCTTTCTCCCATGTTTGAGGTCTTTGTTTGTAAGATTTATTCACAGTCCTTGATAAACGACATGTCATTTGGAGGTGCGAGATACATAGCCACAGGACGTGGTTTTGCAACAGTTCGAGTTCCCTTCCACTTGCTTTTTTCCAGGTTCTCATCTGAAAGTTTCTATTTTGCAGGATCTGCACTTGCCATGTTGTTGTTTTGTTCTCTTGCATTATGGGATATTGCGCTTTTGTATTTCTGGTTGACCATGTTTGCACTTTTGGTGGCACCTTTCTTGTACAATCCAAACCAGTTTGCCTGGACAGAGTTCTTTCTTGATTACAAACGATACCTTCAATGGTTATCGTCTGGCAATTCAAGCTCTCAAGCTAATTCATGGATTGGTCATATCAGGGCCATGAGAATACAAGGCACAGGTTCTAAGAGAAGAGCTACCATGGAAGTTATTGAAAAGAGAACTTCAGATTTTAAGAAACCATCTTTCGTCAATATGATCTCATCACAGATCATACCATCTCTATTGCATTTCTCGGTTGTGTCTACCGCATATTTATTTATGAATGCTCAAAACGAGGTGAAGAATTCCAGACAGACAAATCCGATCTTAGGCATAGCACTATTCTCGCTAGGACCGGTTGTCATTAATGCACTTTTACTATTGGCATTATTTGTTGTCTCTGTCTTGATAGGTCCTATCATTTCACTTTGCATTCCAAAATTCCCATCTTTGATAGCTGCAGTTGCACATACAGTGTCAATAGTCGTATATGTTATCACATTTGAACTACTTTGGTTTACGCAAAATTGGGACTTCAAGATGGCTATTCTTGGGATGTATATTTGTACGTTGATTCAAGGTATATTGTTCAAGATTATTACAACAACGCTCTTGACGAGGGAATTCAAACACGATAGATCAAATAAAGCATGGTGGTCTGGTAAGTGGATTGGCTCTGGTATGGGCTGGAGAACGGTTACACAGCCCTTAAGAGAGTATTTCTGTAAGATCATTGAGATGAGTATGTTTGTCAATGATTTTTTCTTGGGTCACTTCATATTGTTCATCCAGTTTCCAGTTCTTCTTATCCCATATGTCGACAAGTGGCATTCGTTGATGCTATTTTGGCTAAGACCAGAGAGACAAATACGTCCTCAGGTATTGTCGCCCAAGAAGAGAAGACGTAGGAGAGCAGCAATGCAGTTCTACTTTGTGGTATTTTTGTTGATGTTCACATTAACCGTAATGATATTTGCTCTACCACTGATTATAAGAGATTTCTTTGGCGTTGATCTACACCGTTACATCCCAGAGATTGCCATTGACATATTCCAGCCTGATTCAATTCCAAGTACGAAGAAAGGATTAGCTGGTTACAAGTTGTATATGTCATCGAAGAAGAATGGATCAAGAAAGCTTTAGTGAGTGTTACGTCGTCAATACTTCCATAGATTATTGATCTGCTCTAGTTGTCCTCTTTGAACTGTTGATGATATATGTGTAGTGATGCTTTGCAATTTGGGTTTGTTGACGAACATTGAAACCAGTTTGAACCGTGGGGCCTGTGCTAATGTGATTAACAACTGAGCTGCTCTTTCATTGGCTGAGACATTAACTGAAGCATTTGAAGATACATTGAATGTTATAGCATCCAAGAAGAAGTTGATGATTGAAGGTTCGATACATCCAGTGGATAGCAGTCTCTTCAACAGGGGAATCGGCAAATTGAAGGCGTAGTAGTATACATCATCGGACGGAGACTTGATGATTGTAGTGAGCTGTTGAAGTGTTGGCATTTCAGGGAACTTGGGAGCAGTGGATGGTTTGTCTATGTTCACTTCCTGTATCACAGGTTTCGGTATTAATCCTGATGTTGATGTTGATGTTGGTCTTGATGCTGATGCTGATGTTACATCTGAAGCAGACGAAGCCTCTGATTTGCTGACACAGAATTCATCTGGCAACCTATCAACTTCATAGATCGGGATCTCCTCCAGCGTCGTCTTCATCTTCTTCTCGGATCTCTGTTCATCAACACTATGGGCTCTCTTCACCTGTGCCTCCTCTGCCTGTGCCGAGGTCAGCTCCTCCATACTCTTCAGCACCATCTTGTTGGCAGGGTCCAACACCAATGCCTGTGAATAACAATCCCGAGCATCTGTGAATCGTGATTGTTTCATCAGTGCAGTCCCCTTTCTCCACAGCAGCTTGATCTTCGTCTTCACCTCTGGTTCTTGTGCTAGACCTTCATCGCATACCTGGACACAAGTCTCCCATTGTGATAGGTTCACCAGTGCAATGGCTCTATTCGAGTACAAGACGCTGTTCTTAGGGTCCAATACAATCGCACTGTAGTACAGCCTATCAGCTTCGGCGTAGTTCCCTGCTTTGAAGGCACAATTGCCCTTTTCCTTGAGGATATCAGCCATTTTGGTGATGTTTTGTAGTGAATTATGTCCGGTGTGAGATGATGATGTGCTTCCCATTTTTTTTCATTTTATGTCTCTCGAGGGGGAGCCTTGATACTCCAACATTTGAGCTTGGAAAGACGTAGACGGTGTTGTGCTGAAGATGTGTTCACAGGACGTGCTTGACGAGATCGAGGCGATTGAAGCCATCTATCCAGAGTGTCTTTCGAGGCTTAATGATGGGCTTGTCGAGCTGAAAGTACCCAATCATGAGGATTTCAGGCTGAGAGTATCTTTCCCCAAGGAGTACCCAGAGACTGATAGCCCTCACATATTGCAAGTACAGAGCTCAGGACACGACGACCAGTACCTGGAGAGCCTGTTCAACGATGTGATGCACTCTGTTTATCATCCTGGCTCGGTTTGCGTGTTTGACTTCCTCACAGAGCTCGATGGTGTGTTGGGCACTGATGCCGGTGACGGTGAAGACGATGGTGGTAATCACAGTCACGTGGACGCCGAACCAGTCGAGATTGATGCTCTCAGTGGATGGACCATGAGTGAGCCAGTCACTGACAGAGGCTCTACGTTCATAGCGTTTGCCCGAGAGGTGCACAGTGAGAACGACGTCTTCCACTACCTACAAACGCTCAAGACTGATAGAAAGATCTCCAGGGCATCGCATAACATGGTGGCGTACCGCATCCAGAACGATAACGGCACCAGGATCAGTGACTGTGACGATGATGGTGAGACTGCGGCTGGTGGCCGGATGCTCCATCTTTTGACGATAATGGACGTGTGGAACGTCCTTGTCGTTGTTAGCAGATGGTTTGGAGGTACACACATCGGGCCTGATAGATTCAAGCATATCAACAGTACTACCAGGGAAGCAGTCATGAGAGCTGGCTTTGTCAAGGAAGACACTAAGCACCACAAGGGCAAGAAGAAGAAATAAGTGTGTATTAATCAATGTAGCAATGGTAACGTTGTACTATGGATGCGATCTACGTTTCTTTGTTTCCTTCTTGGGGCTCTCATCGCTCAACGGTCTTTTCGATTTAGATCTCGTCTTTGACGTGTCCTTCTTCCACAGCGTGTCGAGCTCAACCATATCCTCGTCACCTTGCTCATTGTGGCCCTCTCCACCAGCTGCGTCCTCCAGGTTCTTCGTCTTCGTCTTCCTCTCACCGGTGTTGAATGTTCGTCTACCAACCACCGGAGAGCCAACATTGGAGATCTCATACACCGTTTGGTACCCCACCATCCGCGGGTTCTGCCTATTCTTCGACACAAGCCTCTTCTTCAGGCTCTCTGAAGACGCGGTCCTCCACTCTGACAGGTCCTTGAGCCTACTCTCCTTATCCTCTCGCTGCCTCTCCTCTTCACGTATCTCGGCTTGTTTCATGAACTTCAACATGTCAGTATATCTCGCTCCAGGGGCGACCAAACAGCACGAAAACTCACCTTCATGTTCAGCACGTTGCTGGACATCTTGCTCTTCTTCTCGCTCATCTTCAACACCCTTATCAATGGTTGTAGCTCTAGATAAAAGAACTCGATTTAATACCCAGAAGGCTGCCTGGAGGAGCTGGAATTTTTCACCCTCGGAACGCGCGGGACATCGCCCTCGGAACTGGCACCTCATCGCATCTCCCGAGAAATTTTTTTTCCACTGTTTCGAGCCTTTTTATATAGGAAACATACTCGAATTGGCTGGTAAAGAGGTGGTTCTAGAGGCACAATGAAGTCAGATTTCAAGCTATCGAACCTGCTAGGCACTGTGTACTCACAGGGCAATCTTGTTTTCACACAGGACGGCACACAGCTGCTGAGTCCCGTGGGCAACAGAGTGACATGCTTCGACCTGGTTAACAACAAGTCGTTTACTTTCCCCTTTGAGCACAGGAAGAACGTGGTGCGTGTTGCATTGAACAAGCAGGAGACTCTGATGCTGACGGTGGACACCGATGGACGTGCGATATTGGTGAATTTCCACGCAAGAACGATACTGCACCACTTCAACTTCAAGGACCGGGTACTGGACCTACAGTTCTCGCCAGATGGCTCGCACTTTGCCATTGCGGTTGGTAGGCTGGTACAGGTCTGGAAGACTCCTGATGCTGGCGAGGACCGGCAGTTTGCACCGTTTGTGCGCCATAGAATCTACGCTGGCCACTATGCGGATGTCACCTCCATCACCTGGTCATCGGACTCGAGATTCTTCATCTCCACGTCGAAGGATTTGACCTCAAGAATGTTCTCCCTGGATTCGCAAGAGGCCTCTGCTGCGATGACATTTGCTGGACACAGAGACACGGTTATCAAGGCTTTCTTCAGTGCAGATCAGGAGATCATCTACACCGTGAGCAAAGATGGAGCTCTGCTGAAATGGGAATACACCAAGAAGCCGAATGGAGATGAAAGCGACGACGAAAGCGAGAACGAAGACGACAACGACGACAGTGCTCCAATGAGCTGGAGAATCACCAAAAGAAACTACTTCTACGCAGAGTCCAACGTCAAGTGTGCCACGTTCCACGCAGACTCAAACCTCTTTGTCGTGGGCTTTGCCAATGGTGAGTTCCGTCTCTACGAATTGCCGGAGTTCAACATGATTCAGCAGCTGAGTATGGGCCAGAATGGTGTCAATGCTGTTCAGATCAACAACACAGGCGAGTGGCTGGCCTTTGGATCTGCCAAACTAGGCCAGCTCTTGGTGTATGAATGGCAATCAGAATCGTACATCTTGAAGCAGCAAGGACACTTCGACTCGACGAATAACCTGACATACTCGCCAGATGGATCCAAGGTGGTGTCAGCATCGGACGATGGTAAGATCAAGATCTGGGACGTGGTCTCAGGGTTCTGCCTGGCAACTTTTGAACAGCATACAAGCGCAGTGAGCTGTGTGAAGTTTGCTAAGAAGGGCCAGGTCTTATTCTCTGCTTCCTTCGACGGCACAGTCAAGGCATGGGACCTCATAAGGTATCGTAACTTTAGAACTTTCACAGCAGCTGAGAGGGTCAAATTCGGCTCGCTGGCCGTGGATCCAAGTGGTGAAGTTGTGTGTGCTGCTTCACAGGATACCTTTGACATATACGTCTGGTCCGTTCAAACAGCACAGCTTGTCGATACCCTTTCTGGTCACACGGGTCCCGTATCGTGCCTGGACTTTGGAGTGGAAAACAGTGTGCTTGCCAGTGCCTCGTGGGATAAGACCGTGAGGGTATGGTCCATCTTTGGACGTTCTGGGCATGTTGAGCCATTTGACATCCACAACGATGTCTTGTCCTTAGCAATGAGACCTGATTCCAAGCAGCTTGCTGTCAGCACGCTGAACGGACAGATCCAGTTCTGGGACATCGAGGAGGGCAAACAAGTTGGCAATATTGACGGTCGTAAGGATGTGATAGTGGGGAGATACCTGAACGATAGATTCACCGCTTCAAACTCAGCAAGAGGCAAGAACTTCACATCCATTGACTACAGCTTTGATGGTCTAACTCTTGTCGCTGCTGGTGACAACAATTCCATCTGTCTGTACGATATTCCTAACGAAGTTCTCTTGAGACGATTCACGGTGTCTCTGAACATGAACCTGGACGGTACGCAGAAGTTCCTCAACAGCTCGAGGCTCACAGAGGCCGGCTCCTTGGACCTGATTGACCGTGATGGAGAAAACAGCGACCTGGAAGATCGTATCGACCATTCGTTGCCTGGCTCGAAGCGTGGTGGTGATCCAAGCTCTCGTAACACGAGACCAGAAGTCAGGGTCACCTCTATTCAATTCTCGCCAACTGCCGTGTCCTTCGCAGCAGCAGCTACTGAAGGCATCATGATCTTTTCCATAGATGACCAAGTGATATTTGATCCGTTTGACCTGGATATCGATGTCACTATTGAATCCACGCTGGAGACGTTGCAGGAGAAGAACTATTTGCAAGCGTTGGTGATGTCGTTCAGACTCAACGAGAGGTTCCTGATTCACCAAGTCTATGAGGCCATCCCATTGAAAGATGTCAGGCTCATCGCACAGGACCTGCCTATAGTGTATGTTAACAGACTGTTGGACTTTATCGGCTCCATTGCGATGACGTCGCAACACATCGAGTACAACCTTCTATGGGTGAAGAGCATCATCTCGAGCCATGGCAAGTACATCAACAAGAACAAGCACGAGTTCACCAAGTCCCTGAGAGCGATCCAGAGGTTTATTGCTAGAATCGCTAAGGACATTGTGAGAACCTCCAAGGACAACGAGTACAGCTACTTGTTCTTCAAAAGCGCAGAGACCACACGGGCTGAGTTCATAGAGGAGGATGGCGACGAGGAGGTGGTTGTATCGGGCAGTGAGCCAGAGGAGAGCGATGATGAAGACCTTGAAGAAGAAGATGAAGACCTTGAAGAAGGTGATGATAGTGATGACGAGGAACAAGGTGGGTGGTTCAGCGCCAAAAAAAGGACTCTAAACCTCGAGCAGCACTCAGAGTCCGATGACGACGACGAGGAGATGGATTAAAGAACCGTTTGGAGCCTCTTTCCCATGGTTTATAGCATATCATATCATATAACATAGGCATGGAAGAATAATGTAGTTTAATGTCCCGATATAGTAATTATCCCAAAACGGGAAATTCCGACCGGTGAGCACGATATCCGACCCTAGCATAGACTTTTCCCGCATTATGTCTCAGATTCTAAGCTCATCTCGTCATCAAAAAGCATCAAATATTGGCATTTAGACCCTTAAAGATGAGTGTTCTGGAAGCTGAGAAGGTGCTGAATCGGGTGCTTCTGATTACAAAGTCCCCAGAGTCCTCGGAGGCGACTTTGAGAGATGTGCTGGGCGATTTGGGGCGAATCATACAGTCATCGCTACATGTTGAATCGCTGAGAAGGGAACTGTCCCAGAGCGAGCTGATTTGGAGGCTGGTACGTGCGAACCTGGAACAGACGCTGGCTGAGGATGAGCTGGTGAGCCTGCGTGTTCGTCTTCTGAGAGGCGTGGTGATCTTGGGCCGTAACCTGTTGTCCATGGATAGGGAAGTGGCTGAACGCTTGGAGATAAGACAGGTTGTGTTCTTCTTCTTGGACCAATTGGAGGGCTTGAAGACGCTGGATGCCGACGTGTTTGAGAACAGTGTTGTCAGTGCCTTCCAGCTGCTCTCAAACCTCACCGTGAACAAGAAAACACACGATCGCTCGCTGCTTTATGAGCTGGTTGAGCTGTTCAACAGGAAAGCACAGTGGTCTGAAAACGTTACGTTTACGGTTCTTTCCTATGTGAACAATGTGATCAACGACTCCGACCTCTTGTTCGAAGCATTGTCTAAGGGCAAAGGCTATATTATCATGATTGATCTGCTGAATCAATACGAAGCCCTGGATACGACAAGAGACCTTGATCGCAACGGGCTGTTGCTGGTGAAGATATTTTCTAAGCTGATTGTACATGAATCCTTCTTCAAGTTCACAATGAGCTATAACAAGGATGAAGACTCGGTGAGGTTCCTGAAGGTTGCTGAAGCTTTGATCACCAGTAAGAAGTCCTGGGAAGTGTTTGAACTGACCGTTATCTTATCATGGCTATGGGAGCTATACCAGAAGATGCTGGTAAAGGTACAAGACTTCTTCAACAAAGCTGAGGGCGATGCTAAGATTATCTATGAGGAATTGGTGATGTCGCTGGACTGTCTAAGCTCTCTTGTTCATTTCGAACACACCAGGAAGTTTCTTCTATCGTACCAAGGTGTTGAGATGCTCATCTCCCTTTTGGGGATCCTCCATAAGAACATCAAGCCAAAGAAGCTCAAAGACTCCGATAGAACAAAGGGAGCTGATCAAACCATCGAATACAGTAGCTTCCCACATACCAAATCGATGATAATTGAGACGTTATCGGCGTTGACGTATCAGAACTTTGAGGTCCAAGAGCAAATGCGTGAATTACACGGCCTGGAGCTTGTTCTCTCCAATTGCATCATTGACGATAACGAGCCCTTCATCAAGGAGAGAAGCATCGTATGCTTGAGGTTCCTGTTGTTGAATAACGACAAGAACCAGGAATTTGTTTCTAAATTGGAAGCTCAAGAAGCTGTACCGGATGAAACTCTGGATGAAGCCGGTTTTGAAGTAGAAATCGTTGATGGTAAGGTGAGACTCAAACAAAAGCCAAAGATCGAAGAACTACACTCGGAGTCATGATGGATGATATTTAGTATACTTATGTTACGAGCTTTCCTCTGTTCAAACCGTAAGCAATCAAGACAACTCCTTGACGATGGCTTGTTTGACCAATTCAACGTCAGCCTTTTCAACAAAGATTCTCTTCATCTCCTTGTTAGACAGGGCCTTGAGCTCATCTGGCAAGACGTCCTTATCGAAAGAGTAGCCTTCAAAAGAGCCAAGGGCATCGTTAACGGCATCAGCAAACTTGGCAGGATGAGCAGTAGACAAGGAGACGTACTTGACACCTTGAACTCCAGCAGCCTTGTCCTCGCCAATGGCTCTGTAACAGGTCTCGACACCAACAGCAGAGTGTGGGTCCAGCACGTACTTGTTTGGGTTCTCAGAGTAGACTCTCTTGATGGTTTCCTTGATCTGGGAATCGTCCACTCTCTCAGAACCAAAGTCCTTGCGAGCAGCGTCGATAACACTTGATGGAACTTGGAATCCACCGGTGGACTTCAATTCGGCAAACCATTCGTTGATGGTCTTACCAGCCTCCTCATCGGAAGAGGCCAGGTTGTTTCTGGCCAAGTACCACAACAAACGCTCGAAATTGGAAGAGATGAGGATATCCATAGCTGGAGCCAACGTTGCCTTAACATCGGCATCCTTTTGGTACTTTCCTGATCTGAGGAATCTGTCCAAGATGTCATTCTCGTTGGTGGCAATGATCAACTTATCCACTGGTAGGCCCATCTCCTTAGCGTAGTAGCCTGCGAGGATGTCACCAAAGTTACCACTTGGCACTGTGAAGCGAACCTTGACATCAGATGAGCCCAACTGCTTGATCAATTGGAAGTATGCGTAGAAGTAGTAGGTCTGTTGGGCAAGGATACGGGCCCAGTTGATGGAGTTCACAGCACCGATGTGGTACTTCTTGTTGAACTCCTCGTCACCAAAGATCTGCTTAACAATATCTTGACAGTCGTCAAAGGTACCCTTGACAGATAAAGTATGGACGTTGTCGTCGAGCACGGTGGCCATCTGAAGCTCCTGGATCGGAGAGATACGCCCAGTAGGGTAGAGGATGAAGACGGAGACGTCCTTCTTGCCTCTGAGACCGTAGATAGCAGCAGAGCCGGTGTCACCAGAGGTGGCTCCAACAACGGTCAAGATGTCCTTCTCCTCCTCTGGCTTGCCCTCGTTCTTACGGCTGAGGAAGTACTCAAAGAGGTTACCGACGAACTGTAGAGCCACGTCCTTAAAGGCATACGTTGGACCGTGGAACAGCTCCAGCAGGTACAGCCCGTTCTTCTCGTCAATGGTGTTGATCGGAGTCACCTCATCGTGTCTAAAAGTCGAGTACGACTTCTCCACGAGCTGCTTCAAGTCCTCGTCTGGGATCTCGGAGGACGAGATGTACAGTCTCAGCACGTTGAAGGCCAACTCTTGGAACGACAGGTCCTTCCACTTGCTCAAGAAGTCTGGTTCCAGCTGTGGAATCACGGAGGGAACAAACAGACCACCATCAGATGCCAGTCCCTTCAGGACAGCTTGTTCAAAGGTGAACGACTGTGGCTCGCTCGCACGTGTTGATCTGTAGGTCTGAGACGACATGGCACTGGTCTATCTTGTTTTGTACTCTTTGTTTGTAGTTGTAGACCGAGTTATCAACAGTGCAAATTGGCGTGATGATGACTCTTCGGCGAGGCCCTCGTGGACGTAAACGGCGGTAAAAAACTTTTCGGTTGGGGCAGCACGGGTTACGTAATATATTATCGCAAAATATAATATTATGGTTATATAGTATTATGTTATAACAACATTCGTTTATTACTCTTACGTATAGTGGTACAGTTTGTATGGGAGAGCAAAGGGGGAAAGAGTGACGCCTCATAGACGGTTTGTCTTTAACAGCACGTCGATGTTCTCAGCCAAGAGGTCGTCTGTGTAGAACGTGGATCTTCTGACGTCCTCCTCGTTATAGCCTTCATCTCCGCTTAGAATCTTCAGCAGCTTTGAATGGGACTCTGTGAAGGATTTGAGGAACGTTGCCGGGTCCTGGGATAGTTTGTCGTAGAACTGGTACTTTCTGTGCGAATTGTGCAGACCCTGGACACCCAGTACGATCTTCGTACTCAGCTCCTTTATGGCCTCGTCATGCTCGGTAACTAGCTTCTTGCTCTCCTCTCTGAGTAACTCCTGCTCTGCAATGTCCTCCACTGGAACTTCAACGTCGATGACAACGTCGCCCAGTGTTGAGGCCCTGTCAACCCTGATCTCGTACTCGATGCTGATTGGCTTGTTTGGGGTCAGATGTTTGGACAAGAGTGCTATTATGTCCTTGAAGTTGAAGCGTGGAACACCAAAGAGCTGGGAAAGGCTCTCATCACAGTTGATGACTCTCTTATCATCCACAGCTTGTAGGTTGTTCAGCTGGATGTATTGCCATATAGCGTACACAGCATCGTGCTGTGTAGTCTCCGCAACTCCAATCAAAGAACGCAGTTCTGATGAGGTTTGTAAGTAAATCGGATACTCCTTTGGCTGAATGGTGATTTTGGCCTTCAAGTTCTTTGCACCGTTTCTCTTGATATCGAGCCCATCGAATTCAGCTTGCTTCGCCTTAGGGTCTTGCTGTTCATGCCATTCAATGATATTGTCCTTTGAAGGTGGTTGTTGTGGTTGTTGTGAAGGCTGTGGTTGCTGTGTTTGCTGTGGTTGCTGTGGCTGTAATGGCTGTTGTGGTTGCTGTGGCTGTAATGGTTGTTGTGGATCTTGCTGAGATACCCCCGGCTGTGAGTCTCCAGCCAGAGGCTTCTTCTCTTCTTGAGGTAAAAGATCAATCGCAATACCGGTCACCAACGTACTGAACTTTCTTCTCGTGGCATCGTTGACATCCTTCTCGTTCACCAAGCGGCCTTCAATCCTCAACGTCCAGCTTGGCTCGCCGGAAAGCGCCTCACCTTCCTTCTGTTGCCATGGCTGGTTCTCGGCAATGTTATAAACAAAGATACGCAAAAGCTCCTTTTTCCGTGGAAACTTGTTGAACACTTCAGTCACATCCGAGAACTTACGAGCTGTGAGTATATCAATACGTTTTTCAGCGTCAACCAACTTTCTGTATAGCTCCAATTCTGGGATAAAAGAGTCCAAAGAACGACGTATGGTGATATCAGTAGGACGAATCTGAGCAGCAGAAACACCTTGTTGAACCACCTGCTGTGGGCCGTTCGGATTTGCTCTGTTCATCGCGTTCCCTGTCGTTTGAATACTGCTTGTTGATGTTGTTGTTGTTATTGATGATGTTGTTGATGATGATGTTGTTGTTGTTGTTGTTGTTGAAGGAAAAATCCGCCTGTGTACAACAACCAGAAGTGGTGTCTGGGTTATGTGATGTTAGGATGTTTAGGTGTCTGGGTTATTTGGTGTCTGGCTGTGAACGCGTCGATATTGCTTTTCTCTTCCGTTACACCATAAAAAGGTCTTAATACTTGCACTTTTACATCACACACCATCCGTTTCCCACCTGTTGAGTTCAAAGCTGATCAAGATGTCGTCTGTTGGTGATCAGGAAGAACCGCAAGAGGTCAACAAGGAGCTTACTGTGCAAGAAGAGTACCAGCTATGGAGGAAGAACTGTCCGGCGATGTATGAATTTGTCTCTGAGACTGCTCTAACATGGCCTTCCCTAACGGTTCAATGGTTACCTGAACCAATTGACGTTGTTGACGGTGGTATACCACAGAAGTTGATTATCGGTACGCATACGTCGGGCGAGGATACGGACTATTTGAAAGTGTCGTCTACGATACTGCCAAAGACACTGGTAGACGTTGATGAGCCAACCCAACATGGGGAGCGTGTTGCTGGTGAAGCCTCCGCTGAGGTGTTGAAGAAGCAGACCTACAACGCCCGTCTGAAGGTGACGAAGAAGTTTGAACATGAATTGGAGGTCAACAGGGCTCGTTACAACCCTCTTAATCCTAAGCAAGTTGCCACGATAAGTGGTGCTGGACGTGTTTTCATCTACGACATAACTGGGGAAAAGACACAGACTCCACTGGAATTGAAGCACCATACCGTAAACGGGTATGGTCTGTCGTGGAATCCGTTCATCGACGGTCAATTGCTGACGTCGAGTGACGATGCCACAGTGGCATTATGGGACGTCCACCAACCTGCAGCCCCGCAAAGAGTCTTTACACATCACACGGACATTGTCAACGAAGTTCAATGGCACGGGTTCAACAAGGACCTCTTTGGCTCAGTAAGCGATGACAAGACCATACGCATTGTCGATCTCAGATCGCATGACGATACACAGGTGTTGCAACGTGACTCTGCAATTAATACCATTGCATTCTCGAAGCACTCCAGCTATCTCTACGCCGTTGGGCTCGAAGACTCCACAATTGAGCTGCTCGATCTCAGAAACACAAAGGACAGGCTCCACACGATCGTGGGACACTCGGAGTCCATTTCATGCCTCGAATGGGATCCTCACAACGATGGAATACTGGCCTCGGGGTCTCAAGACCGTCGTGTTATACTGTGGGACATCAAGAAGATCGGCGAAGAGCAAACACAGGAGGACGAAGACGATGGTGCACCGGAGCTGTTCATGATGCATGCTGGCCATACCTCTTCCGTCACAGACATCAGCTTCAATTCGAAGATCCCATTCACTTTGGCATCGTGTGCGGACGATAATATCATCCATCTTTGGAAGATTTCACGCAAATTGACCAGTGAATACAAGGGCGAAGGACTCGACGACGTTGATGTGTACTCACTGGAGTGAGCTCTATATATAAATCTATATATAACTGTGTATTACTACTCTTTTACTGTTACAATAGACGTACTCATCGTTGTCCCAGCCTACATGCTGGGCTGGGACGCGGCGTAAATCTCAGCACACCGGCGTAAATTTTGTCTCGGGCCCCCGTTCGAAGGAGCACCGCCGGTGGAAAATTTCGTCGGCTCCATCAAAACCTTTCAACACCTCTACAACGATGAAGAGAGGTTCTCCCCAAGAAAGCGATGAGTTTTTTCCTTTGCAGAGAGCCTGTGCTCAGACGTATCCCACTTGTACGCTACTCAGCCCGTACAAAGAGAGAAAACAGGGTTAAAGTGCAACTGTTGAAGGACTTTGCACAATATGGTGCCAAAGGAGAGGTGATCGATGTGCTACCGGGTTTGATGAGAAACAAGCTACACCCTAACAACGGTGCGTGCTATATCATTCCGGAGCTGAACATGGGCCCAAAGATCCCAGTTGTGAAGAGGGAGGTTAGACTGCAACAACAAAGGGCCCAGCAAACCCATGTGGAACAACAGGCTGCGCACAAGGAGAGACAGAATGCTGTTGTGGACATGTTGAAGAAGAACAAAGAGGTCAAGCCAGCAGTCGAGCCTGTTGCCATTGATGGGTTGCTCTTCGACTTGCCAGAGGATGCTGTGGTCACTGGTGATGTTGTGGCATCCAATGGGTACTCCATGATCACTCTAGAGCTCGGCTTAGATACGCTTCGTTTCTCCATTGTCGATGGCCCGGTGTCAAAGACCGACATCGTCAAGAGAATCCAGGACAGCGTGGGATTTGCCGTTCCTGAGAAGGACGTACAAGTATCATTCAAGGGAGAAGACGTTGAGTCCTTGTCAAGGGCTGGAGAGTATCAATTGGTGATAAAGCAAGGAGGTTCTGAGAGTGTAGTGACAAAGAAGGTTCTCGTCAAGAAGGATTGATATACATAGATGAGCTGTCTCTAAAACCATGTACATACTTTAGCAACATAATCGTTTATACAAAGCAGTGGCGTTATGAATTATTATCATCATCATTCTGTCTCTATAGAAAAGAGGTGGAGCTCCACCATGTGTTTTATACATCAAGCAGCTTTCAATATCACGATAACGGAGTCTCCTCTGAGAAACATCTTACTGACAAACCGTTCTCTAGGAACCGCAACTTTCTTCTTCCCGTTGGCGTTCCTGGTGTTCTCTGTCCAAAGCTATACCCACTGGTTAGTAAGAGCATATACTCATCGCAAGATCGCAATAACTCACCTCTTTGACGTTCTCCAGCACCATATTCGAATGTCTGTCAAAGGCCCTCACCGTCGCCAGCAGCTTATGGTTGTTTCTACAGCTTATGAGCACCTGTGTGCCGTTCTGTACCGCATCTTGGAGAACACTCATAGGCCCATTGGCGAACTCGTACTCTTCCAGCCTCTCCAGCTCAGCATCTGTGAGTTCATTTCTCGGACGATCAACAAGGTCTCTGCGTTCTTCGTTAGTAACCAGTACACCAAGAAACCCACCACACCGCTCAACGAGTCACAACTCACGCCATCGTGTCTTCTCCACAAGTGTATAGATGGTGATTTACAAGGACAAATGGAGCATGGAGTCGTTAGAAGGGAAAGGCCATTTTGGCGGGTTTTACACTGAAAGTTTGAGAAAAGTTGCAGGTTTGAGAAGCGGTCGGAAGTGCCGCGTGCACTTCCGAGGGTATATTACCCAAATCGGTAGACTTCCCAATTCGGCATCTCTGTGGCTTTCGGGCCAACACGAATGGAATGAAAAAAAAAACTCCGTGCGACGCGAAAAAAAAAAGCCGTACGCGTCCGACGCGTACCTCTTTCCCAATGCGGAAGAAATTGGATGCGTTCTGTCAGGGCAAAGCTTTTTCTTTTTCCTTTCTTTCCTCTTCGCTCGCTCTCTTCATCAGTCTGCTAACTAATCTCTCTTCTCCATACACATTCGGTGACTTTTACGATACGAATAAAGAGCACAGCATGGATCGTGGTGAGGTATACGCAGCAAACGTGTTTGCTCCAGAGGAGACACTCCACGATACCAACCAGGAGTTCATCTCTGCTTTCAAGAACTTCATCTTGGAGTTCAGAGTCGGTACCGAGTTCATCTACAGAAACCAGCTGAGGGAGAACCTGCTGGTGAATGAGTACTCGTTGGTGGTTGAAAGCGACCACTTGATTGGCTACAATGAGACGTTGAATAAGAACTTGATGGATGCGCCTTCTGAGATGGTTCCCTTCTTTGAAAGGGCCATCACTGACGTTGCGAAGAGGATTGTGTACCTGGAGCAGTCCAAGGTCCCTGCCAACTTTCCCGTGTGTCAATTGATCCTGAGATCCGGGTCTTCCAAGCTCGCCATCAGAGAGCTGGACGCAGACCACATCTCAAAGATCATAAGGGTCAGTGGGATCATCATCTCCGCCTCCGTGTTGCACTCGAAGGCCACCAGTGTCCAGATCATGTGTCGTTCGTGTCGGAACACCATGAGATTGAACGTCAATTCCGGCTTCGGAGGTGTTACTCTGCCTGCTGTCTGTGCTTCTCAACCAGCTGACGGTGAGAAGAACGAATGCCCAAAGGATCCATATGTCATTGTCCATGAGAAGTCGCAGTTCATCGATCAGCAGACGTTGAAGTTGCAAGAACTGCCGGAGATGGTGCCCGTTGGTGAAATGCCTAGACACGTGCTGCTCTCTGTCGATAGAAGCCTTACGAACAAGGTCATCCCAGGAACTCGTTGTACCATCACAGGTATCTACTCCATCTACCAGGCAAAGGTCAGAGGCGCAGGGGCAGTGGCTATAAGAAATTCCTACATCAAGGTCTTGGGTATCCAAACTGATGTGGATCACAACGCAGCAGGTAATGTGATATTCACGGAGGAAGAGGAAGAAGAGTTCATGGAATTGTCCAGATCTCCACATCTATACCAAACCTTTGCCAACTCCATTGCGCCATCGATCTACGGAAACAGTGACATCAAGAAGGCCATTGCATGTCTACTGATGGGTGGCTCCAAAAAGATCCTTCCAGATGGCATGAGACTAAGAGGTGATATCAACGTACTGTTATTAGGTGATCCTGGTACTGCGAAGTCGCAGTTGTTGAAATTTGTCGATAAAGTCAGTCCAATCTCTATCTATACCTCTGGTAAAGGTTCCTCTGCTGCTGGTTTGACCGCATCGGTGCAAAGAGATAAGAACACGAGAGAGTTCTTCTTGGAAGGTGGTGCGATGGTTCTTGCCGATGGAGGAGTCGTGTGTATCGATGAGTTTGACAAGATGAGAGATGACGATAGAGTTGCCATTCACGAGGCAATGGAACAGCAAACCATCTCCATTGCCAAAGCAGGTATCACGACAGTGCTGAACTCACGAACTTCAGTCATGGCTGCAGCAAATCCTAGATTCGGTCGTTATGATGAAATGAAGTCGCCAGGTGAGAACGTGGACTTCCAAACTGCAATTCTCTCCAGATTCGATATGATCTTCATAGTGAAGGATGAACACAACGAAAGAAGAGATATCTCTATTGCTAATCACGTTATGAACATCCACATGGGGAAAACAAACCAACAGGAAGTTGATGGTGAAATTCCACTAGAAAAGATGAAGAGATACATCTCTTACTGTCGAGCTAAATGTGCACCAAGACTCTCACCTGCTGCTGCTGAGAAGCTGAGTTCCCATTTTGTTGAGATTAGAAAGCTAGTCCATGATCAGGAAGCTGAAGCAGATGAGAGATCTACAATTCCAATCACGGTCCGTCAGTTAGAGGCCATCATCCGTATCTCGGAGTCTTTGGCAAAGCTGGAACTCTCTCCTGTTGCCAATGAGAGCCATGTTGATGAAGCCATAAGATTATTCCAAGCATCTACCATGGATGCAGCTTCACAGGGTATCACTGCTGTCTCTAAAGAGACTCAAGAGCAGGTGAGAAAGATCGAAAGAGAGATTAAGAAGAGATTACCGGTTGGTTTCGCAACAAGCTATGCTACTCTGAGAAAGGAATTCGTTGATGCTAAGAACTATAGTGCCTTGGCTCTTGAGAAGGCACTCTATGGTATGGAGAGGCAAAAGTCCATACAATTCAGATTCCAAAGACAACAGGTACTTAGATCTGGTATCTAATGCGACTTCAATTCACTCTACTTCTATTCTAATTCTTTTCACTCAATGGTATATATACGGTATTGGTCTTCAAAATCTACAACCTTTGATCGTGTAATTATAAATTGTGCCTTCAATTAAACCTTCAAACCCTTTCTTTGGGCCAATGGTGCAACCAGCTCAGTGGCTCTATTGAGAGCATTTTCTATTCTTCCCTTCAAAACATTGGATGAACAGGTGACTGTTAAATTCACGTAGTCCACTTGTGCTTCACTCTTACCAATCTTAATAGTGGCACCTGATTGGTTTTCGTTTGGTGTGAAAGCATCGCCAAATTGTGCTTCTAATATCAGATTTATTCTCTTAACCCTTGTTGTCAAGGACGCATCAGCGAGTACAGGAGCGTTGTCTGAATGTTGACAAGATTGAGAAGACATCTTGACAGATGCGGGTGAGGAGTCAACTGACATCAAGATAGCGACAACGGAGTCAGCAATGGTGTCGTTGATCACACCAGAAACCCATTCAATTGTACAGATAGAATTGTCAAAGTTCACTGTGACCTCATTCATAACCTTCACCTCGTACTCGTCCTTTTCATCGATAAGAACCTCGACATAGCCGAACATCTGTGTGAGATGCCATTGTATCAAATCTCTGCCGGCATCTACACGTATTGTCTGTCTCTCCTTCACCACGGTAGATGTCAATCCAGCATACTCCCTAACGTCGTCAACTTTCATGAGATTCAGGTCAAAATCCTTTGCAATCAAAACACCGGTGAGAACTTGTTTGTCTTTATCTTCAACGATAGAGCCCATGGCCTTTGCAATAGTCAGGCCTTTGAACTTTAGGCTGAGTTCATCACAATTTCTAGGGTTATACACCTTGACTTCCTTGTCTGTTCCCTTGAATTTAGAGTACTTTGATAGTAACGCAGATTTCAATCTACCCATTGGGTTGGATTCACCATGGACAAGGATGATAGACTTTGGATCAACAAGTTCAATGAACTTCGAGTTCTGTTCGTAGTCAACGTGTGCAGCGAAGGAAATCTCTTCAATGTTTATTCTTCTTGGGATCATCTGTTCTGGGTTATTAATCGACGGTATCATATCCGGCTCTGTGATTAACGTCTTTGCAAGCGTACCTTCCACGGAATAACCGGTCAAGATCACAGAATTTCTCGAGTCAGGGGCCCACTTCTCCAGTAGTTCCCTGGAGACACCGTTCTGTAGCATACCAGGACTTGCCACAACCACTGTGGGTCCAAAATCTTCAAATCTATCCAAATTTTTGATGTTTTTAACATGTTTGAACAAGAATGGGTTTGTATTTTCATCTCTGAAGGCCTTTCTGATGTTATCGTTCATCATATTGACATAGGTTTGGAAGACAGTTAAACATTTCTTTGCCAATGAAGATGCAAAGTATACACGGACGTTTTCCAGATCTTGGTGATTGGACCAGTATTCGTCTAGGATAAGGAGCAGCTCTTGTGCGGTTCCCAGGGCAAAGACTGGCAGTAGGACATTACCACCTTTGACCAGTGTGGAGTGTATTAAGTTCGTCAGTCTGAGCTCCTTTTCCAGTCTCGGTTGATGTGTAGCTGTACCGAAAGTCGACTCAGTAATCAAGATATCCGGTTTCGTAGGTGGTACCTCTGCAACGTTCAAATGACGACTCTCTTCTCTTGAGTAGTCACCTGTGAATAAGATCTTCAACCCACTTATTTCAATCATATACATAGCAGCACCAAGAACGTGGCCTGCGTGGAACGCAGTGAATCTTATACCGTCAACCTCAATGGTGGAATGATAATCAACGGTTTCAATTTTGTCAAAGGACTCCAACAGATCTTCATCAGAGTACAATGTATTTGTAGAGCCAATCGACGTCACTTTCACAAAATCAGTCAGCAGCCAGCGATAGATGGCCTTGGTAGGATGTGTCATGAACACCCTTCCCTTGAAGTTGGTGTGTTGCATCACATATGGAAGAGAAGCAGCGTGATCCAAATGGAAATGCGAGATGAGTAATATGTCCACAGTGGCCAGGTCAAACTCATCGTAGAAGGGCAGAGCAGCAATACCACTAAACGCCGGGTGAACACCGGCGTCGAGCATGATCGTCTTACCTTTGTACTGGATGATGTGGCATGATCTTCCAACTTCGGAACCGCCTCCAAGTGCAATGAACTTGAAGGAATCTGTATCGTCAATCTGAAAACGTTAGTAGTTGCTCTGTAGGCTGGATAGCATGTCCCATACTCACTTTGTTGTCCATGATCTTTCTTGGAACTTTGCACTGCTTATAGGGCCAATGATTGGGTTACAACGCTGAACAGCCAAAGTGTTGTTGGAATGTGGTTTCTTCTCTATGGAAATTTTTTGTTCAAAGATCTGCCAGCTTATTGAGCAATTCGTTCTTACAAGCCCCCTTATATAGCTGGTTAGATGCAGTTCAGCGAGTCCAAGCGTACCTCTGATGACTGTACGCGATGGTATTACACTGTTTACCAGGTCAAATGGGTTGAATGCTCGGCAGCTAAAGGTAAACAAAGTGTTGATGTTGTGTGAAATGAAGAGAAAGGACCGGATGGTGGCAGTGCTTATATAAGATCTTATGTAAGATGGTTACATAAGATCTTACGTAAGCAGATGTTGTCCGTACCGTCCCGTCGGGCTCCCCGTCGGCTATATCCGAATGGACTCAGCGTAATTATCCATCTAAACAAGTACGAAGTGGAAAACTTTTCCCTCCAATTGAGCCCATTTACCCCCATAACCCGACTGATCCCTTGCTCATCAGCAGAGTCTTCACCCATTTGTCGTCAGTCATCCTTTCCTTGCAAAAAAAAACACACACTACCATCGTCAATTACTGGCATAGTCTCTCTTATCAAGGCCTCGGGAGTGATAACCAAAGCCCCCACCTCCAGCTTCATTCTCAGGCGCACAACGATCTGAAGAATGAATAGGAAACAGGTTCCAAGGGCTACAAAGGCGTGTGCCTCGTGCCGTCGTCAAAAGACTCGCTGCTTCCCGTCTCCAAACTCCATTTCATGTCTCCGTTGTTACTCGTTGGGTAAAGACTGTTCGTTCCTAACAGATGGGACGCTGTCAGACCCAGATGTTATAAACAAGAAGAGGAAGATAGACGACGATAACGAAGCCTCGCAGCCGTCAATTGAAGGGTCTGACTCGCTGAAGACGTTAGGAGATAACGTGAAGAAGATCCTTGCGATCATCCAGAGACAGCACAATCTACCCTCGGCTCTAGATGAATATGACTCTTCTTCAATGGCTCTACCTCCAGCACAGACCTCGCCTTTCAATCTGATGTACAAGAGCGTGTCCTTCCAGAATCTGCCACTGACGGTATCACATCTACTTTCTCCACTCAACACATTCACGAGTGAGCCTCCGAATGTGCTGTCACTGGGGATTGTTTCCCCACAAGAGGCCATCCATGCTGTGGATCTGTTCAAAGAGAACTACGGCAGGTGGATATCGCTTCCACAGACCAGCGCAGAGGTGCTGATCGAGGACATCAAGAGATCATCGCCGATGCTGCTCACCACGATTTGCCTAACGAGCCTGCGTTATAACGTTACAGATGTCAATTTTGATACCTACCAGCAACTGATCAAGCAGCTGAAGTTGGAATTGTACGAGGGTCTCTACAGATCACCACAGAGTTTGAACTTTCTGAAGGCATTGGTGATATTAGCAGTCTACGGGTACTCCTTATCAACCCCAGAGTTGGTTGTTGATCCCTGGTTTCTCAGTGGTATTGCCGTGATGCAGTTTCTCACGCTCGACATGAACAATGACTTCCTCCACGTGTGCTCTGTAGGATCACTGGGAACGGTGGACATGGAGATGGAGAAACTGTCAAACTTTAGAATATGGAATCACATGTGTCTGGTACACCTCTGTAATTGTATATTCTCTGGTAGAATGTGTGTCCTTGATGAGATTCGCCTGGACCAGGCAAGGCGTTCTTTAGACCTTGCCCAGGCAACCAACTTTGACGGCAGAATGATTAGTGAAATCTCGCTGCAATTGCTGCTGTACAACTTCATCCAGGCTGGTTCTGCAACTGAGTTCAAGATTTTTGAAGATGACCTGAAGCTGTGGTACGACCAATGGAACTATCTCTTCAAACAGCCAAATCTACAATTTGTAGAGTTTGGCTACCACTACTGTTATGTGAGTGCCTTTTATCATCTGAAGATGGGCAGCCACGGTATTATGGACACTACTGACTTCAACGATGCAACGGAGAAGCACATCGATGACGTTGACACGTTGAACAAGATGCTGTACCATTGTTTAAAAGTGTTGAACCACATCATTGGTTTAAACGACGATTTGTATTTCGCATGTCTCTCAGACCAGATTCACGTCTGTACTTTCTACACGTCAATTGTGTTCTTAAAAGTCATCAAGTGGTGTCATCTATACAACAACACCTACGATACCCACGAGTTGTTGAACTTCATCAAAAAGGTTGAATCTGTTCAAAACAAGTTTGAGAACATGAGCACCTTAACGGATGATTTGGCTTATAGATTTGCATTGGGATTACAGGAATTGATTGATTCCACTGTTCCTGCAGTGCAAGGAACTGTTGGAGCCCATTGACGTTATATGGTGAAATAACCTGTGTATTATTATTCTTTTCTTTGTCTTATATTCAGATTTATTCAAATACAACGTTGTTTTGTAGTGTTCCAATGTTTTCAATGGAACACTCTACTGTGTCTCCGTCTTTCAACCATCTTGGTGGCCTGAAACCAGAACCAACACCTTGTGGTGTTCCTGTAAAGATCAAGTCACCTGGAACCAGAGTTGTGCCCATGCTTAAGTGTGCAATCAGCTTCTTCACAGAAAAGATGGCATCGTTGGTATTGCTGTTCTGTCTCACCTCACCGTTGACTCTAGAGCTGATCCTCAAGGCATTCGGATCCTCGATGAGTTTGGTGGTCGTGATACAAGGGCCAATCGGTGCCCACGTATCGAACATCTTCCCAACGTTGAATTGAGAGCCACCACGCTCAATCTGCCATGTTCTCTGAGACACATCATTTCCCACGGTGTATCCCAGAACGAAGTCTAAAGCTTGGTCCTCAGGGATGTTCTTACCCTCTTTGCCAATGACCACCACCAATTCAGATTCGTAGTCGATCTTAGCACCTTCAATCTGGGCCTGTTGAGGCACCTCAATTGGTGATAATGTCCCGTTCAAGGCAGTTGAGGGCTTATAGAACAGGCACGGCCACTCAGGGATTCCCAGCTGGATTTCCTCCGCATGCTTCTTGTAGTTCATACCAATCATCCTGATTGTGCCGATCTGTTCTCTCTGCAGAGGTGCCAACAGCTTCAACACCTCAAGCACATGGGTCGTATCAACCTGATGCCTGTTGAAGACATCACCAACGACTTCATACGCCTGTTTGAGCTCCGCGTTCAGGGCTTCGCCGAAATAGACCTTCCCGTCAGTCGCAACGAACCGTATCAGTCTTGAAATTGTCATCGTTTGGTCTTTCTCTGGTCTCCCTCCATCACTTGTGTGTAGAATTGAAGATACGTGAACAATCTTCGAGAAAGTGTGGCTCAGGAAGGTTATTAGTTTTCGGCGTTACCAGCCCACCGTGTTATCTCCGAGAATAGTTATCTCCGCCATCCCTCCACCACGGCAGCCTGATTATGTAATCGCATGATGGCCTAAGTGCGGCATACGCCGTATGATACGACTGTGCGCTCAGACCACTCTTACGATCGAACAAAAAGGTGAAAATCCGCGCTTCCCATTGGCCAAAGAACCAAAAAAGGAGCGAGACGGGAGCCAAAGAGGAAAAAAAAATAGAACACAAACACACAAAGACTGTTCCATCAACAACTAAAAAGACCAAAGACAAATATCAGAACCAGTAAGTAGCAAACAGACAAGTGGAGCAGCTACTGATTTGATGCTTCCAACGTGCTCATCGCAATACTTTTACCTATGAACGGTTCTACCGCTGGGTTAAGCGCTGTATTTTTGATGGAGAAGCATTGAGCATGAAAGTGATGTGCTTATACTAACAACAAACACCTAGTGGCTAACCACGTTATCGAACTCCAAAAGCTCTATCAAAACTCCACCAAGCCATTGTGGATGAGACACCCAAGATCCAAGTTCTACATCTACCCATTCTGGGCTCTTTTCTGGTCCGTCACCGCTGTGAACGTTTTCTACTTGGGTAGAGCTGTCTGCGGTATCAAGGACAAGAAGTAAAGCTGAGGAAAAAAGTTGTCTCCTTCGTTCTTCGTTAGAAGCTCATAAACATTCAAACCACACATTCATCTGACGAACTTGATTACATTTTTTTCTATTTATATATGCTGAAGAAAGCAAAAGACAAAGAGACAGGGCGAAGAAGAAGCTAATACACATGTTTTGACATTTGTCTCTGTTTTTAAAATCAGATTGGTGTTTTATGTAGAATCGTATAGAACGTGGCAGGGTCATTCGCTGTCATCCAGGTCAACAATTTGAAACCTCCTTCTTCTATTGCTGTCAATCTCCAGTCGATCGTCGTCGCTGTCTGAATCGAGTTGGTGCACAGTGTACGGTGTAGCTGATACTGGAGATCGGTCTGGAATGCCATGCCAGCTTTGCTCTGAAGCATCTGTACCGTCGTCATTATCATCATCATCATCATCGGATTCAATGCGGACAATGGGTCTTCTGTTCACCGCAGATGCATCGCTGGACTCCTCATCTGACGACAACAACGAATTGTTATCAATGACGTCCAGCTCTGCGATGTCTCTGTCATCAAGGAAATCGTCGTCACTATCGTGGTACTCATCGTCTCCGCTCAGCATGTCTGCGCTCAACATGTCGTCGTTATCGTCATCGTACGCATGTACATCTCGAAGAGCTCTCATCACTTGGCGCAGATGTGGCGAATCATGTAGCACAGCACCAGGTAGGTATGCACTATCGCTTTCATAGCTGTTGTCATCTTCGCCAAAGGAATCAGTATCAACATCATCACCACCACCACGGCCGTGTCTCAGCTCCCTGTCCCTTGGATACTCAATTCTAGCACCGCAGTTGTGGCAAACGTTGCCTTCAACTTCCCAGTTACAGTTACTACACCTGGCAACCCCATCTTCCTCGTCAATCAGCGCAACATGGTTAGTCTTGAACAGCTTGTTGAACAGAGAATCCTTCTCCAAATCGCGTTGATAGTGCGATTCCATACGCCTCTTCTCGGCTTCACAGTCCTCAGGGGCATCTGGAGGCAGCACTTGTAGATACGTTGTAAACAACGAGTTCACAAGGTTCTGAAGTGCAATGTTGAGTGTTGGTGCAGTTCTGACATAGGTTCGGCAAGACGGACACGACTCATGTTCATACAGCCAGCTCGAGAGACACTATAAACACATCACGCTCTGTTAGTTATTCCATCCCACATCAGCAGTCAGCACGGTATGAACACAGTAAACTCACGGTATAGCAAAAGTTATGACCACACTGTGTCATGAAGGGTACAAACATCTGTTCATGGCACACGGGACACATCGTTTGATCCACAACCTCTTTGATCAAATGTGTTGTTAAGTGAGGCTCCTACATTGTCAGCTCAACGTTAGTATACAAAACTTCCGCTACCCTTCACCGTGTACATACCGCTTGTGTGAGAACACTCTCCAATGAAAATGCCGTCATAGTTCCCTGCTCTCTCCCGCTCTCCTGTCTAATCCGTGTTGATGTTGAAGTTGTTCTACTACGGAAGCTTCCGCTTGTGTGTCTCGGCCTAAATAAAATTTCGCGGCGATGAGCTTCTTCAAATGTAAACATCAATTTATACAACCATACAGAGAGTGATCAAAGCATCGATAGTTGTCTATTGATGTTCTATACGAAATCGTGGTAGCAGTCATAGTCTCTGTCTCCATTTTTATATAAAACTGTCACATTGAGCGGTTCTCTATGTACAGGATCGTGTTCCGAAAGTCCCAATGGTTCAGGTTTAGAAGAGGTGCAACCTCCAAGAGAACAAAAGATGTTAAAACAAAAAACAATCAAATAAAACATTATGCAAAAAATAGTGTATTGTGACGGCGATGGTAGCACTCTCCTCTTTGCTATGTACATGATATGCTCGTAGTGCTACCTCCAGCCACTCAGCAGCTCTATGGTGTCGTCCAGTACTTTCCGATACTCATTGGTTTGTTCTCTGTATCTATCTTTGACTGATAGATTCATCTCATCAATCTTTGGCTTCATATAGTCAAGTTCTTCACTGTCGCACTTCGTCAATAGCCAACACGACGTATTCTTAATCAGACGGTTGTACTTGGGATTCAATTGATAATTCTCCTTCAAGACGTACTCCACGACTTTGATATACTCTTCGCCGTTGCCATTCTTTGCTAAAAACTTCAAAATTGGAACGTATAAGCTAATGATATTCTTATCCACTCTGAAATTCTTTGATTGTGTGGCCCTTGAAATGAGCTCGAATCCAACCTTGTTGAGCCCCTTCTTAAAGGCATAGTCGGAGAGCTCTGCGTAATGGGGATATCTCAAATACTGATCCTTCTCGAATAAGAAGGTCTCAATCTTTAATTGAGCCTCAGCATGCGAATCGTACCTGAGAGTGTTTGCAAACCAAGAAAGCTCGAGATGTAATGGAACAGGTGTATAAAGCTTTGTACATAACTCGTAAACCTGTGATGCATATGGTGATTTCATCTTGATCAGCTGTTGTAAAACTCTTGTGAAAAGTTCAACAGTGGGTCTCTTACCGTCTCTCAACTTATTGTTAAGACGAGTTAACAGCTCCAAATCTTGCTCACATGTAACGTTGATCATCTGTGATAATGAGTTACTGTTTGAGCTCTCCTTTTCCAAATCCCTAAGAGCTTCAGATTTCCAGTAAACATCTAAGGAATACGAAATACCCTTGAACTTTGAAGTTATGACATTCTCAAGTCCAGGCTGGTTCAGTTTAAAAGCATTCCATATCGTGATGAACATATCCTTATCCAGCTGGTAGTTTGATTTCAACAGTTCCACATATTCAAGTAGCTCATGAGCGCTACCCGTACGCGCAACGGTCAGTAATCCCCTTACACGTAACGTCAAAGTGTCCTTGTGGCCATCCCTCTGTGCCAGTGAAGTGTAATGCTTCATATCCTCGATGGTAGCTCTCTTTCTCAATAGTAGGTATAATCTGTCGTAAAAAAAGGTGACGGATTCGGCTGTCTTATCCTTCAAAGATTGCATGAATTCATCAACTTCGAGCCATAGGCATGAAGGATCTATGGAGACAACTCTATTAAGGAATCGAGCCATTCTGACATAATGGTTATCCAACTTGTCAATGTTTTCCAGATACTGTTCCAACTCTGAAATATCTTTAGACTTACCATTTCGTATGAATACAATCATCAATTGGCCCAATGCACTATCCGAGATGGGCAAGCTAGGATTGTTCTTCAAGATGTCAAAGACAAATCTCACCGTGGAGAATGTGGATACATCAGTAGCGTTTAGTAAGAACTCATACAGTGTCTTGTCATCCATTGGATGATGGGAATAAACCATCTGGTACAACAGTTGCTTAGCAAACTCTGTGTTCGTCTTTAAAAAAACAACTAGTGCCATGTTGAAGTGTCTTGCCAATTTGGACGATTCGTCAGTGGATTGTAGATAATATGTAAACACTTCTTCAAATAATTCGTAGTCCTTTTCAAGGAATGCAGATTCCATAACAACGCCCAGGAGTGTATTAGCACCGATAAACTGTTCCCTCTTAGACCTATAGATCTTCCTTATTATGAGATGTTTGTGCAATGCGTGTAGTTGTCTCAGTATTGAAACCAATTCGGCTGTATTGAAATGCTTATATCGATTTGATATTTCAGATGCAAGATTCTTGAACTTATGGGCCCTTATCAGCCCACTAACCCTCTCAAACTTTGGGTTTATAGACCTCTGCTTCGGAATTGAGAAGTGTACACTTTGTGTATTCGATGTAGGCGTTGACGTTGATATTGATGTTGATGACCCAGATGATGTTCCAAACGTCACAGACGACGTAGCTCGCCGTATAGCCATCTGACTATACCGCGTGGGTATTCTTATACCACACGCTAGTGTTCGTATCTCTTTGCTGCGCCAACTCATTGTGGTGATGACATATAGACCGCTTCTTCCCTCGCTCTTGCGCTCCTTCGGAATAGGTGATGAGGTATCAATTCACACAGTGTAAAGCTTCCCTCGGGAGAAAAGATCGGTGTCCTGGTAGCGACGAACAGCAACAGATGATACACAACAAAGAGAACAGCAACAACAACAAAAACGACAACAACAACAAAGCCAAGTGGTGAGCTCCGCTGAACAATTCGTCGTTAACTATGGCCACCTTTGTTTACGCTGAAGAAATTTTCGGACAGGCCATAAAACCACAAAAAGAAAGAAAAAACTGCAGTCTCGAGGGCCCAAAGTGGTAATTCCGGTGGTGTGTTTTCATTGTGTGAAATTGTCGGAACTGACGCTAGGCTGGGCTGGCGGGCTACAGGCTTAGGCGGAGATTGTCTGGGCTAGGCGGAGAGACTTGAGCTGCGCTAGGCGGAGATTGGCTGTTCTAGGCGGAGAAACTTGAGCTGCGCTAGGCGGAGATTGTCTGGGCTAGGCAGAGGAATTTTACCTGTTTTGCCTCTTACGGTCAACATCAGCCAGTATTAACAACCCCAACTGGACCTCCAAATGAGCTCATTCGTACCAACTGTGTCAGATCCTTCAGACTTTGCCCACTGCTCAGAGCCTCGCCTCGTTGAGTTTGACTCCCTGCTGCGCTGCCACATCTGTAAAGAGTACCAAACAGCTCCGGTATTAACTACCTGTGGACACAGCTATTGCTCTGTGTGTATAAGGAAGTACTTGATCCACACGGCCAAATGCCCGATCTGCTCCAAAGAGATACGCGAGGCGAATCTTCAGAGGAATGTGCTGCTTGAGCAGGTGGTTATATGCTTCAAGACGCTTAGAGATGACCTGTTGGAGAAGCTGACGGTTGAAAGCAAGGTTGATGATAGGCAACGTCGTGGCAGTTGTGAAGTTATTGAAATTGACGATAACGTCGAGGTTGATGATGAGTTGGAGATTGTCTCAGAGACAAAGAAGAGGAGAAATGTTGGCCAGGGAGGGTTGGAATCCCTGTTCAAGAGGAAAAAGACCCCTCCAAAGGTTGGCCCATTGGGTACATGTCCCATCTGTGCTAAGCAGTTCCCCATCCGTGTCCTTGAAAGTGAGCACATTGATCTGTGCCTCAATACGCCTCTTCTAGAGCAAGACAAAGATAGCATAGTGCCGAAAGAGTCGGAACATTCATACCAGAAACTGACCAAGTTAGACTTTAGCTCGCTATCAAACACCACTCTGAAGCAAAAGCTGGCAAAATTAGAACTACCGACCAATGGTAACAGAAACCAGCTGGAGTCACGATACAACGAATACCTCATCTTGTGGAATGCAAACTGTGACTCGATAGTGCCAAAGGATCCCAAAGTTTTGAGAAGGCAATTGGCGCAATGGGAGTCATCTCTCAAGTTCAGAAAGGATGATCATGATAGACAATTGGATAAGAAAGGTTGGAGTGATTTGATTAAACAAGCGAGAAATAGCAAGATGAAGACAAGAGAGGAGCAGGATGATGCACAGGTTGAAAGCATAGATATCATGAGTACCAACGAAGAAGATGATAGTAATCTGATTACATCTGCACAACCACAGAATTGCAGTATACAAGCATCAACTCAAGAATCTACAGACCATGAAAGAGTATTCGCAGATTAGATACATTATTGGAAGATTTATGGCATATACATATATACTTGAATCATGCACTAACAACATGTGATTCTTCAACGACTTTAACGATATCACCTTCCTCAATAACAGTCTTGGTCTCGATAAGAATCTCCGTAGTTGTTTCAGTTGTCTCAGATGTCTCAACAGTAGTTTCAGCAATTGGAATTTCTCCATCAGCTTCCACATCCAGTTCTTCAATGGTTTCAACAACAGTTTCAGTGGTGGTTAAAGTGACAGTTTCTTGTTCTTCATCTTCAACAACTGGTTCAGCACCTTCTAGAGGAGCCTCTTCAGTAACCTCCTCGGTTGCTTCTTCAGTAACTTGTTCATTTGCCTCTCCCTCATTTTGAACAATGCTGTAATCATAAACACCAGAGTCAATTACATGAACGGCAAACGCAGTTTGGACGTCGCCTTCAATGTCAAACTCCAAGCCCGGTTCCAGAGAAGACTCAAATGATACAGTGCTCTCTCTTGGTAATACAATACCAGCAGCTGCAAACGCAGTTTCAGCTGCATCACCAATGGATCCAGTTTCTGTAATTGCAGCCTGTTGCGAGGATAAAGAGGATCTCAAGGCCTCAAATTCCTCTGGTGTATAGCTACCATCGTCAAACAAGTCATGCATAAATCTGTTGAAAGTGTTAAACTGTTCGTCTGTGATGTTCTGTCTGATGAAGTTAACAACGAATGAGATGATAAGAATGACAGCAGCCCATTTCAACAAGGTATACTTGGCTCTTATGTTCGATGGCAGTTTAATCACAGATATTGTCGAGGCAGCACTCACAGAAGCAACATACTCGCCGTTTGGAGAGACAGTAATCTTGGTGATAGCAAACGTGTGAACCTTTGGATAACGTTTACAAGTTGAAAAGTCATCCAGATCAGCAATGGTTATAGAGTTATCGTTGCCAGCAATGGCAACGATCTGACCCGATAAAGAGACGTCAAGGGCAGTTATCTTTGTCACTTTATCGGTGATAACTCTAGCCTTTTTGGTCTTTAAGATTCTTCTTGGCTTAAGACCTTGATCCTCAAAGACCACTCTTGATTCCAGAAGCAATATACCAGCCTTGTTCTTGAGGTTGATACCGATTATTGCGGCCTCATCTTCAATCAGTTCCACTTTGGTCAAGAGATAGTTTGAAGTGAAACGTTCATGTTCCCATGATTCCTTTGTTGCCAAGTTGTAAAGTACCAATTTCTTTTCAGTGATGTATGCCACGGCGTTACCTGAAGGGCTTATCGCAATGTCTCTAATTTCATCCTCCTCATCTTTGGAAAGGACCTGCTTAACCTCCATGGTGTCAACATCTATCAATTTCAAAGATGGCGGGGTTGTGGCGTTGAGAACCAGCGCCATGGACGCATCCTTTGACAAGACAATGGCCTTAATGTAGTCAAGAGGGTCCTTTGACTGTAACAAGTTCACCGCCTTGATCAACTCAAAGTTGTGCTCCTCATCGGCATTGAACTTGTACTTCTTCAGGTGGTCATTCTCGCCCTGTTTCAGCTTTGAGGATGCAGCATTCAGCGACACCAGCAGAGTGCCCTTCTCCAACGCCAGTGCCGTTGGCGAGTCGTTCACTCCGGCGAATTCGTAGTCGTCAGTAACAATCAACTTATCCTGTTTGATGCCGACGCTCGACATCTTATTGGCGATCCCATTGTTTCCCTCACCACCACCACCTGTGACGACCAACGAGTGGTCCGTGGCAAAGGCTGCGCCGTACAGCGGGTAGCCAACGTCTAGCTTCAAGCTCATTGCGTTATCCTGTTTCTCTTGAGCCTCTTGCCTAGCAATGGGTCTCTTTCCTCGCTGAAGACCCTCTCGGTGTGGAAGTTGAATGTGGCTTTTACTATAACCGACAACAGGGAAGGCTGCCGCCTCCTACACCCGGACACCAAATCCTCGTGTGATTATGCAGCATCGGAATACACGTCCTTGTGTCGGAATTCATTGCCCCTTCCGTCCACTCCAAAAAAGAAATCTGCAAATAACGTCATCGACATCTTTTTTAAAGTTTAATTGCGATTCCCAATGTGGGATTTCCTTATCGGTGGTTGGGTGACACATTCCGGTTTTATCATACGCAATTTTTTAGCAATAAGACACACTTTTTAAGGGAGCCTTACGGATGATCCTGTGAGTCAGAGCTCGTCTTGGTTGAAAATATCTTGCCTCCTCTTTTTCCCTCCCTCTCCCTCTCTTTTCCGTCTGTTTCACGCTCCGTCTTGTAAAGCTTACAAATAGCCCTATAATAAATAGGTGGTTAACGTCTGAACCGGTCCAGCCCCTATAGCATCGAATAACAGGCTTGTATAGGGAAACTTACCACGGCACACCTTGTCCGAAGCACCAGTTACCAATTGGAACATCGCAACGTCGAAAGCACCGTGTGTTTGCTTCAAGGGTTTCACGTTTGAAGCGTATCGAAGTATCGTGTTGCGGATTTCCTTTTACGCCACTGTTGGTTATCGCGTCAATTTTCATGGGAAAAGGGCGTGCTAGGAAAGGAAAGCGATAAACGAAAACGCCAAAAGGCGAAAAGCGAAAAGCGAAAAACGAAAACAACAACAACATCCACAACAACATCGAAAGGGATAAAAAGGGATAGCAAAGGCTGCTGAATCCTCGTGTCTCTGGCTCTGGAAACGTTTATTGAAGCTGGCTGAAGCACTGGGTGACTGCTGGGTTCTATTGCGTGGTTTGATTGGCTGGTTCCGTTGGTTGTGAAGCTAAGCGCCACCATCTCTGATACATCAACAACTGAAGAGCTTCTTCCGCCCAAAGGCATATAAAGCAGTGGCAAGCCTAACCATCTGGCACGGCGGTTCCTGGGACTTTGAAGCCTACTGCACCGCACACTTTCTATACAACACAACCACTGCTCATTCTACCGATATAACACGCCATGTCGCCTCCACAGAGCGACGTGAAGGTGATTGGCCAATACAAAGTTGGCTCTGAGATTGGCCGCGGGAGCTTTGCTAGCGTCTACAAGGGGGTGAATGTGGACACGCGGACCCCTGTGGCCATCAAGTCGGTTGTGAGATCCTTGTTGAAGAACAAGAAGCTCCTTGAGAACTTGGAGATTGAGATTTCGATCCTAAAGGACTTGAAACATCCGCATATTGTGAAGCTGTTGGACTACCAGCAAACTGAAACACATTTCCATTTGATTATGGAGTACTGCTCTTTGGGAGATTTGTCCTTTTTCATTAGGAAAAAGGACCAGCTAATACAGAAGCATCCGTTGGTTAAAACGATGTTCAACAAGTACCCCTCTCCAGAGAACTCGAACGGGTTGAACAAGATATTGGTCCTGAATTATTTGAAGCAGCTCTCGTCGGCTTTGGAGTTTTTGAGATCTAAGAACTTGGTTCATAGAGATATCAAGCCCCAAAATTTGCTACTTGCGCCTCCAGTTTTCGAACAAGAGGTATTCGAAGAACGTGGATTTGTTGGGTTGCCGGAACTGCCCATCTTGAGGATTGCAGACTTTGGGTTTGCAAGATTCTTGCCAAACACTTCTTTGGCTGAAACACTATGCGGGTCTCCTTTGTACATGGCTCCAGAGATATTGAACTATCAGAAGTATACGGCAAAGGCAGATTTATGGTCAGTGGGTGCAGTCTTGTACGAGATGAGCGTCGGAAGACCTCCTTTCAGAGCTTCAAACCACTTGGAATTATTCAACAAGATCAAGAAGTCCAAGAACAGGATACATTTCCCAAGTGCGGTAGCAGATTCAATAGACCCTGGGATCAAGAAGTTAATCTGTTCCTTGTTGAGATTTGAACCAACAGAGAGAATGGGGTTCCAGGAATTCTTTGAAAATGACATTGTCAATTACGATTTGAATCTACTATTGGATGGAGTTGACAAGGATATAAGCTTAGAACCTTCACAGGTTAATGAAAACTTGTTTATATCTGAATACATCGGTAACGGTGCAATTATTGATAACAAAGTGGACCAACCTGAGGAAGCCCTGGAGGAAAGAGAAGAAGATGATACACAGCAACAAGAAGTGAATAACGTGGCAGATATAACGCCTAGGGTTAGTAAATCACCATCTCCAACAACTGTACAGCATGAACAAACACAGACACATAACTCAACTTCTAAGGCTACTACCCCAGTTCCTACAGTCAAACAGATTTCCACACGTGATATTCAACCAATCTCAGGACAACAGACCACGCGTCGCTCACTAAACACGCAAGTGCCTGCGGTGAAGACAGCACCTTTCAGACTTTCTAAATTACAATCATCTGACCTGGTTGTTGAGAAGGAATACGTTGTCGTTGAAAAAACCGCCGTTGAAGTGAATGCTCTGGCTGATGAGTTGGCTAACGCTGGTAGCGGCGCAGGTGCGATTGCCCTGCCAAACCAGTATTACACAACTCAGCGTCGTCGCTCATCTCGTGGATCCTCTGGAGGATCCTCAAACGGCAGAAGACCTTCATTTGATCGTCGTACTTCCATCTCAATCTCACCAACAAATGCATTATCGAAGGCGTTGGGGTTGGCATCAACAAGGTTGTTTGGTAATCAGAGTACTACAGCGACACATTCTACCGGAAGTGCACTTTCAAACATCAACAGTTCGAACAACTCCTTCACAAACAACATCATCTTGAATTCAACAAACCACATCATTAACTATAACAACTTCAAGACACAAGGCGGTGATGATATCGTTTCACAACTTGAGTCTTTAGCCACAAAGGCCCATGTCGTCAACTTGTACGCAGAGGTCAAGTTCTCACAGTTGATCCCATCACCACCATCAGCAAACTCGTATGCTATTGAAGAAGAAGATGAAGATCCGGCAGATTACCTGAACCATTTGCCACCTGAGGTTGTCAAGCAACTGGCTGATGAAGCTGTTCTTCTATATGTTAAAACGCTGTCGTTATTAGCAAAGGCTATGAACATTGCGTCCGAATGGTGGCACAACAATTCCAATAACCCGTCACAACGTCTGAATGAGATTGTTCAATGGATAAGAGAACGATTCAACGAAGTCCTGGGGAAGGCGGAGTTTGTGAAGCTGAAGTTGCAAGAAGCCAATAAAAAATTGAGGGAGACTAACCCTGACCTTAAAGATGAGAAGATCTATGCAGAACGTTTAATTTATGACAGAGCTTTGGAGATTGCCAAAAACACCGCCAAATCTGAAATCAATGGAACTGACCTGCTGGGCTGTGAGCTGGCTTATTCCACCAGTATTTGGATGTTGGAGGCTTTACTCGATCAAGAGGAGGGCAATGAAAAATTGGAGGAAACTGATAGGGAAATGGTTGAAAAGTATATTGAAAGTATATCAAACAGATTGGCGACTCTAAAGAAGAAATTGGAAAACGCTCAGAAGATATAAACACTATCGATCAGGATCCCTATATCTCATCAAGGAACATTTTTTTGATCATACACACGATGTCGTTCAAAGACGATACTATTGCTAAGCAGTAGTTCAACAACTTCAGATTCTATATGCTATTAACTACAATTATGAGACAATATTACATCACATATCAAACAATCAAACACATCATGGGATACTTTTGCAGGGAAATATACATAAATATTTTATCAATGGGTTATAATTGGATGAAACTAATTATCATTAATATTAAGTCATTGGAATCGATGTAGAGTTTGTAAGCTTTGAGCAATGAATGTATGTATATGAATATGGAGATTTGAAGCTCACGCATGTTTCTTGTTGAATACACCAAGGCTTATCTTCAACAATTTTAACCTCAAAAGCACATAAGCAATGAATCTATACACAAGGGCAACAGCTACCAGGACACCAAAGGCATAGGTGTATGATGCCAATAGGCCATACTCCTGTAAGACGTAAGTACCATTACCAATGATACAATTAGGATCATTAATGAGCTGTTCGTCTGGACATCTGAATTCGACTGACGATGGGAATCCCATGTTAACGAGAATCATGGTGGTATACTTCAAAGGCGAGATGTAGTTGATCCCTTTGAGAACGCTATCCATGTCTAGCGACATGATACCACCCATGAACGTACCAATGGACAACAGGATACTCACAGAGTTAACTGCAAAGCCAGCATCATCGAATAATGTATTCGTAGCGATACCTAGGGATTCACCACAGAATATGATGATGAAGATGCAATATGCTAGTGCAAAATACATCTCTGCTGTTCTTGGTAGGCCTGTGATTGGTCCAAAGAACGCAGCAGCGATCATGGCACCGAGAGCATCCATAGGTATCTCTAACAATGTATAAGCAAGGAAGAAGGGCAGTATTCCATGGACCCTATCAGCATGCTCATGATAGAAGTAGTTTCTCTGTTGAGGATAGGCAGCGAGGTTATTCAACATACCGCAGAAGTAAAGAGCAGTGACTTGCTGAATACAACCAAGCCTATCCTGGATGCCTTCGTATGAGTCCTTCAAGGGAGCCATCCATAGAGCAACCACTATTCCGACACCCATAGGGTTCATGATCTTGGCCATTAGAATATCAGTATTACGTACAGTGGTTAGTAACTGTTGATGGAAACACGAGATCAAAGCTGGAACAAAGGCACACGGTTGACGGATGAATTCACCAAACCTGTGCTTGAACTGTTCGTTGGAGGTCATTGGAGCCGTGTAGCTATGTGATGTTGACCGTTGTTCCCATGCCTTCAACAGAGAGTTGATTCTGCTCTTGGAGTCCAGCTCCTGTTCCATGCTTTGGTTATTAACCGAGATCAGGTCCAAGATGTGATCAGCACAATTGGTCAGCCTTGGACACGGGTACCCCAAGGACTGGAAATAGTCCATGATTGTACTCTGTGGTCCGTTGTATGCCACGCTACCACCTTTAGCAAGCAACAGTATCTCTCCAAACTTGTTGAAAAGGTCCAGGCGAGGCTGATGGATGGTGATAATGATCGTCTTACCTTCACTGGCCAAGTTGTTTAGAATCTCGAGGATAGTGGAGGCTGTAAAGGAGTCCAGCCCTGAAGTAGGTTCATCCAGGAACAGCACTTTGGGGTTGTTGAGCAGCTGAATTCCAATTGCAACACGACGCTTTTCACCACCACTGATGCCCTTCTTGAACTCTGACCCTATGAGGGTATTGGCACAACCTCTCAGCCCGAGTTTGGCAATGATACCATCGACGACTCCGGAACGTTGCTGTCTGTCCAGGTGTCTCAGTCTGAGATCAGCAGCCATCACAAGGGTCTCCCGAACACTAAGAGAAGCCAGTAAGTGGTCATCTTCTTGCGAAACATAGGAGCACAGAGAATTCATCATGTCAGTGGAGACTTTTAGCTCGTTGAACATGATATCACCACTAGACGAGTACCTGTTTAATAGACCTGATAGTGTTCTTCCGGCTATCAGATTCAGTAACGACGATTTGCCGGACCCAGAGGGTCCCAGTATAGCGTTGATTCTACCACTCTTGAACGTTGCGTTGATTCCATGAAGAATCACCTTCTCCATCTTGGTGAACTTCTTCCTGAGGGTTACGCTGAGGTATATGTTGTTCAACGTTATATCGATTGGTTCTCCTGAGTCAGTCTTGGTCTGCTCAATTTCCTCTAGTTCTCTACTTGCAGACCCTTGTTTGAGCTGCTTGGTTAGTGATACATCCACAGGGTTTAACTTCAACAGCAGAGCAGCAGCAACGTAGAACAATATCGACCATGCCAAAACAACAAACAGAGGTATCACAATCCAATGAGGAAGGTCAAAGTTATAGCTGGCAATTATATATTCACCTTGATACATTTGACACTGTGTCGAGTCTTGGTCCTGGTATGGACAGTCACCACTGTATCCTGAGAACTGGTTAACCATCATCGCACCAAATGCATACCAGAGGTATGCAATATACTTGGTCCATCTCGTATACACCGGGATGGACTGCGTATTGACAAAGAATCCACAAGCAAAACTCTGTAGGGTGTAATTCATGTTGGAAACAAGACTTGCCTGAGCGTACTTCCTCGATATAGCAACTGCGAACACTGCGCCTGTCATTGAAGCCAGATGAGACAAGAAGATCCCCGTCCAATATATGAAGAACTTCGACGCACTGCTCTGTAATCCGTACATGAAGTAGGTGATCACTGCAAAGAGAAAGGATATAGGGACGTCCTCTGTGAACAGTTTAGCCATGCGACGTGATATCAAGAACCCAGCTATAGAAACACAGTGGTCTGCTCTTTCACGGTCAAAGATCTTGATGTCAGTCGAGCATAGTCTGTATACCTCAAACAAAAGCATCAGATAGCCTTGGAGCGCACATGAGGAGTATATAGCTGCTGATATTGTTCTGATGCCTGCCAGATCACCAGCCGGCTGGTAATAGACCCACCCACAAATTATACCCATGACGATGGATTCAGAAAACAACGCTGCTAGTGTTGCAGTGTCTCTTGTCGTTAGTAGCATGGTTCTCTTGTAGAGGATGAATATTTCTCTCAGCAGTGGTATTCTCTGGCGTATCACGGTAGGACGGGTGTGGGCATTATTGTTACCATTATTATCGTCATCACATTCATCGCTATCAGTATTACCACCTTCCAACGGTTGTAACATGGTTTGCGAGTAGCGTCTCCAATGGGCTGCAAACATCTGTAACCTCTCCAACCCTTTCTTCTCTGAAGCTGTAGAACGGGCATCCACTGCAGTAATATCTATAAGGAAATCGCTTGGATTGACATCCTCTGGAACTGTATACCCCAGGCTTGCAAAGTATGGCAGCACATTTTGGATAGAGCCTGCGTATACCGTCTGTCCTCTTGATAGTATACACAGATAATCAAACAGAAAGAATATGTCCGATCTTGGCTGATGAATGCTAATGATGATGGTACGGCCTCTCTCCGTGAGCTTCTTCAGGGACATTATGAGTAGAAAGGCCGAATAGGCATCCAGGCCAGTCGTAGGTTCATCCAAAAACAGCAAAGATGGATTCGACAAGATTTGAATCCCAATGCTTAGCCTTCTCTTCTCACCACCTGAGAGTCCCTTGTGCGTTGAATCACCAACCATGGTATCCGCACAATCTTTCAATCCCAGCTCCAGTATCACCTCCTCAACCAGTGCCAATCTCTCCTCTTTGGAATGGCTATCTGGCAGCCTCAACTCTATGGCGAACTGTAACGTCTCCCTTGTTGTCAGCATTGGTGATAGGATGTCTTGTTGTATAACATAGGCGTGCCTAACGGTGTCCAGACTGCCACCACCGTAACGAAGAACACCTGTTTGGTGTAATGAGCCAGCATTGGACCGTTGTGCCAGAACGTTAAGCATCGTCGTTTTCCCTGAACCTGACCCACCAATGATGGCCATTAGTTTACCCTGTGGCAGGTCAAAGGAAGTCTCATGGAGTATAACTCTATCACCAACTGAGTTGCTGGCTACGGGCTCAACCTCTGTATTGGAGCCGTCTTCAAAAGCCTTGGTCTGACTTACAACATTGGCCTTCCCATTTCCCGCACTGGCACTCCTCTTTCGCAAGCCTCTACTATCCTTCTTCTTCTTGGAGCTCTTCGGAGCCACAGTGAGTCCCCGTACTTGGACGTTCACAGGTAGGATCTCTTTGAACAGAACCTTCTCGGCGTCCATCCGGGACATAAAGAGAGAGAAGATGTACGACGCTCGTTATAAAGCTATGTCGCCAGTGAAAGAGCTCCGTCACTGAGATGTCCAGCGAAGGGCTACGACTGAAATTCATTTACCCAGTTTGGCCAGTGTTCCTCACTGTGGGCTCCCTACCGAATCCACAGCAACTACCAGCAAGCCGGGATGAGGTCTTTTGCTCAGCTGTACCGGCGCATGAAACCACACAGTGCATGTGCTTGTGCATAGCCTTCGTAATGAATGGGTTACTGGCTCACGCAGTGGGACTTACACCATGCTCCATTGTCCTCCTGTACAGCTCAAACTGCTCCAGGCTTCACTATGACCATCACGCACCACAACACACACACTCTCTCTTGCTCTCCAACTCATTTATAAACCCTTAGCTCGTCGTTGCTGCTGTGCCGTCTACGGACTCATAGCCTCGTAATTAGCTGTACATGCAGCAACGGTATGATTATTAACAAGGAGACTCTGCCCACCTCCACCAGTTCAACAGCCAAGCACACACGCTCTCGTGAGCCTGAGCCAAAGTTGCTACTCCGGACGAGCCTAATGGATGGAACTGTGCGTAACAGAGGGGAGAACCATGTCCTCTCTGTCACTCTGTGTGCTCTCTCGGCGTGTTCTAAAACAGCTCAAAGCGGAACAATACCGTGTTTTTGAGGCATCGGAACAGTAGGAGCCTTGGGCGCAAAGGCCGTTTCTTTCTATGCATTCCAACGGTGTGCTTTCCGTTTGCAGTAGCTTCCGAATGTGGATGTTTTGAGAATGTTTTTGGTGTGGATTTTTTTTCTTGGTTTTGTGGTTGTTTACTTTCGTTTTTGTGGTTATGTTTGTTTACTTTTGGTTTTGTGGTTGTTTACGTTTGTTTACGTTTGTTTACGTTTGTTTACCTTTGTTTACGTTTGTTTACGTTTGTTTACGTTTGTTTACCTTTGTTTACCTTAGTTCACCTTTGTTTACGTTTCATAACCCCCACAATGTCAGAAGTCCTCACCGCCGACTTCTCTACAAACACACAGCTCACAGACGTTGAAGCCCGTATCCTGCAACGGTACCAAACACTGGCAAAGAGACTAAACGACCTGTCAAGGCTGATAACGGCCCTGGTAGAACAGCCCATTCCCCAGCTGTTGGATAACCTACGCGTGCTGGAATCGAAAATCGCACTGGTGTTCACGCTGTTCAAAGGAGCCGTCTACTCACTGTTCCTACAACAAGAAGGGTTGAGTAACGACGAAGAGCAATCGTCAACATCGGAATTTACATAGAACAAAAAGCCAAAAGCAAACCTAGGCGGAGAAAATGACAATTCTGCCATCGATACCGGAGCTGGAGAACTTGGTCAACGAACCATTCGACTCGGAGTATGGTCTCAGCTGAGTGATGGTGTTTTGGTGGATGGTCTTCAAATTCGACGCGTTCTTACCGACAACGGTACCCTTCAGATCCATCTGTCTGAACATGTTTAGAGCTGAAGTCTCGCTGTCCTCCGCCTGCTTGTTCTTCTCCGGGTCGTCAATCGCGTGTGAAAGGACCCAGTTGGTCTCATCACCTTGGAACACAACAGGGTGACAACTATGGCCCGCTGCAATGACAGTGGACTCGTTAGCGAAAATACACGAGGTGAAGGGCAAATAAGACGTAGACACGCTCAATGCAGAACGTGGTGGTTGGTTGGCGCCTCCTGGGTAAACCACTGTCACTGTAGAATCATGAGACACAAATGCCAACACATCGCCGGCTGGACTAAAGGCAACGTCATGGATCCAACCACCATTGGAACTGACAAAGTCACCACACAGTGTGTTGAATGGCAACTTTTCACCCCATAGCGTTGGTTCAGGCTTGGTATCGATACCCTTGACATAACCTGAAAACACCCTGGCATGGCCATCTGTGGAACCAGCAGCCAGTAAAACACTGTTTGGATGCCATTCAATGGACAGAATGGTGGATCTAATTGGCTTCTTGATATGCTTGGAGATCCACCAATCGTTCTCTTGCTCGAAATAGCACACTGCAATGACACGCGCACCAGAACCAACGGCAAACTTGTAACCGTTTGGTGCCCATTTAACAGAAGTTGCCGATCTGTTGATACGTAACAACACCAGAGTTGGCTTGTATGAGCCATCGCTCAGTGGCTCCCAAACAATGGCATTACGGTCTTGGGAACAAGTCACGATACGTCCATGGATTGAGATGTCAACAGCAGTCACCGTCTTATCGTGGTCCTTCAGCGTGGCCAGCAGCTTTGCACTAGGAGTGGAAACGTCGTACACTTCAACAGTGTTCTCCTTGGTAATTGCAAGGGTCTTGCGGTCCTGGGAAAAACAATGTGAGTGAACTGGTAAATGGCCGAATTGAAAGACTTTTGACATTGTTCTTGGTTAGCTTGTTCAATTAGGAGGATCTACTCTACCAATTGATTGGATTCTTAGGGTGCTTAGTATACGTGAAAAGGGTGAAAGTGAGCTTGAACTTGCAATCAGCAAAGCCGATGTTCCGACGTATATCGGAAAAGGTTAACGCTTCAGTATATCCGAGGTCTAATGTGGTCGGAATTTACCCTTTCGGTATGAGATGGTGTTGTCACAGCAATGGTGAAGTTTTGTTGAAGAGATAATACCCGTCAAAGCTTTGATGATTGACACTGTTGACAGCCTTTCCAGCGTAGCAGGCTTCGGCATTTGATATGGTACACGTCTATGACTCTGGGGATCCAAACCTGCCAGATCTACCGAGGAATCTATTGTTTACAAACCCAAGCGATGAGTATTCTGACGATGAGCAAGGGCATCCATTAAGTGATGTTGAAACACATGAAGCGACGTCGCAGGAACAGCCGATGCAGAGTGAGTCCAATCAACAGAGGGCAGAGCCAACAAGGCTATATCAATCAACAACACATGCCTCGTACAGGAAAAGAAGGAACAGAAGGAAGAAAAAGGATAGGAAATATGACGATTCGTCCTATTCTGCAAGCGCAGCAAGGCAGAGAATCTCATGGGAACCTGGCGTTGATATCAACACCACGGAGGTGATAATCTCATCCATTGGGTCTGCTGTTACGATAACTGACTATAGCCACGATCGGTATCGTGTTGAGCATGTTGAGGTGTTTTCAAATACACCAGATGGTTCAGATGTCGATACTGATGGTAGCACTGGGTCATCCACTATGAAGAGTGAAGAGCAGCATCAGAAACAGCACAGCTCGAAAGTTGAAGACTCTGTTAACAAATTGAGGCAGTGCCTGGATAGCAGGCCTCAGTGGTCAAAGATACGGTGGATCAACGTCAATGGCTTGTCATGGGAAGCCATCGCAGCCTTGGGACAGAAGTATAACTTGCACAGGTTAGCAATTGAAGATATGATAGATATCCCTCAGAGAACAAAAATTGACTTTTATCCAGGTTTGATATTTGGAGTGGTTCCATTGGTCAAGCTCGTGAGGAAGGTGGAAATTGGCAATGACTTGATCGATACAGCTTCTAAATGGGAAAGAATTAAGAGTATGTTCAGCTTACACTTACAGACGACCAGCGAGCCTGATATCCATCACGAGACTCAGTCTGACGCTAAGATTTCATTAACTGAACAGATTCCACACAGACATGAACCTCGCCGGCTGAACGATAGTTTCAATCCAACAAAGTACTCTAAACGTCGAACTAAGCTACTGGACGACCAAAGACCTTTGAGTTATAGAAAGCTATTCGTCGGCGTTGAACAATGCTCATTCTTTATGCTGGATGGTATAATCATCTCTTTTTTCGAATCCTCCGGTGATGACATTGAGAGTGCCATACTGACTCGTATCTCATCTGACGAAACCATCCTGAGGGTGTCCTGTGACGTTTCTATCCTATTAGAAGCGATCCTGGATGCCATTGTGGATATCACATATCCTGTCATCACTGCGTATAGGAAAAGACTCTCAGAGTTGGAAGTTGACATACTGACCAATCCAGATTTGAGACATACACAGATGTTACACCTCATGAGTGGTGAACTGAATCGCTTGAAGAGAGCCATATTCCCAACATCCACAATGATTAACTCCCTCAGAGACCTTTCAAGGGCAAGTACGTCTTCGCCGGATATTAACATTCGGCAGTTGGAGAAGTCATTCTCCAAGTCAGGCTACATCATTTCACCACTGTGTGATGTGTACTTGGCTGATATAGTTGATCATACGATGATGTTTACAGATGAAATAGAAGGGATGGTGTCGAATGTTGAGAACTTGATCCAGCTCATGTTTAATACAATCTCTACAGATACGAACGAAGCCATGAAGAAGTTGTCGCTCGTTACCGTCATCTTCTTGCCATTGAGTTTTTGGACTGGTTATTACGGTATGAATTTCAAGAGCTTTGGAGATTTGGACCATAATGTGAGCTACTATTGGAAAGTTGCTGCTCCCTTCAGTGTTGGTTTGATGATTATTATCACCTGGAGCTTCTCCAGACGATCATTCTCCAAATACAAACGTATTATTCGTAAGAAGATCAACGACTTCAAGACTGAAAGGGATATTAAGAGGGAAAAGGAAAAGGTGAGACAGTATAGATTAAAGGTAATGCAGAGTCGAAAACCGACACACCACGGTGTGAAGCGTGGTCGAGTTGATAACACCATGGTTTGACAGCACTGAATAGCTGTTGGAAGGCACAGAACAGCCTCCGTGCAACTGGGGAGATCTACAAGATGAGGCCTTAGCGAGCTTGAATGATTCAACATCATAGCATTGTCTACGACTCAATGCGGTGGTGCTGAGCTGAATTGAAAGTATGCGACGTCGTGTGAAACAACAGTTGCTGTTCTGGAGTACAAGTGGTGTCAAATATCACGGTGAGCACGAGGAGGGTGTAATTCTACAGCTTTGAATGTGGTTCTATTAGTGTTGGATTCGGTGATCCTAGACAGCAACTTCGTTTGGATCATCTATGCTAATTATATCGATATCACTTTGGAAGCTCTCTGAATAAACCTTCTGGCCATTAGGCAGGTCATTGACTCTAACTCTATCTTCACCTTCTTGTAGCGTGGATACTATTCCAGCTCTTAAATGACGGGATCCCAGTCTAGAAAGGATCTTATTATCGTCTATAAGTAGTTTCCAAAACTCGTGATTCTTCATCTCCGGCACTGGTAATTGTGATATTCTATTAGTCGATTCTGAAAAGTTCAACTCCTGTGGGGTACAACTGTTTGGCATCTGCACAGTGGGCTCCAACAGCTTGGGAATCTTCTCCCAAACTGGGTTATTCAAGAGAAGGTATAGCCCCTCTATGATCAATATTCTCGAAGAAGACTTGATGCACGTTCCAAACATCTTGGGATCCTTCTCCATATGGTCAAAACTCGGTATGTAGATATCCGGCACTGCATGGTGAGAATTGAGCGTGTCCAGAGGTGATAGCCTTGAAGATATGTCCAGTGATGTGAGTTTCAATATCGAGATGAGCTCAACCAATAGGGACGAATCAAACGTGAAGGGAGACCCACGTCTCCTGTATGCATTTTCCCGGTCTTTGAACCTATCCAGCACCCTTCTAGGCAAGTGGAAGCCGTCCATGGGTACAACTTGTGCCAGTTCCACAGCATCATCACTTGAAGTCGCACCAGGATCATCATCCATGTTGTATTCAACTTTTATTGCGGTATCATCACCACCTCGTCCTCTAACGATGCACCCTTTCGTGGTCATCTCTACCGAGGGCTCGAAGCATTCGTCCTCATAGTCAATCTGAGCCAATGGATCGTACATGCGCTGCGATTCACACTCAATCCGTGGATACTGTGTCCCACCACCGTTCGCACTCCCCATCACCACCTTACCTCTTGTCCTGTGCAGTTCGTTTATAATATCAACACACCTCTGAGCAACCGTAGATTTACCAGAACCCGGAGCACCAACGAGCAGTATCACCACTCGATACTCTTGTGAGCCTTGTAGAAGAGCCAAAGCCCTTTCAGCCAAATCTCGGTATGTGGACTCCATCATGATCACACGGGACATATATGCCTTCTATATGGTTCAGGCAGCTTTGCTCGTTTGCTCGCTCTGCGTTGCTTGCTTTCGTCTCCCGTAACAGCTCAGGTGAGAGACAGAAGGAGAGATGGCAGCCTCGTGTGCTTGTTTGTATCAGCGTGCTCTGTTTGGTGGAACCTGTTGATGTATACAACAGCCAGCCGATATTGTCCGAAGCCTCTCAGACAACCGATGCACACAGTTGATGGAGAACGAATGTATGGGGGCTCAACACCGGACAGCAAACAGCAAACAGCACCAAGAACGCACAAGGATCTCTATCGAACTGATCCGTGCTACGCAACAGGAGGAAGGCTTTTATAAGATCAGCTGGCGTGTGAGAGAGAAGCAATGGGAAAAGTTCCCTTCGGGGCATAGTGAACCAGTGCGATGGGCCTGGAAAATTCCGATATGGGGGAGTCCGCAATTTTTTCTCTTCCGACAACTTCGGAATTGATACGGGGGAATTGGAGGCTCCTTGCTAGTGACGAATGGTTCAGCTATACAGTGTGGTCTCAGCACAGTGGAGACAGCCTGATTAGAGGGAGAACTGGGTTGAATTGATGTTGCTGAACGGTGGAATGTGCTGGCTGGTTCCGATACGCTGGGGGAGAGCATTTCCGACACACCCGGACACCAGGAAAATATGCTTGCGGAGGAATCAGGGTGGTTGTGTGATGTTTCGGGGTTTTGTCACGTGACCTGTTTCCCCGGAATGTGTACATCCGTACACCACATGTGCACACCCGGAAGTTTTTCTCTCCTTTTCCACTCTTTTCGCCCATTTGCAATGGATGTTTCACACCTCCGTCTCCAATTTTAAAGTGCCATCACCACCTTTCGAGTGTCGCTAAGGAGGAAATGTTCTCAGTTACAAGATCGCAGTTCGTCAGATCGCTTGCAGCAAAGAGATTTGGGTCAACGTTGGCGTTTGTGGAGGCCAATGGCTCAGAGATCTCCTCGGCTTCTCTGTCTGCGTTGAACGCTGCAAAGCAGTTGGGCAACCCAGTGGTTGCTGTCCTTCTGGGCTCTGGTTCAAAGTCCGCTGCGTCCCAGTTGAACAAGGTTGAAGGTCTGTCGAAGATCTTGGTCTCTGAGGATTCTCAATTCGATCACCAGCTGCCTGAGTACATCGCTCCAGCCATCTCCCAGCTGATCTCCAACAACGACTATTCGCATTTCGTGACATCTGCAACTGCGGTGGGCAAAAACGTCCTTCCAAGAGTTGGTGCCCTTCTGGATGTTCAGCCTGTTAATGATATCATCAAAGTTGAAGATCCAACAACTTTCAAGAGACCAATATACGCAGGTAACGCCATTGTTACTGTGAAATCTAACGATGCTAAAATTCTGCTGTCAACACGTTCTACTGCCTTTGAGGCTGTGCCATTGACAGCATCTGAATCTTACCCAGTGGAGGAGTTCACACCAACTTTAGAAAAATTACCTGTTGAATGGGTTTCTGAAAACTTGGTGAAATCTGAGCGTCCAGAGTTGACATCTGCCAAGATCGTGGTGTCTGGTGGCCGTGGTCTCAAGAGTAAGGAAAACTTTGATAAATACATCTTCCCATTGGCTGATGCCCTCCACGCCGGTGTCGGTGCCACAAGAGCTGCTGTCGATGCAGGTTACGTGGATAACTCCCTTCAAGTTGGACAAACTGGTAAAGTGGTTGCCCCAGATTTGTATATCGCTGTCGGTATCTCTGGTGCAATTCAGCATTTAGCTGGTATGAAGGATTCAAAGACCATCGTTGCGATCAACAAGGATGAAGAAGCTCCAATCTTTAACGTGGCAGACTTGGGTCTCGTTGGTGATTTGTTCGAAGTTGTTCCTGAATTGACTGAAAAGGTTAAGGCTTAGGGGAATATTTAATTGAAGAAAAGATATATCTGTACTTTCCGTGTGCGTATTTGAATCACACCAACTGTTCTCGAGTATGTAATCAACACTCAACAATCATCCAGCTGGTCTTTCCCTCCACAGGTGACATGTATACATTGTCCCCATACTCCCCGAGCTTGGTATGTGTCATATTACATCCGGACATCAAGAATCTGAACAACTTGCATAATTTGATGCAATATGAATAACGAATTATCATTTGTTTTCTCTTTGATGACATCATGAGGTGGCGAGTCTCTGTAGACTTCAAAGATTTGTGCTACTAATACACTGATACAAGAAATTTGGGCTAGTTCTAATGGGAACACTCATGATGGTTTCGTATGATCTGCAGGTGGATTAAACCATGCATGCTTCTAAGAATATGATC